TTTCGAAAGTTTCATTAAATTCAGCGCATCTTCAAAACTGATTCCTGCATAATATGTTTTTATATGAAGGGCAATTGAGTAATTTCAAGTCCCCAAGTGATTATATCAGAATAAGATTTGTAAAGTTATCATTTGAGAATAAAAGTTTTGAAAAGTGATTATAATTTATATCAACATATTTCCCTAAGAAATTTGCTATTTTTGTGGATAAACATGCAGATGAAATTATGGGGAAGTCGGACAGATTTTTATTTCTAAATAAAAGGACTAAATGCCCCATGAATGCAAGGAAAAATGTTGTGTCATTTGTTGAGAGTGTTTGTCCCACATTGAAAAGTTAAGGGACCAAGCTTGGGTTTATAAGGAGTTGGGCTACTCCCCCCATTGCCAATTGGTTTTGGAGTGGAACCTCAACTTTCTTCATCATTGGATTAGTATTTTTATGATTCGATAATATCATGAATGGCCAAATAGTGATGATGAGATGAAACAAAATTAACATACTACTCTTTCTCTCTGAGTTTCTCCGTTTCTTTCTCAATTTGGCACATCTGTCACAGTCCGACCACCACAATCACACATGCATGCAGATTGCCATAATTTCTTTCTCAAGTTTAGTTGTGTTATTCATTGTTTTCTTTCCTAAGTTCTTTCACATGTAGTTTCTTTCTCAAATTTAGTTGTGTTATTCTTTGTTTGCTTTTCTAATTTCTTTTTCTTTTGTAGGATGCTGATTTCAGTCATTGGACTTAGGGCTAGCATTTTAGACCAAAAAATGGCAAATACCAACCGAGGTTTTACCACATCTAAACTGATTTATCACGAAAACCGACCGCAACAAGCAGTTTATAAAACTGGCCTCAATATGCGGTTGTGGTTCCACATATCCAAATAATGCGGTATACTGCAAACCGCAATATAATTGAATTCATTATTAAAATAAATACTTATAATTATTTTATATTAACTAACATAGACTAGGACTTCATCATTTAGATTAATCTCTCTCTCCTATCTTATTTCTTATCTCTTCTTCTTTTCTTCTTCTTCTTCTTCTTCTCTCTCTCTCTCTCTCTCTCTCTCTCTCCTTCCCTTTTGTGGGACTCACCTAGGCTTTGAACCCGCCAATCTCTTGAAGTTCCCTCTTTTTTTTAAATAAAAAATTAAAAAATCTCAGCCTTGAAGAAATATCATTTGAATATTTAGTGAATTAATATAACTTAATTAGTAAATAATTAAACTTTTATCTAGTAGGAACATGGGTTTCAATTAGTATTGCAAACTCATCGATTGTATTGGTAATTTTGTTAGGTTGTTATTAGTGGGTTAGCCAAGATAATCTCTAACTTGCAATCAACTATTTATTTGATTAATTGTGCATTAGCAGGATTGTGAATTGTATTGGTTTACTTTTAATAATAAATTTTATTCTCTCCATATATGAGTTAAATAATCATTGCTAATGATATAAAGTTTTGCTTATTTCAGTAGTATTTTTAAGCATGAGCATACTCTTTTTGTTGATAGAAATTTATGTAATGTTATGCTGTTACCTATACCAACAATTGCGGTATACCACAATATGTGTCGGTCGGTTCATAGTTTGTCTTTTCACCATGCCGCAATATATCGGCCGGTTCACGATTTCATTAAAAAGTTGTAGTAACCGAACCGCAACCACCCCTAGTTGGATTGATGTTTTGGTGCGGTCAATTGAAGAGGTGTCCAAGTTTCCTTTTTTTTTCTTTTTTTTTCCCTCATTCTTTTGTTTCCTTGTGACCAATTGGTTCAGGTCATGAATCTTTTTTTCAGATTCCGCTATTGTTCGTGCCTCTCACTCACATTTGGATTTTGAATAAAAATTTTGCTATATTTTATACTCTTGTGAGGTGCTTCTATTTTATAGAGCATCTGTTCCAATTAAAAAAAAAATTACTACTACATAAACGATCAATGAACCATTTTCTATGTATGGTTTTACTCCTCATTGAAAATGGCATGGAGAGAGTGAAGTGAGGTAAGAAGCTTTTACAAGTAATGGTTGATAAGAAGTTTGAGACATGTGGCCTAGACAACATTGGATCGAGCTTTGAGTATTAGACAGACTCCGCTTGCCCTGTAGAGTCTAACTCTTATATAAGTCTTGTTTTCTTTTAGAGGCATTTATACTAACACTCATGAGGTTTTGAGGGTTTTCACATAACCCTCTAAGGTCTTAGAAAACAAATTTTCCCTAAGGTTTCAAAATTGTTACAGATAACTCCATAAATCCAATTCAGAAGAAAACGAAGAAAAAAAAACCCTAGTTCATAAGACTCTTCGTACTCCGTTCCCCCAAGAAAAAGAAGATGTTTCATACTTCTCGTCCATATCTTCTTCATATGCTATACTCCTTTGCAGCAGCTAAAAAAAGGAATTTCAACCAATGAAGGGGTTGTAAAGAGAAAGAAGAGTGGAGAGTACATGGCCCTTTTTTAAGGGATTGTCGTATACCTAGTAGTGGAGATTAGCCACATGGTGTTGGTGATGAAAACATGCATGCAACTTGTTCAAAATTTTGAAGGTTTTAAGGATGATAACGAAAGTGAAGATGGTGATGGTAGTGATCATGAGATTTATGTATCTGGAGATGCTGTGAGGTGTTCCCATTTATTGATGATGAGGATGATTTGAGGGTTTAGGTGTTCTTATTTTGAAAGTTGAAGGGGTGTTTGTGCCAACACAAGCTAAGCTTAAGCTAGCTAGTTTGAATTGAACAAGTGTATTGGGGAAGAGAGGGTCAGGCTTTGGTTTGATAAAAATTGCCAAATATACATATTTTGAAGAAATAAAAGATCAATCGATACGATAACCTTTCCGCTGGATGGTGGTGTCAAGAAGTAAGGCTAGCGGAGCTAGTCAGAAGACAAGAGATGGATGTTCAATTCAATTCCATTAGCTAGCCTCCTGATTAATATAAGCAAGTAAACCATCGCTCTGTGTTCTCCTTCTCTGATGCAACCACCCTACACTTCTACAGCCCAATACAATGTCTTTCGTGGCTTTGGCCCAATATGTGTATTTCTCCTTTGTTAGGCTCTTTTACTTTTCCCCACCTTGTTGGGCAGACTAAAGTAACCGTTAAATAGCTGTCACGTGTCTTACATTTTCATCCTTATCAGCTTTCCATCTTTGTTGTATTAAAGGAGTCTGGCCTCACAATAGTGAGGCAGAGAAGAACATACATTTCCTATTTTCAATTCTTTCTTTATCTTTTGCCTTGTTTTCAGCACCCGTGTACACATCATTTTCTTTGGGTGTTTTCCTTTAACCAAACACAACAAACTAATAAAGGACCTTTACTAGCTAGTGCTGCGCCCTTTTTTCATCTCAATCCTTATCCATTTAATTATGTATGGAGAGAGAGAGAGAGAGGGAGAGAGAGAGAGAGAAAGTCAATACAAGCCATGCCCTCCATTATTCTTGCTTTACTCTTAACCCCATCTTCCTTATGCTGTACCTTGTTGAGCAATATATATATATAAAAGGACGGTCCTGCAGCATTGCATGCATATCCTTCCATATTATTCCAACTTTGCTTCAATTTGACAAATGTTACCTACTAACATTTGTTTGATTTGATCAATTTCTACTAACTATCTCAGAGACAAATCTGGAGGCAAGGGCAACAGTAACATCTGGCTGGCTACAGGAAGAAATGGATTTGAGGAAAACACGACATGGGGGTTTGAGATTTCCTTCACTTCCACGTATATTCAATTGGCAAACTTTCTTTTTCAAACCGTTGATTTCTTCTTATTTTTTCTAATGTCAAAATTCCAAAATTCCCTTTCAACCTATAATGATTTCGAATAAACCAGAAAGTTAAATCCAAATTATTATTTTTTCCAAAAGGAACATGAATGTCTTATCGATGCCTAATTATGTGGACTTCCTTACAATATTATATTTGCACTAATCCTAATTGAACAACTGGTTATCTACTAAACCCTTAATTAAGATCTTTCCCTAGCCTATGATTTTGAACTCCATAGTTTTAAACCAGTACAATCTCATATTAATTATGAAAAACTAAACCAGAGTAGTAGGTTTAAATTTCTAGAGATATTATAATTAAGGATCAATTAAAGTAAATCCCTCAAACTATGGGGTTCATTGCAAACTCATACTCAACCTTTAAAACCTCATTTGACCGATACCCCAATTTATAAGAACCCTACAAATGACACTCTGTTACCCAGTCTGTTTATAGATCTGTTAAATGTTGATGTGGCCAATGTAAATCACATTTTTAAAGCCGATTTGAACTACACATAGAAAAAAACAATTAAAAAATTGTAAGATTAAGAACTTTGTTTCGGTGCTTTCCTTTGTAATAATATATATAAGAAACTTCTGGCAAAGGAAGACGTGTACCTATTTCTCATAAATTAATGCTTGTTGTCCTCGATCGATGTGTTTATCCTGTGGACTAGTCTGTTGATGACTGGTTTAAAGGTTGCAGTTCTTCCTTAATACGGACGGTCATGAATGATCGTACGTACATATAACGTCATTGTTGTTCAGTTGCTTTGTTTTATGATCAAATGCTCTGTCTGTTCTTGATTTTATGATACAACACTCATATATATCAAAGTTATAAGCATACAGTTAACACATGAAAAGAAAGTTATATATTAATTAATTACCACCATTTTGACAAATTAATTCATATGTCAATGTCATCATCTTATTGTGGGATAAAAAACTTCCATGATTAGCTATAAGATGGCACAATGGCATCCAAGTTTCCCTCATTCAGCTAAGATGCCACTTTCCTTCCTTCCAGATGGTCAAAAGTTAAAAAGCTAATTAAGGTGTCTCTCATTTTCAATCTGCTGGTCACGGTTAGTACAATCTCACTGTTTCTCACGCTAGTTAGCCTATATATAAATCATACAACTACTAGTGCCTCTCTCGTATTGATTAACATAAGAGATCATTCGATATCGATATCGAAAATGCCATCTTCTTCTTCTTCTTCTTCTTCTTCTCCTCCAAATAATTACAATATTAAAATATTGGCAAGTATTTTGTTTGCCATATTATTAATCTTGTGTGCGGGTGCAGGATATGGTGAGGCCCAGCTGAGCCCTACGTTTTATGAAGAAGACTGCCCAAATGCCACAAGCATTGTGCGTGCTGTCATTGGAGAGGCTTTGCAGACAGATCTCCGTATTGCTGCCAGCCTCACCAGGCTTTTCTTCCATGACTGCTTCGTCAACGTACATATACATATGCTTTATTACATTATACATGCATATGCATGCATATCTATATGCATCAAAAATCCTCTTACGTACATATATATGGCCTGATATAATCTATTTAATTTCAGGGTTGTGATGGATCAGTCTTGTTGGACAACAGTAGTACCATAGACAGCGAGAAAGGAGCATTTCCAAATAACAACTCAGCCAGAGGATTTGATGTTGTGGACAACATCAAGACTGCTTTGGAGACTGCTTGCCCCGGCATTGTTTCCTGTGCTGATATTCTCGCCATTTCTGCTGAAGCATCTGTTTCTTTGGTACATATATATATTTCAACAACAATACATATACATATATATATATATATCGATCTCTTCTTGAAATTAATTTTATGGTTGCAGTCTGGAGGCCCCTCATGGACAGTTCTATTAGGAAGAAGGGATAGCACAACAGCGAATCGCACGGCTGCCAACGAAGCCCTTCCAGCTCCCTCTTTCACCCTTGACGAACTCAAGGCCAGCTTCGCAGCTGTAGGCCTCGACACCACTGATCTGGTTGCACTATCCGGTAAGTAAGGAAGGAAGGAAAAGGAAAAAATGAAGGAAATATTAATATACGTACGTGTGTGTGTATGTTGCTCTTTAGTGGCAACATTTGACATGCATAACATAACAGGTGCTCACACATTTGGGCGTGCTCAATGTCAATTTTTCTCCGACCGATTGTATGACTTCAACAGCACAGGCAGTCCTGATCCGACCTTAAACTCAACCTACTTAGAAACACTGAGTGCGTTATGCCCGGAGTCCGGGAATGGGAGTGTGCTGGCCGATCTCGACCCTTCAACTCCTGATGGTTTCGATGCCGACTATTTCTCTAATCTTCAAGTTCATTATGGCCTTCTCCAAAGCGATCAAGAGCTATTTTCGACCAGCGGGGCTGATACCGTTGACATTGTTAACAGCTTCAGCGCTAATCAAAGCGCCTTCTTTGAGAGCTTTGTGATATCTATGAATAAAATGGGGAATATAAGCCTCCTGACCGGAACTGATGGAGAGATTCGATTGAACTGCAGTAAGGTTAATGAAGATTCATATGGATCATCTGCTACTTCGATAGCTGAGTATTAAGGCTATGTAAATCTAATCAAGCTTAATGCCTGATATGATGATTATGATGATCATGTCTATGACTTCATGTTCGAGATTATATGACTACGAGCTCATCACTTTCTATGAAAGTTCTTGAATAAAACTATGACATGATTTACTATTATACTTGTTTTTTTTCTTCTTCTTCTACTTTTCTATAGAGATGCTTTTGTTTATGTGACTCAGGCACGCACTCGGGATTCAAAAGTAAGGTGGGTTAACTTTTAGGCCAATTTTTCCAATCGAAAAGTTTCACTTGAAAATTTGGCGAGTCTACTTTGTTTTTATTTATTTTATAGAATATTAACAAGGATGGAGGTGAGTGAAAAGTCACTAGTGGGGATAGACTTATGTCTAATGAGCTGAGCATATAGTGTGAGGAACACCAGGGAGTAACTGCAATCCTGGTATCTCAAAGGAGATTTTCTCTCCTCTGTTAAATTCTGCTTTCTGTAAACGGATGGATGAGCATCCCTCCTAAAAGTAAGTATGTATGTACTTAACGTATGAGTTACTTTTACAAGTCAAGGTATGTACAAAAACCAAAACTCATTCAATCACGCGTGTATGTTGATGAGATTTATAATCAAATTAAAAAGTGTTTTACAAACAATGGCATTCTCATATCTCGTTTCCTTTAATTATGGCATGCAGAGTGGAGAGTGTCGATAATATTGTGGGAAGCATTTGTAAACTAAAAGCTATAGCTACAAAGGGCGACATAAAGACGATTTGTACGTTTCTTCTTTTATTTGTGAAATCGTTATTGTAACAGAAAAATGACATTAAAATACAGAGACTGACATAACAATCAAAGAGCACAATAACAAGTTTGATGAACTGTAATGGTAAGGGGAAGAGATGGCCCGCTTTTGTTTCATAAAATTTCGAAAAGATTGGCCTCAGTGAGCATATGAAGAGCCAAATACATTCTCAAGAAAGACCGATAACCTTTCCGGTAGTGGTGTCAATATCAATGTCAAGAAGCAACGCCTAGTCAGGAGAGATTGATGCGCAATTCCTTTTGTCAGTTATAAGACTAATGGGAGGAAGTGACTAACCGCTGCTCTTCCATCATCGGCATGATGGATACAAATAACTGCATCATATGCCCCAGCACCATAGACTTTTGTGTTTGATATATATGAATTCACACAACCGGCCTCAACCAGAGTCACTTTCTCAGTTATGCAGGCATTACTACGCGGCTTCCCAGCAACAATTTCCAGCCCACCACCCTGCATTTTCAAGGCCCTTATAGTTGCAACTACAACTGCACAACGTGGTGTTGAACCACTATACCGGCATTTTATATTCATGAACTTCTCAGTATCAAAACCAGCTTCTGTGACCACCAACCCACCTGAACCAACCAGTTTCAGTGCACAGTGTTTGCAAAAGAACCAGCAGCATGAACAAGAAATTGAGTCCCTTCAAGAGTCTGCCTTAATGGAGGGTTGATAGCATCCTTCATTAATTAGCATCATTAATGCACCTCTTGCACCAGGATCATCAACACTTTCTGTTTCCAATCACCATTTGTCCATCTCCGCCAGAGACGTCCGTAAGGGCCAATACTGTCATTATTTCAGTGGCAACCGAAGCATCAAATCATGTTTCCCTTGCCATTCCTTCCTCTTACCCTATCCATCTCCAGCCTTCACCTCTTTCCCACATGTGCAAACACAACTTTGCACTAGAGCACATTGTCCCAACCCTTGCCTAACTACAACTTTTGTTCTTATCCTTCTTTACTATCTATAAGATCGAGAATACTTGTTGGATTTTCTCCATATATGTAATGATCAAAAAAAAAAAATACTACTTAATTTTATTTCTCTCATATCTAAAATGGTGTCCTCTGATTTTGTTGTTTCTTCTGTTTTATATTGCTTCTGGTTACGTCTAAGGAGTTGAGCATATATAAGCTCGTTCCATGTATCAGGAACACCAGGGAGGCACCAGTGACTGCAATCCTGGATCATAGGTGGTTTTCTCTCCTCCTCGGTTAAATTTGGCTTTCTGTAAATAGACGGATGAGCATCCTTCCGGAAATCAGTCATTGTTGTAATGTTCAGATAGAAGATTGGCGTCTTCATTTTCTTGACTACTGAGTCCAAGATTTTCATGTTCGATGGATATTCACCTGCATATTCCGTAGATTCCATGTTTGTAGTTGGCTTTGTCTCACCGTGACAATGCCCTCCAGAATTCCATTCTCCACCTCTGTGGAAGGGTAAAAAGATTATGAAGATGCGATACATTTGTTAACCAACCATGCGGTTCTGAAAGTCAGTACTTAATGTGTTTAATGTACCTAAAGTGAGAAGGTGAATAGCCCCGGAAGAAAACAGCAGTTTTCTTAGGATTTACATTGGTGTCCACCCATCTTGCCCATGTCGTTAAAGCTTTCTCAAATGCATCGTCGACATTCAATTCACCATATACATGGCTACCCTCTTGATAGTAACCCTTCCTGCAAGATAATTAAATAATGTAACTTTCCAGCCCAGTTTCCTAACATCAATGACATGGTGTGAAAGGGAGCATGAGTCTTACCCACTGGAAGTTTTCTCATGAGTCCACCAGTGACCTGTGTTAAAGATGAGAACATCTGCATTTTGGTAGTTATCAGAGGATCTCTCAATCAAATCAATGCGAAGTGTTTCCTTTTTTGATCCACTTGGTTCTGGCATCTCCCATTCTTGAACTAGAAATCGCGATTGAAAGAACTCCACTGAACAATTATAATCCTTTGATCCATTCAAGAACAAATACATAGAAACTACTTTAGACTAGCAACACCAAAACAAAAGAACGAAGAATTCATCAGGCTATAAATTCCAAATGAGATGATAGATGATGAACAACATACCTCGAATATAAAAGAGTAAGAACCCTCTGTACGAAATTCTTCCCTACCAGAGACTTCATAAACTTTGCTCTTATTATCCACTGAATTTCTAAGAATACAAAGCAAAGACTCCCACATATTCCTGTTGAGAGAATCACCAACAAAAACTAGACGCTTTCCTGTCAATAGTCTCAACATCTTCTTACCATTCAACCTGCACAAGACCAAAACCAACATCACTAAAACAGAACCAACAAGCTTTTCGAAGTTCACTTGCAACATAATAACCAACTAGAAGCAAAACCATTCTCGGAAATTACCTCAAACTAGAAGTCAAAGCAAATAAAATATAGCAGAAACAAAGCACACTTAAACTAGAAGTGAAAACAGTTCTGCAAATTACCTTGGGATACTGCAATGTTTGGGTTGCCATCTATACCTCTCGTAGCCATTATCAGGCCTACCGTTAAGAAAACAATTGAAGGGCTCATCTATAAGAGGGCAAGACCCCGGAGCATAAAGTGGGTACCAATTATCTCTCACCCAACTTCCATCAAATATGTCACAAGCATTCATCAACTCAGACTTCAATTCAGTTTGTTTGCCTTGCTTCTTAGACGAGGCCTTTTTACCATCACTTTTCTTTTTCGAACCATGTTTTCCATTGGAGTCTTCAGAAGAAGAATGAGAACGCACTTTAGAATCTTTAGGCTCCTTTGTGTCCTTTCTTTTCTTGGAGCCCTCCACTTTCCTGGAAAATTCGATTTCGGTGTTGCTGGAAGTCTGATTGGCGGATTCTGAGAACAAGGAAAGAATTGGGTTGGATGATTGAGCATCCTCATTATTATTTCCCTTCAAGCTTTCATTTTTCACCTCACCAACCTTCAAACTTGCAATCTCATCCAAATGTGGTGAAGAATCAGGTTTCCGGGCAAAAGGGTCAACTTTCCGGGAAAGCTCCAAATGTGCATTTGGGTTCTGAGGAGAAGAGTAGAAGGAGGCATGCAGGATGCTCTTGAAGCGCAGAGGAAGAGGGTTGAAAACCAAGAAGAAAGTGCAGGCAATGAAGGCGAATGTGAATGCATAAGTAAAGGCCATGGATTTTCTTTTGCTGAACAAGATCGAAAGCAGAGAAAAGTTGCTGGGGTCTATTTTTGTGGGCGATGAGTGCCTTGTTGAAGGTGGGCTTGTATTGCTCATGGCCGCTATGGAATCTGGAACTGTGATATGCGCAACTGAGGGCCGAGGAGAGACAATTGTCATCGACTCGGCTATTAACCTTGTGTGCAATTGGTGCCTTGTTGGATTGGATTGAGGAGAATCCGCCATTGTTATATAACTTGGTTTTTTTGTTGCTTCTGTAACTCAACAATAAAAACTAACTGAGGACAGGGAAGAAGGGTCTGATGTGAGTCTGCTTTATGACAACCCTGACTTGCCTGAAAAAGAGAGAAAGAGATGGTAGAGAAGAGACAACGCAGTTTCGGATTTGGTTGATTTCAATTGTCGTGAGAATTCATGCCACTTTTCTGTTAAGTTGTGGTTAATTAGTTAACTTAATTCAAGACATTTGCTATTTTTGGAGATAAGCAGGCAAGTGAGATTCTGTTCTGTTTGCTTGTTTTTTATTTTCTGTCTTTTCAGTTGCTCGTTGGAAGATCAACTGTTTCTTTGTCTTCTTTTTTGCCCTTTTTATTTATTGGGAAGATGCTACATCCACCACATCTTTGGGCTACATTAATTAACTACATGATGCAATCAATTATGACGTGTAATTGGTGCTATTTTTAACTTTATAATTTGGATTATCAGATGCATCTAATAAAATCAAAAAATAATTTTATAATTATTATTCATCATAATCCTCTTACCTATTTTCTGATATGAACACGTGCATGATTTAATTTGCTAGGCAGTGATTGATGTAAACACCAAATGTGTGGTTGTACAGAAACAACTCTTATAATAGAATAAATTATTCATCGGGTTAAAAAACACAATAAGCCTAGTTATCAACCTCAGAGATTTCTTTATTTGTGAAATCGCTATCTAGTAATACAGACAACTGGCTCAAGGAGCGAAAAACACAATTTCAGAAGTTCGAAGAACCGTATTGGTAAGGTTGCCTCTGTGAGCTTAGGGAGAGCCAAATGCAGAATGACATTCAAGAAAGACCAATGACCCTTCCGGTGGTGGTGTCAAGATCAATGTCATAGAAGCAAGGACGAGTCGGAAGACCCGGCATTGTACTCATTGTTCCCACCAAAGGATATATAAATCCGGCCCCAATGCTAGCCCTTACATCCCTTATTGGTAAGACAAATCCGGTGGGGGCTCCTTTCTCAGAAGCATTATGTGAGAATGAATACTGGGTTTTTGCCATGCATATTGGCAGACCAGAAAACCCCTGCTTGCTGTACATCTCAATCTGTTTCTCAGCCTACTCACACAAATGAAGAAAACTCATATCAATAAGCACGTCCAGTATACTTCTATTACAAGAGTTTTAATTCAGTGGTGCCAAGAATAAAATGAAAGGAGAAATCAGAAAGTATGTCTCACACAAATGAAGAAAACTCATATCAATAAGCACGTCCAGTATAATTCTATTACAAGAGTTTTTATTCAGTGGTGCCAAGAATAAAATGAAAGGAGAAATCAGAAAGTATGCCTACCCTCTCTAGAAGAATCAAGTTCTGTTTGCAGCACAATACATGGTTTTTTTTAAATGAGAAAAACAAGACAAATAGTTGCATTCATTGGTAATTTGTCTATCAATGAATCAAAATTAAATTAACTCCAGATATTGAACTTCAAGGATCTCACAACAGATGAGCTTACCTGCTCTGAGTATTCAACACCGCTTGCACCATATGACCTGGCTATTGCCTCTATCTTCTCTTTAATACTAAAATCCAAAGGGTATAGAAATTTCAATGGTTGTGTAACATTCTCACAGGCTCTTTGGACTGCAATCCCTAGATCTACCTGAACATCACAATAAACTTCATCAACTATGCAGACCATTTATGGCAGTCTAGAGAAATACAAGGAGCAAGTTATACATGCAGTTTCCTGGACCAATGGAAGCTCTGGCCTTCAACAGATGCAGACATTGGTAGATTTTCTAATTTTCTTGATATTTATTTCTTTGCTATAGTTGAAGGTATTTTTCATTCTAAGATGTGCCTATTGTCAGAAATGTAATGATTCGAAAGGATGTGAGGGAAAGCAACAACACAAGCATAGTTGAATACAGTTAAAATCACAATTCAAGAAAAGAAAAAATAAAAAAGACATTGAAGCCTAAGCACACGATGGAATATCTTTGAAGAACTATGATTCATCATACGCTGCCAAGAGTACTATTAGGCTCCAACAGCACGTAAAAGAAAGAAGAAGTGAAAGTCTAAACTCAGTTTATCCTGGGAGTAAAACTGGCATTGCAAATTGTAGTGGGGTGTCCACTGCAAGCAAGAAGAAAAAGCTTCCGCATCATGCAACAAGGTAATTCTAGAGCTCACAAAATGCTTAGTGTAGATCCTATAATTTTGTACTCTCTCACATAATTTCTATATGCTTCAAGAGCAAGAAATTGATCTCTTTTAGTCAACAAAAACTAATTAGTTAAAGGGATATATGACTAACCGCTCCTTTTCCACCATGGGCATGGTGAGTACAAATAACTGCATCATATGCCCCAGCAGCCAATGCTGAATTTCTAACTGCATTTAGTTCTGCTTCACTGTCAGTCGAGAACTTGTTCACAGCAACAACAACATTCACACCATAGGCTTTAGTGTTTGAAATATGCTTGGCCAAATTTATACAGCCTGCCTCAACCAAAGCCACGTTCTCAGTTATATAGGCATTGTTAAGAGGCTTCCCAGCAACAACATCCGGCCCACCACCATGCATTTTCAATGCCCTTATGGTTGCAACTATAATTGCACACTGTGGTGTTAAACCACTATACCGGCATTTTATATTCATGAACTTCTCAGTACCAATATCAGCACCAAACCCAGCTTCTGTGACCACAAACCCACCTGGTCCCACCAGTTTCAGTGCAATCTTATCAGCCACAATAGAGGAATTCCCGTGCGCAATGTTTGCAAAAGGACCGGCATGAACAAGAACCGGGGTCCCCTCAAGAGTCTGCATTAATGTAGGGTTAATAGCATCCTTCATTAAAACAGTTAATGCACCTCCTACGCCAAGATCATCAGCAGTTACAGGGTCACCAGCCCTGCTGTTTCCAATCACCATTTTCCCAAGCCTCTCCCTCATATCTGCTAGAGAAGTTGTAAGGGCCAAAACTGCCATTATTTCACTGGCAACTGAAATATCAAATGCTGTTTCTCTCACCATCCCTTTCTCATCAGGGCCTTGACCGATTGTAATCTTCCTCAAGAACCGGTCATTTATGTCCATTACTCTTCTCCATGTGATAGAATCTGGGTCAATATCAAGCCTAGCAAATTTCTTAACTTCTTCTGGGGTAAGATCCTCAGGACTGGTCTTGGAGATGCCAAGCTTCGTCAGACGTCTAAACATGATGTCATTAAAGCTCCGTTTCCCTTCTTTGTTTGGTGGGCATAACCGGTTCATTAGAGCCTTATCTGATTGGGTTGCCTCATGGAAAATCCGAGTATCAATGGCAGCAGCCAGAAGATTGTTTGCAGCTGTAATTGCATGAATATCTCCTGTTAGGTGAAGATTAAACTCATCCATTGGGATCACTTGACTGTAACCACCACCTGCTGCACCCCCTTTAATTCCAAAAGTTGGTCCTTGTGATGGTTGACGAAGGCAAGTAACAACCTAATATCATAAAATAAAAGGGGAGAATAGATGATCAGGACCATACTATCTACTTCTGATATATAACTGCCAATTTTAAAAGTTTTCTATCCAAGAAATTGTCATAACAATATAAAATTCCATTAGCATTTGAGAAGCAGTACTAAGGAAAGCTGGACAAGTCTCTACCTTTGGCAAGACCTGCTTTGTTTTTAAGTCTTTCATACAAACTGCAATATTACAAGAAAACTTAAAAACAAAGGAGATAAATACAAGGCATGCTTGAAATACTTTGTTTTACATTTTGAATAAGACAAGATGGAACAAATGAACTGATTTCTTATCTTATCTACAGGATTCTCTTTCGTCATAAAACACACTATATCTCTTCAGATGCAGATAAAATTCAATAACCAGCAGATAAACTTGCGTATGCATCTTGTTATTAATGCTTGACAGTCTAAGACTCAGTGGTTTTTTTGCTCACCAATTAAACACTCCAAACTCAGCATTAACATTTAAACTCAGTTTCTTGATAAGAAAAACAAAAGCAGCCCCAAGTATAATCAATAACAAACAGCAAGTAATCAGTTTAAGAATTGCTGATTCCAATTTTTTTGTTCTTCTTTTGACAAGCAAATTCCTAGAAATGAAAATATGGACAGAGCATTAGATTGTTGTATCTTAACAAATCCAAAAGATAAAACAAATTTTCTATCAAAAACCAAAAAGGTAAAAAATTTCACCTTCTTATCCTGAAAAGCACCCAAAGCTTGACAGAGTCCAACAGTAGTGGTAGACTTGCCTTCTCCGAGAGGGGTAGGTGTAATTCCTCCAACCACAACATAATACCCATCACCAGATCCTTTCAGCTCATCAATCACAGACAAAAGAACCTATAAATACACCCAACCCAATACGCATAAATTATATGCCCACCAAATGACCACGTAAGAGAAAACAAATCAAAAGGTAATTACATATCAATGAAGCAAATGAATGAAATGGGCACCTTGGCCTTGTATTTTCCATAAAGATCATAGTGCTTGGGACTGAGATTGAGGTCCTTGGCAATCTCAGAGATGTGGAAAGGCTCGACAGAATTGGCAATGTCTATGTCTGCTGGGACCGGAGACGCCACCTGCAGCTGCCTCACCGTCTTTAACGACAACGAAGAACTCATTTTGGGCTCCGAGAAGAAGATGTCAAATCTTTTGGCTTCGTTTTTTCTGGGTGTGATCTCTTTTATTTGGTTTCTCTTGGGTCTGGTATCGGTTGACTCGTTGAAGATGATGAAGTGGAGAGGTTGAGTTTTGAGGAACATTGATTTGAGTGCGCTTTTTAATACTTAATTCTTATCCTGCGGGTCCAGGATTCTGAGCTGCTGCGCCAAATGGTTGGTGAACCGGATAATGTCACATGTGGTATTGCATCTGTGATGAAATCTGAACCGTTGGATTAGAATTTCAGAGGATTGGATGTGTGGGGCCCACCTCATATTGTCATACATGCGTATACAAATACCTTACTTATTATGTACAATACAATCTCATCACATCTTCAAGTTCAAGTAACTTTCTCCTCAACAAAGACTAAGGTCTTACTTAAGTTATGCAACTCCATTTCTCAAATCACGAGCATGCTCAAATTATCGAGTGAAACAATGGCGGAGAGTTACCCCAACACCACTTATATATTGACATGACACTGCCTGATGACCAAACAATGCATAAAGGGATATCGCTCACAAGGCAAGATATCCAAACCATAACCGATCATCACTACTACAGGCAATATGTGTAACACATTCGGCCAAATTCAATAGACAATAGTTAACATATGGAAAGAAGCCAAAACCAGCAACTTGGGAAACAAGATTAAATGAATTAGTGGTATTGCTAAAGTTTCACAGCTCAAACAAGAGTTAACAAGTGAGAATGTGATTTCAAAGATTAAATTGAAGGAGTACGAACAAATTACAAGGCTCACCGGATCAATGAGAGACGTTTGGACCAGCCAAATGCTTGGTGTTGTGATCTGATTGTAAGAATTAAGAACCACCACAAGAATGCAAGAGAAAATGAAATGTGAAAGGAAGAGGATGAGGGAATGTGAAGGGAAAGGGCATGCACTTGATGAACAAGTGGCAACCTGAAACATTGCCATTTAGGCCCAAATGTACATGTGTTGTCATTGAGGGTAGAGAACTTGGTACCTTAGGAAAAGGAAAGGTGCATGCATATTAGACACACACATATATATAGAGAGAAAGATGTTCAAGATATTAAATCAATAGCCAACGGCATTACGTTGAAATATTCTTGAGTGTGAATATCACACCGAAGAATTTCTCGACTACTAAGTGAATGAAAATAATTAATCAATAGTGCTACATGTCACATTATATTGAAAAATTCTTGAATGCGAATGTGAGACTGAGATGAGGTCTAAGATAATTAAGCGCACAAGCCATATAAACTGCATTCATAATTCTCACGACAAACGGGGCATGAAAGCTGAGAAGTGAGCCAAAGATTAGTGCAGGTCAAATGGAAGGCGTGGTTGCATGAAGGCACAACGCGGCAGCAGTCACCATTCACGAAATCTTCAAAGCAAATATCACACCGCTTCTGCTGGCAACTGCTTGTTCTGTAAATTGTGGGCTTGGGGGCAACAAGAAGACGAACAAGTGAAGCAATTAGCAGAAGGAGAAGTAAGGTTCCAATTGAGATTAAAACTACGAGCAAACCAAAATGAATATCATCACTTGTCATCTCACTTGTCAGAAAAAATTAGAGACACAGAGGTAGAAGAAGTGAAGATTTATAGATATATGTTTGGAATTCTAAAACCACTTAATGGGAAAGTTTGTTAATTGCCTCCATTGATGCCTTGATCATTTCTCTTGATTTTCTTTCATTTAATTGTACTATTATTTTTTATCTTAAAATTAAAGTATCGTTATTTGTGAGGTAAAGTTAGCAATTTCGGACATTGATTATATTTCATTCACCCAGCTGGATTACAATTAGGAGATCAATTGTGATTGATTATAATTAATTGTGATATTTAATTACCATCACATATCTTTTTTTTTAGGGAAATTAATGTTTAATTCAATTTCAATTCATGTTCTTTTTTTGTCAGTGGGAATATGTATACTTGAGTGACTGAAAAAATCTTGACATTTCACTTTGATTTGATTAACCCTTTTTTTTTTAATAGAACAAGGGATTAGGAGAGATTAGCTCCTCAGTTTGCTTTGGATTAACCATTAATTAAAACAACATAGCTTAGGGCAGGATATAGACCATTAAAATGCAACGAATTATGTAGAAATGTTTGTATAGGTTACAAAGTTCTTCCCATCAATTTTGGTGGGAAGGTTAATTGGCTCCTGAATGGTTGGCTTTACAATTGGTAATTGACATGGAGAGTGGGTAGATTTATTTTTTTTGGTTATTTAGGATGTTGGGATACTCTTTTTTCTTTGACCGAATTTCTTCCACCGAGGGTCTTATAACTACTTGTACTCTGGCATTTGTTCAATGAAATTTCCACTTTTCGATTGAAAACAGAAATGTGTATTACATAATGACTGAAAAAAGAAGAAGAGAAATGCGCGTTACATCAATAAAACATATAAACTAGTTAATTAACACAAGTCATATACAGTGGAGATAGGGTTACGACAAATGGGACAAGTTAGCTGGGAAGTGAGCCAAGGATCAATGCACATCAAATGAAAGGTGTGCTTGCAAGCAGGCAGAACCCGGCAGCAGTCACCGTCGACAAAGTCCTCCATGCAAATAACACATTGCTGCTGGCAACTTCTTCTTCTGGTTATGAATTCACGGCTTCTGTAAATTGTGGGTGGCGGCAGAAGCATCTCCAAGGGTTTTCTTCGAAATGGGTCAACAATGGCAAGGAACAAGGAAACCACTATCATAAAGACAGCTAGGATGCCGATTGGGATTAAACTTGCAAGCCCAACAAAATAACTACTATAATTTATAATCTCATTTATTAGAAAAATTCCCAACAAAACTAGTAGAATACCAAGAGCATTAGGGTAAGGAGAAGGAGGAGGATGGGGAGGAAGTGATGGTGTTGAATAAGAAGAAGGTAGCATGGCTCATTGATGTTTGCTTAAAGTGAATGTGATCATTGTAACATAAAGTTTAGGGTTTATATATTTTAAAATTCAAATAAGTTTATTCCCGCATCCGAGAATTTGTGTTTGAATTTTCACTTTTTTAACATTGCTTGTATCGAAAAATTATAACCAATTTATATGAAAATTGCCTCCATTATGCCTTGATCTCCCATTTCTTTAGATTTTCAGTCCTTTAAATTTTATTATTATTCTTGTCTTATTTTCCTTATTGAAATATTATGTACTTGTATATTATCTCTAACATTTTCATTCAATTATTATGTTTCCCGATCAATTATTATTTATTCACATATAATACTGTGATGTGAAGTTGGCAATTTGGAAAAGATTTCACACTATTTCATTCAACCAGTTGGATACCTAAAGAACTTTCTTCTATTTATTTATTTTATTTTATTTGTAATTGTTAATTGTTAATTACCATATTTTGGCTGTCAATAGGAAATTGATTGTGATTGATTGTAATTAGATTACGAAGATAAATTGTGATTGATTGTAATTGATAATCTTAAATTACCTTATGTTTATGTAATTTAACAATTAATGATGGGCAAGTGGTTTGCAGCTCAATATCTGTCCTTGCACGTGCAATCAAAATTCTAGATTTGATTCTCTCTCAATATCGGTCCTACTTAAAAAAACAATAATAAGTAAGATGGTGTAAATTTAGGAGATGGAAATATGAAAATAATCAAAGTAAAGGAATATGTGCAAAAAACCAAATGTCTGTAAAATAAGAAAAAATGTTTTTTGCTTTCTTTTCATGAGGAAATAAAAATTCTATTTCCTATGTAATTCTATTTTCTTCAGTTAAATATAAATTGCTGAAAAGAGATGACTTTATTTTATTATTATATTATTACTAGTCCCTTGACACATGCTCACTCACGCATGTGTCAATTGGTTTTTTTATTTATTTTATTTTTAGAATTAAAAAAAGATAAAATGGGTAGTTATGTTCCATACAAGTAGGACTATTATCTTTATTTTTTTATTTTTTTATTTTTTTTAATATAAAAAAATGTGAACCATATTATCCCCATTTAATTAATAATTTCAAATTTTAATGTTTGAATTAACCAATGACATTTTCTGGTATTTTGAATGTTTCATCATTCTTTGCCTTTTACTTTATATATACTAGCCTCTCTGAACGCGTTTCCGCGCCTGCGAGAGGTTTTTTTATTTTTTATTTTTAAAATTAAATTTATTTTATAATTAAAAAAGATAATGGGTAGTTGTGTTACATAAAAATAAGATATATTATTTGATTTTTCTTTTCATTTTAATTTTTAAAAAATATGAAAAAGTATGAATTTACCATATTATCCTCATTTAATTAATAATTTTAATTTTAAATGTTTGTATTAATTAAGGGAATGTTTCACTATTCTCTATCTTTTACTATATATATATATAGATAGATAGATTATTATTATTATTATTTTCTGGTTGATCTAGGCCGAACGTAAGGAAGGAGAGGTTACTTCAAAAAAAAAAAAAAAAAAAAAAAAAAAAAAAAAAAAAAAAAAAAAGGGGGGGGAAAGAAAAAAAAAAAAAAAAGCCCAAAAGCCCAAACCAGTTAACAAACCTTTACAAGTTGCTACTTACAAGTACAAGTCCTCTTCTTTCGTTTCCTCCCTCTCTTTCTTCGCTCTCTTATACTCCTCAGTCCTTACAGCCGCCGCCTCTCCATCTCTCGTCCCTTCTCATCACTTCCCTTTAAACTCCATTGAAGATTGTTGCCCAAGCTTCCACAAAAATCTCTCAGGGTAAGGTAACTCATTCTTAAACTCTTTTTCAAGTTCAAGCTCCATTGATGAGCTCAAGCTTTGTTTTTTTTCTTTGTTTTATTTATTTATTATGACTACACAAGTCTTCATCCTATTTGGTTATGGTGCTTTCGAGAGATGGGTTTTGCTTTGAGGCTTTCAATTTTGTTTTGCAGCTTGTTTTTAGGTGGGTTTGTTGCTCTGTGTTGTGTTGGGTTGCCTTTACCTCTGCGAAATCATTTTCAGCGTATTATTATATAGATTGGTCGAGTTAAACTCAAATTATTTGTTCATATTTCTTGTTACTTTACTCAATATTATACCATCACATATTTGCGTGGATCACCTTTTTTAACAGTGCCTCTTTTCGCTAAGTCTATGGTAGACCTTGTTGACGGAGGTTAAGACTGTTTGGGTTATTCCAAAAGGTTGCTAATGCTATGATTTTCTCTGTTCCCATTGTGTCATTTGGGGCAGGGGGAAGCGTGCTTAAACCTTATGGGGTTGCTTGGTACAGTCTCTATTTTGGAACATTTGGATGGAGCGCAACAAGAGGATTTTTTTTATGAGGATGAGGGAGTGGGTGTTGGTGTGTCACTTCAGATTTTGGGGCTTTTTTTCTGGTTCCTTATGTTTTTCTAGGCCATGTATGATTTCTTTCAGTTCTTGAGCTGGGCCAAAATGAATGCATTATACTTAAAAAGGTATAAAACAATTTTTTTAACATAGGCCGCCTAACGTGCAACTAAAACGGTGCGTATTACAATTAGGGCACCTAACATCATCTTCTTCACTAGTTAGCCGCCTCTTCTTCGCACAGCAACTGTCTGCAACTGAAGATTCGCAGCAGCTGCAAGCGCAAGTAAGTTCTTTTCTTCTTCATTCTTCCTTCTTCCTTCTTCCTTCTTCTTCTTCTTCTTCTTCTTCTTCTCTTTTGGTTGCCGTCAAAATTACCCCTTGACGTATCGGGACCGTATAGCGACGGTATCGCGAGTCGCGACCGTATCGATGGAGCATATCATATCGCTGCTGCTGTGATGTGAAGTGTTTGTTTTGCGACTTGGTTTCTTTGGGTCTTTCTGGTGTAGCAGTCTTTGTGTAGTTTGGCTGGTGTCTTTGTTTTTTTAGTCTGTTTTTCTGTTGTTGCTCGTTTGGCTTCTGGATTTCTTATCCACCTGTGTGTTCCTCTTCTTTTTCTTTCAATAAATTTCGTTTCTATTTAAAAAAGTTTGATATTCTTTTATGTGATAATCATTGCTATGAAAGCACTTCTTGAATTGTCCTGCTGTAGAAATTCTAACAGAAACTTCATATGCCTTTTCACTGACAGCAACTCCGCCAATGAAGAGTAAAAAGGGAAGTAAGAAGCGTGCAGCAGCACCGGATCCAGATCTTCCAACTGTTAAAGACATCGTTGAACTTGGTAAGGGTTCTTATACTCGACACAAAACTAGGATCACCGTTTGGGATTTTTGAATAATACTGGTTCTATTCCAAACCCCTCCCCATTCAAGAGGGGGGAAAAGGAAAGGATTAGATAAAGTGCACTACTGCGTTTGTACTATCAAAATTCATGTTATTATGATGAAGTATAACGTGAATCATGATTATTTGATTACATGTTTTCATATTTTATTCAAACTTCCTAATTGTAGATTAGGAGGACAACTGTTCATGCACAATATACAAATCTTGGGCATTTGGTTTGTTGATATGTGTACCCTTTATCCATGTAGGTAATGGAGAGGCTGCAGACGGAGTCCTTGTTGAGGATGATCTGAATGAACCAACCATGGGAGAAAAACTTGAAAGTTTAAATTTATTAGATAATGATGGACTAAAGAGCCAAGATAAAGAAGACTCTTCTCTCAATGCAAAGCCTCCAAGTGCAGACTCTGTTCATATTTTACTTAAACAAGCACTACATGCTGAAGACCGTGCCCTTCTATTAGATTGCTTATACACCCAAGATGAGAAGGTAATAGCTCCCATAGTTCATATTAATTATTTAAAACTGATGTTTGAAGATAAGTGTTAATGTGGATGATATAATCTATTGTTTTAGGTCATTGCAAAGTCTATCTCACTATTGAATCCATCTGGTGTTTTGAAGCTCTTACAATCTCTCATTTCTATTATTCAGTCGAGGTAAGCTAGCTAGTAGTACACTGTATATGCCGGATGATTTTTTGGTTTACCTAATTGATTCATTTTTGTGCTGTATTTTTTTACTCCAGGGGTGCAATTTTGGCATGTGCACTTCCATGGTTGAGAAGTCTACTTCTTCAACATGCAAGTGGTATAGTGTCCCAAGAATCTTCTTTAAGTGCCTTGAACTCCTTGTATCAGGTCAGCAACTTTTGATATAGATATATCCCCTCCCAAAGAAAAGTTATTGTTTAAGAAAGAGCCAACTGGACTTCGTTTCGAAATTAAAATTACTTGGTTGAATGTAAAATTAAACCTTAGGAAGTGGCATGCTCTTGCTCAACGTATATCACTAGTTCATTTTCGTTTTTCTTTCATTTCCTGTTTTTTCTTTTCTTATAGAAAGTTGCAAGTGAATAATGAAATGCTTTATATCATGTCATAGGAAAGCCTTCTAGTTTTTGTTTTTTCTAATGGAATTTGTCATTATATATGCAGCTCGTTGAGTCCAGAGTTTCCACATTTCAGTCATCTCTTCAACTATCAAGTGTCTTAGACTTACTTTATACAGGGGTAAGGGTGCTTGTGTTAGTGAAATTCATTGCAAATGGGATACTCTCGAAAACATAGTTAATGCAAGCTTTTTGAACAGGTACTTGATGATGTGGATGAGACTGGCACCACAATTCCTGTTGTTTATGAGGACAATGATGACAGTGATGAAGAGGAATCTGAGGATGCCATGGACACCGATCAAGACGATGAAGATGAAGAGGAGTCAGATGCAGCACTTGATGGTGTTAGTGATTTTGAAGGAATTGAGGACATAAGTGATTGATGCAAAATTTGAGATTCCTTCTGATTGTGTTCAGATGGGGCTGATAATGTTCCTAATTTATTAGTAATTGTACCAATCACATGAGCATTCAATATGAAAGAAATTTTGTTGCATGCTTGTCTATCGTTCAAGTTGAAACCTTGGAAACTTGTGATGGAGATGAAGAAATTTATTAGGCATATGGAGAGGAGGGAGAGATAGTGGTGAGTCACGTGTGATCAGTTTTACTTTCTCCACCGTCACTAAAAGTTTCCAAGGTTTTCGGTTGATAATGTATTAGAAGTGACCGAGTCCAATATATTTAAATAGCAGCTATACTTTTGAAATATTTGAATGTCACAAATCAGACAATATTTAGATCAAATTCACTGTATTCACATGAAAAATACCTAACCAGCACAAATGAGCTTCAACAAATAGTAAAACTTTCTATTTTTGACACGTGACACCTAATTGCCTGCCAGCGGAGAAATAGGAAAACTTTCCTGGCAACAAGTTTCTGCCCGCCTCAAGGTCAAGGGCTCTCCCTCCCTGGCGTTCCATTTTTGTATATTTAATATTTAAATAGTATCACCGCACGGCTATACCTTTTTAATATAAATGAATATTTAATTAGTATCGGCTATACCGTTCTAATATATTCGAATATTTAATTAGTATAGCCGCGCTGCTATACCGCTGAAACATATTCGAATATTATACCAGCTGCCAGGGCCTCTCACTCTGTTCTGCAACTCCAGTCTCTCCAGTCCAGTAACCTCAAGACACTCACCTCACTAGGTGCTCAATTCGGTGGTTGATAACCCAACTAAGTCCAAGTGATACTGATTTCTGGGTTGATTTTTTGTTTTCAAATTTATTTAAAAGTTGGGCATCTGGTTAAGGGATTCAAGTTTTGTTTTTGTTTGAAGGTGTGTGTTTGGTTGCTTTAGGCTTGATAAGGTGGAAGAGAACCCACCATTGACACAGACGATTGGAGGAGAGAACCCGCCTAGGAGGCTACGTGTCAAAACACGTATAGCCGAGCGGCGATACTAGTTTTTTGAAAAAGGTAAAACCGAGTTTAGCCGCGCGGCTATATGGTGAGTATAGCCGACCGGCTATACGGTTTTGAAAAATATTATTAAAAAATCCGAGTATAGCCGCGCGGCGATACGATTTTTAACAGTATATTATGCTCCATAAATAGAATTTTACATGTATAGCCGTACGGCGATACTCTATAAATAGAAATTTTCTAAAGTATAGCCGCGCGGCGATACGTTGTAAATAGAATTTTTCAGACGTAGAGCCGGCGGCTGCACTGCGAAGAAAGACCCATGAAATGTAGTTCAGCGGATTGCATTTCATATATGACTGAAAATTACAATTCCACTCCTATGACACTAAAAAACCAAAAAGGCACATTCCCATCTATCTCACAGAGAGGGAAAGCACAGGAGTTCTAAAACTTTGCCCGGCAACAGCAACATAAGCAACTTAAAAAACAACAGCTGAAATCCAGAAAGTAACAATATATATCACTTCAAACTAGTCCCTGTCCTTGCTATAATGAGGAGTGTCTTCATCATCATCCTTGGCCATGCCAAAGGTACTTTTGACAGCATCAGCAGCACTCTGTGCCATGTTCTTCACACTCTCTCCAGTCTGCTGGAGGAACCCCTCAGACTTGTCCTTCCCGGCCTCCGCCGTATCTTTGGATTTTCCGGCCTCTTCCGAGGCCTTCTGCTTGGTCACCTCCTTGCTCTGCCAGGCCTTACCCTTTGCAACATCTGCTTTATCCTTGGCAACTTCTTCCTTCCCTTGGACCTTGTCTTTGGTTGATTGCGCTGCACCCATTGTTCTCTCTTTGGCTGCCTGGGCCGTCTCGTAGGTCTTGTCCTTCACTGCCTGGGCCTTCTCCTCTAGTGAGCCCATCATCTGGCTTGTCTTTTCCTGAGAAAACAAAAAAGTAGCATGTATAAATACTTGTAGAAATGTAGCTAAACTAACTTGTCAATGCATGCATTGTGAAAGAGTTACCTGAGTTTGGCCCTTGGCTTCACCAGCCCTGTAGCTCTGCCTATGAGATGCCATTTCTCTTTCAACACAGTGATTGATATGCGCTGCAGGAACTTCTGAATGTTTTTGAGTTGTAAACTGTAAAAGGTTACTCTTCAAGTTTGTGATGCTGGGAAAGAGTGGTAGTGCATGCTATAAATACGACTTGAAGTGGGCTAGGTGATTGACATGTGTCCTGAATGTGGACACATAGATGACACGTGCCTTGCTCTCATAAGACATCGATGACTAATATGACTTAGACTACACCACGTTGCCACGTGTTGGTTTCGCTTCAGACATACGATTGTTTACTGTAGTACACTGAAATTGATGCCTGCACTGCACCCTATCTATCATGCTAGTATTGTATGATTGTATCCTTGTAATTGCTTGAATAATGTAGCGTCACTCTTGTTTTTTACCCCTTTTTTTTTCTTATACAAGTTATATTGGGATGGAGATTTGAAGATTGAATCTCGGATGCGTTGGTGAATGTTCTTAACAAATGGAGCTACAAACCCCTCACGTTTTTGACACCTTTAACCTTTCGTGTACAATGTAAAGTAAATTTCTTTTGTTGTAACCAAACCAAGCTGCATAATAACTCCTTTGCGTGGAAATGTGCTTTTCACATAAAAGGTATATCAAACTTTCATGTGCTCTCTTGCAGCCCATTAGCGCAAATGCTAAGGTTGGTATCTTCTAATCACTTGCAAAAACCTAAACATTCACCATGATTATAAATTAATTAACCTTCTTTTACACACATTAAACATTGGATTATTTGTTATCTTTTGCTTTTCAATTGAGTGTCTTTCTTGAATTGTTTGTATTCATATCTCTTGCACGGAATTAATGTATTTCTTTCGGTATAGGCCACAAGAGTCTCGTTGGATTTTTCCCACCATAGATTCTTTCCAAAGCAAACACATAAATATTCTTTAAATTTTTCTCTCTTTCTTCCTTTCTTTCTTTCTCTCTCTTATCTAAAACTAAAAGTATGTACAGACGTTAAAGATCATGTAGAGTCAGGGCCAGGTCAGCCAAGAACAGTTCAACATTTTGGACTTTGGGGGGGTCATATTCTTCTCATGGTCGTGATTACAACTATTCTAAACTTTTGGTGGTCAACACATTGCCATTAATAAAAAGTAGCTAAGCCACCAACTGCATCATTTGCATTAACTTCCAAAACCGAGTGGAAATAATTATGATTAAAACAGAAAGAAACTCTTCATCCAAAAAAAGCAGAACCCTTAATTTGAAGTCCTGTGCAGTCAAGTCTATGCCGCAGACTAATTAATTATAATTACATATATAATTAAGCATGTGTGTGGTCAAAGTATTAACCACTAGGCTGTTCTTCCTTTTCTCCTCCTATATATATAACAAGGGTTTCCCCAACTCTAGCTCAAGCAAATACACAACTCTTGCTGCAACCACTTCTCTTAGAAAAAGGAAATTAGCAACAACAACAACAACAAAATGGTGGTGGAGACTTCCTTGGTGCTGGTGGATAACACATTGATGAAGGTGGCTATGTTTGTGGTAGTTCAAGCTTTGGTTTATCTCATCCTTTCAAGTTCATCCAATCTCTTTTCCAAGAACAAGTTGAGGTCATTCAACAGCTTTAGGCCAGTTCGTTCTGCTAGAATTAACCGTCTTCTGGCTGCCATCTCTGATTTACCAACTGGTGCTGCTGATGATCCGGCATCACCATCCTGCAGCCCTAATCCTGCTAAATATAGATGATTCATGTCCTATATATATATAATTCTCTTTTATACTATTGATGATGATATACACTTCATTCTTTACGTATAAGCTGTAATATTTGACACATGTATAACTCTGTAAAATATATGTCTTCTTTTGTTGTTTAATAAAGTATTGTTATATGTTAAGCAGTGCATACTTCAATTGGGAGAGCAGTCATCAATTTGTAGAATTCTCTTGATATATTAGAATTGCATAGCACTCTCCTATAACATATCAACACTATGAGTCTATCTATATGACATGTACATAGGTTTTCATGGAAACTCATCAGTGCAGAAAATTAACTAAGGTTTCCCTGGAGAAATTTGAATGATAAGAGACCCTGAAAAGAATAAATTGATGAATGCTTGAAAAGGAGGACAAAAGTGAACTGTAATTTCAAAGTCAAATCTTGATTGGGATATTTTCTTATCCTTCTTTAAAAAAAATAAAGTAATTAAAGTAGTTCTCATCCCATTTTATGTTTTAGAAAATACAAACAATTCACTTCAATAGTAAAAATTGTTGTAACATCACAGGACATATGACACCAGATCCAGATCAGAGACAAGGATTGAAAGCTCAGCAATACAAGCCAAAAGTCCATAACAAAAGATAACGTTGGCGTGTTTTATGCAAATTGCCCCTTGCCTAATGCTTGGGTCACCCTAGCTAATCCCACTTCCTTAGAAACAACACCAAAACATTAACAACTAGCTAAGCTAGTTGAGATCTTTAATTAACAGGTATTAAACCAAATAATCTTAAACAACATTAATCACAGTGTGCATGATTATGTAGCTTTTACAAAAGCCATTCATATTTCATCGTACATAGTTTACCAGAGCTGGGATCCAGAATAAGTTTAAGAGTAGCATAAGAGGCCATTTGGGCAATCTATTCCTGGAGATGATACTGGATGGAGAGGACATCACATAATAACCAAAAGCCTGAGAAAGCACAAAGCAGACCGCCATATGCCTAAAGGACACATCAGGACCTATTTCTTGCATATGCTGCAGAAATTCCCTGGCATACGATGTTCTAATCCAACTTTTAAAAGCTGGAGGAACATTAATAATCAAATCCGGAACCCAGGTGAGCGCTAAGAATAGCATAAAAGGCCATTTGGACAAGTTGTTTTTGGAGATGGTACTGGTTGGAGAGGAAATGAGACAATAAAGAAGAGCCTCAGCAAGCACAAAGTAGATCACTGTGAACAAAAAGAACATCTCAGGACTCATTCTTTTTTCCAAAATCATTCCAAAATCATGCAGAAGATATTGACTGCAGGAAAGGCAATGAGATAATGAACGAAAGCCTCAGAAACAACCCCAAAAAGGGTCATGATCTCTGAAGTAATATTTATTTCTATAAATTAATTAGAGATGGTTCTGATTTTGATGGGAAACAGAAAACTCCTGGGAAAAGTTACAGGATCATATACGGCTTATTTGTTTGGAAATGTTAACTATATATAGAGGGGAGAATTAATGCATGAAGTGCAGCCACCACATTGACTTGTAGGCTCTTCTTGCTTAAGGCTGAATATTATTCTTATTTGACTACGCGCAAGGTGACTCTGACTGAGAAGCCCGCCTTTGGCATATCATATCAGTCAAAATTAAAACATCAATTAGTCTACACAAACTCCAATTAAAACTCTTCTTCCCCTCTAATCAAAATTAGATTCTGTTTTCATTGTTCCATTAATACACTGAGTTCATCACAGAAACATATTGGTAAGGTCTCAATTTTTTTTAGAGTGTTAATTTTGCTTGATTTTCAGTCTGAATCTTGTGTTACGAGTTTAAGTGAGTTATCTTGTATCTCTAAGCTTTCTTGTTTAAACCTCATCCCAGAAAATAAAAAGGTTTTATTATGAAGCAACCCAAAAAAATAAAAATAAAAGACTTTCAAAGGAAGGAATGACATGTTGAATTCAAGAAGAGCAATGGTATCTATCTGTCCATAATTTTTCTCTGTTCAAGGAAAGAGAAAGGCAAGATTAAAACCTTTTTTGTCATTGATAGACAAATATTTTTGCCCGTTGAAACTAGAAGTCCAACTCCGACCCCTCTCTCTCTCTCTCTCTCAATTATTAAGTTAAATATCTTCTAATGACAGGTCATTAGACATTGATTTCTCTTCCAGAATTTATGTTCTATCATTTGTAAATAATTTATCCACAAAAGGCTACAATGATATCTAGCAATCTAGGCTTCCAATCAAAACTGCCATCTGGTCCTCTAAGAGTGGGTTAGGAGCCCCCAATGTGAGACATACTATATTATTATATTAATATATCTTCCTATCTGCACAAAGAAACAGGTATATAAAGTTGTTCAATTACCTTTGACTTGTTCAAATGTTGTTGTCTATCGTTTGCCGGTGTAACAACATTGTTCAATTACCTTTCCCCAAAGATACAGATTACCTTATAATAAGGAGGAATTTCTTCATAATTGATTATGTTATTAACATGGAGTGGTGGATGCCATCGCTTAATCATTTTTTAGTTAGGATCAGTACATTGTGTCAGACTCTAATAAAAACGAGTGTAGAATTAATTCATCTAAATGAACTTGTAACGCCGGACACAAGAATCTCTCCCTTTATCTAACAACTAACAAGTGAAATTTGCTCATAAATCTTTACTTTGGTTGCCTTAAGTTGAAGAGACATAACGAAAACGGGAAAGCCAAAATCTTCCTTGGATTCGTGCATTCATGGCCACATGGCCTTTTCAGGCGACCCATAAATAATCGCATAAACTCAAACTCGCACGAACTGACTGTCTCTTTCAGAGGAGCCATCGCCTTTGCAACGTTTGGATCCAGTGACTTGGTCACTTTGACTTTCCAGAACCAGAACCAATAGCCAACGAGCAATGCAACTGCAGCCAAAGTAGCATGGACTTGACTTCACCTGACCACCTCTCCCACCCCCACTCTGTTTGAGGTCACTTTTTCAACTTTAAACGGTCCGATGGCCAGGAGGCTGGTTTTGGTTTGAAATATTCAAAACGTTGCGTGCGGGAAATGTCAGCTTGCCAATACCAATGGGGCAAATGGGGCAATGGCAAAGAAAGGAGGAGGCGCTAAAAGACACAGACCCATTAATTGCAATGAAAAAGTATAAAATATTGTCCCAAGTGTGCTTAGGTGTTAAGAGGCAACAGAGACACACGCTCGCAAATGCAAGCAAGCCAAAATCCAAAAATCCATCATCTTTGACACTTTGACTCTTGGAAGTTGGAAACTTTGTCATGCCCAAATCAATCTAAGACACGCATATAATCCGGGCCAGCTTTCACGGATTTTCTCCACCTCAACATCCTCGTTCTTGTGTTTATCTTTCTTTTCTTTTTTATTTTATTTTATTTTTTGGAGGAAAAAAATTGGTTCAATTATTGGAAGCTGGGGTGGATTAAAGTTGAATACTCAAGCACTTGGGCTCAGAATCTCATCTGGGAATTGGGCAGTCCTCTTTTTTTGTGCCATTGGTTTTGGCTCAAAATCTCATTTGGGGTATTTACAGTTCTTGGTAAGATTTTCTATTTCTTCTCTGTTTATTTGTTTGTGTGTTGTTTATATTAGGTAATTTGATTCAGAGTGCAATTTTGGTGGGATGCTTGAATTGGGTTTTGCTTTCTTTTACTGGTCTGGAATTATGCTGGTTTGGAGTATGCAGTTAATTTGTACTATTCAGCTTCCATTTTCTGAAATTGCTTTGAAATGTGAAATGTGTGCTGGAGAATGTCATGAAAAGTGAAAGCATCTCTTGAGATGTAATTTTGCATATGCTAGATTGTCTTTGCTTCTGAGTTTTCCACTTTTGTTACATCTTACTTGGAAATATTCATCGCCAGCTTGTCTTCTTTCCCCCCTTTTTTATTCCTCTCTTTTTGCAGGGATCTTCACTGTGCATTGTAGTTGTTAAAGATTCCCATAGCACAGCAACTCATTGTTTTTGTCATTTTTCTTATTTGGAATTTCTTGGGTATAATCATTTGGAAGTTGTTTAATCTGAATATGCTAACTTCTGATAAGTCATGTGAAGGACAAGATTGTTTCATGCTTTTGTAAGCTTCACAGTGAGAAAATAAGGCAACTACTTTTACTTTTAGACAAATTTTCATAATTTCCGAGAGGCCCGAGAGAATTGTTCTTCCACTTTTCTTCACACACGGAAATTAGTCTTTTTTATCTTCTTTTGAGACTCATGACACAAGTGAAACTACTTTTTCTTCAATCACTTATGTTAACAGTTCTGATAGGTTTTGTTGTGAACAGGAAATAGCATTGTAGGCAATGGAATTATTGCTCATAGCTTCCATTCGACAAAGATCTTGTTAACCATGCTAACTGTGGAACCACCTGCATTTTCTGTCACCCTCTCCTAGAGAAGTTAAGAGACTCAGTGAAGGTTTAGGGGTGGAGTGGTAAGAAATCAAGAGTTGTTCAACTAAACAAGAAAATAGTCACTAAGCACAGTATCTCCTTGTTTCATTTGCCATTTTAGGTGGTGTTTTTAGATGGAATTTTGGGCTCTAAAATCCCATTTTAAAGTATGTCTGACAATTCACAAATCCATTCCAAATTTTTCCCAAGATCATACCCTAGCCCCTTTCTCACCCGTAATCCCACCTCAAACTCTCTCATCCAAATGCACAAGAGATAAAGTTTTTCACTTGTCTAAAGTTGACTTCAATGCAATTAGATGGCTTTCTTGAAAATGTAGATTGGCATCTTTATTTTCTGCCTTTTTCTGATAAATACCTTGCTTTCTATAAAATCAACTACATAGATTTGGTTAAAAGAGAAGTTCTGCATACCACTAAACTTCTAATGGTGGGTGACAGGGTAATTAAATTGACACTTGATAAAAGTTACACAATTGGGGAATAGACTATGATATTGATCCCAATTTGAGAGTACCGGCATTGACATTTGAGGAAGAAACATGTCTCCTGGAGGTCGCTTCTGTGAGGATGTGGCTGAGTCTCGTATGGCGTTTGCAGATTCTGATGTTGCAACTTCCACTGGTGATGTAAGGACTTCCCCTTTCAGAAAAGCTGCCCCTGGTTTGCTTGGAATTCCTGGAATGCCATCAAACCACAATGTGCATGACCTACTCGAGTGTCCTGTTTGCATGAATTTAATGTGTCCTCCAATTCACCAGGTATGTTTTAGTATTTGTTCAAATTTTAATGGTCATGGAGGATCTCATTCTCCTTTTTATTAATATTAAATTATCAAAACTTCAAAATAAGAAAAATCATAGAGTCAAATTAATAGGCTTTGAAGTATTGGGTAGTTGTACAAAATTACATTATCTAATATAAAGTTACTCAAAATTTGAAACTCATTTATTTTGCATAAAATATATACAACTCAGAAAATATTCACAAATTTGAATATCTCAAAAACATGTACTCCAGAACTGGATTTCTTTGAAACTGTCTACTCATCGAATGTGAAGCATTAATTTAAAAATACCATCACACATCATCTAACATGATGATTAAAATGTACACCATCCTATCTTATATATAATTATATACTCCATGTTTAGCTCTGTCTCATAAACTCCGAACAAAATCCATGCCTCTGCTTGCTACCAGGAGGGCCTCAATTGCATTTTCCCATTTAATGCATTAGCATTATTTGATCTTCAGATTGCATTAAATGCACATAGGTCCTAATATACATGTGCTAGGATATGGTTGTATCAAAGTGAGAACTTATTGAAGCTTATATTGCAGTGTCCAAATGGCCATACTCTCTGCTCGAGCTGTAAGGCTAGAGTGCACAACTGTTGCCCCACGTGTCGCAATGAACTTGGAAATATAAGGTGCTTGGCACTGGAGAAAGTAGCAGAGTCGCTGGATCTTCCTTGTAGATACCAAATTTATGGTTGCCAAGATATATTCCCATACTACAGCAAGCTAAAGCATGAGAAAATCTGTAAATATCGTCCATACAACTGCCCTTATGCTGGAGCTGATTGTTCTGTCACAGGAGATATCCAACTCCTTATGATGCATCTTAAAAATGATCACAAGGTTGACATGCATGATGGATGTACTTTCAACCATAGATATGTTAAATCCAATCCCCAAGAAGTTGACAATGCTACATGGATGTTGACGGTAAGTTTTTCGCACTCACTCTCTTTTTTTATGTATATAACACGCACAAATTGCATTTCTATAAACAATCTTGTCAGAAATATTGCATCTTTTAAGTACCAAGTAAAAACTTAATACAATATTTTTTGTGTTACCAGTAAAAGTACCTTCATTGATTTCAGGATGACATTTCTTTTCAGATTTCTACTGTTTAGTGTGAAGGCCACCCTTTTGTGGGAAATCCATGAGTCCATTCACTGTCTGCATCAATAAAACCCTACTGAGATAGTTTAATTTGTAATTCTCCTCTTTCTTAATCCTGAAAGGAAAAATTGCTGACATTCGTGTGTAATCTTTGGCTATGATTTCTTTAATTGCTGAGAAGAAAGTAGAAAAAGGGGTACAAACTTTGCAGTCTTATAAATACCTTTTTGGAATGCTTGTCTGAGCCATACTCAGACTTGTTTCCCTTTCCCTCTGACCAGCAAACTGTACATCCTACTTGTTTCCGTTTCCTGAGTAATTGATTAATGTATTCTATCTTTTCAATGGGAGGTGTTATCCACTAAGACGATAGTATTTCAATTCAGTCTATATGAACGTCAGCCTGTTATTTTGTAAAAGTATGTTCCTTGAAGTTTTTAAGACATGTTTCACTATTAAGAAAAATTCAAATGTGTTTTTTGCAGTTGCTTAGCTTCTCTTATTTGATTCAGTTCAACCCCTACCAATGTATTCATACCCATTTGTGATATTTGAATGTAGTGCAGATTTTTAACTGTTTTGGGCGTCAGTTTTGCTTGCATTTTGAGGCTTTCCACATTGGAACTGCACCTGTTTACATGGCCTTCCTTCGGTTCATGGGTGATGATGATGAGGCAAAGCAATTCAATTATAGTCTTGAAGTTAGTGGCAGTGGCAGAAAGCTTATATGGCAAGGAATTCCTAGGAGTATCCGAGATAGCCACAGAAAAGTTCGTGACAGTCAAGATGGACTAATCATTCAGAGGAACTTAGCACTCTTCTTCTCCGGTGGTAATAGGCAGGAACTGAAGCTGAAAGTCGCTGGTCGTATATGGAAAGAACACTGAGATATAAAACTAGAAACTTGTTCAAAGATATTTGTAACCTTTTGCTGTGAAAAATAAAAGGTTGGAAGGAATTCAGGGCTTAACTATGTAGGAAGGCTGGATTTATGTTGCTTGATAAAATTAAGATGCTTTGGTTGATTAGTTTATATAGGACAGTGTTTTGACTATGGATCTTGTGTAAGTAACAAAAAAGGCAGGGACTGCATGCATGTAAGTTTTAACTGAGTCATGGTCCAAGGTATATTTCCACACTATTCCAATCTTGATAACTTTTAGAAAGAAGCTTACTTGAGTCATGGTCTAAAGTATATTTCCATATCGCTAGTCCTATGGGTCATTACAAAATAATGTTGTTTTGATGTCACACTTCGATGAACGTTTATCAACCATTGATATATATAAGACAATTCGATAAACGTAAACATTTATCAACCGTTGATATATATAAGACAATTCGATCAACGTAAATTGTTGATGTATATATAAGACAATTTGATGACCTAGAGAATGTCCTTAGCAAACCAAAAGCCCCAATAAAAATTGAAAAACGTATTGTCCTCTACCTACAGAGGAAAGAAATAAAAAAGTAGCACAAGAAAACCTCGGTCGGGCTTACTCTTGATAGACCAAAGCCCAAAATCCAACCACCGGCACACAAAATACGGGGTTTACTTCCTCTGCTAAAACCCTAAACCCTCAACCATCTCTCTGCCTTTGAATCCCAAAAAAGAAGAAATGCTATTGTTAGCTCGAAACCACTCTCTCTCAAAGCTAAAACCCCTCCTTTCTCTCTCTCTGATTTCCCATTCTTTCACAACCCAAACCCCATATTCTCATTTCACTTCAATCCCAAAACCCCATTTCCAAAACCCCACAAATTCTCAACCTTTACCATTCTCAACCATCTTCTTCAAACCCTTCTCTTCATCTAAATCGTTACCCTTGAACCGTGAAGGGAATTACGATGAAGCCACTACCCAAGCTCACCTCGTCTGCCCTGGTTGTGGCGTTCACATGCAGGACTCCGACCCTAAAAACCCTGGCTTCTTCCTCAAACCCTCGAAAAAGGATCCAAGGACTTATCGATTGGGTGCCCATCTAGAGCATGTTGCGCACGAGCCAGAATTCAACAATTCCCTCAAAAGGGGTCTCATAATCGACCCCGAAAACTTGAGCTCTGAATCCAATTTGGTCGAACTCAAGCCGGAGAAACCGGTGGTCTGTGCACGGTGCCACTCTCTGAGGCATTACGGTAAAGTGAAGGATCCAACGGTGGAGAACTTGCTTCCCGATTTTGATTTTGATCATACGGTTGGGAGGAAGTTGGCATTAGCCTCTGGGACCCGATCAGTGGTGCTAATGGTGGTGGACGCTGCAGACTTTGATGGGTCGTTTCCCAAAAAGGTTGCCAAGTTGGTTTCGGATACAATCGAGGAGCATTCAGCAGCTTGGAAACAGGGAAAGTCAGGGAATGTGCCAAGAGTGGTGCTTGTGGTAACAAAGATTGATCTTTTGCCAAGTTCATTGTCACCAACAAGGTTAGAGCATTGGGTTAGGACAAGAGCAAGGGAGGGCGGAGCCAATAAGTTAACGAGTGTACATTTGGTGAGTGCTGTTAGGGATTGGGGGTTGAAAAATCTTGTTGATGATGTTGTTAGCTTGGCAGGACCAAGAGGGAATGTGTGGGCAATAGGCGCACAGAATGCAGGGAAGAGTACGTTGATAAATGCAATTGGGAAGCATGTTGGTGGGAAGATTACGCATCTGACAGAAGCGCCCGTGCCCGGAACAACATTGGGAATTGTTAGAGTGGAAGGTGTACTTCCTGGTCATACCAAGTTGTTTGATACGCCGGGGCTTTTGAATCCTCATCAGATTACAACCAGATTGACAAGAGAAGAACAGAGTCTTGTAAACATTAGCAAGGAATTGAAACCAAGGACATACAGGATCAAGGTAAGCATGCTTGATCATACCTGCCCCTTACGGGGCTCTATTGGTGATTTTACTATTTTTATCCGTACTGAGTGATTTGTTGATTTTCTTTAATAGATTGCTTGATCAACACCTACAAAGGTGAAGTGGGAAAGTCTTGTTGCTTTTTTGTATAACTGAACGAATGGTCTAAAATTGTGGACAACTTCAGTGCAGTTATTTCTTGTGTATTTGGTTATTTAAGTTTTTGAACTTTGAATTGGGTTGTGTTGTATGTCTCTTTGTTAACTTATAGTAATCTGTTTCTCCTAATGTGAATAAGGTAATAAAACGCAAATCATATTTTACAGATAGAATTAGAAAGCACTACTTTTGGCAGTATTGTAGTTAATAAGCACCCATTGCTTCAATTGTCTAAGTGTGATCTTGGTTTTTAACACTGTACAATCCCAAGTTTAGTTTGTACTTTGTACACATGAATCATCTCAAGTTCACAACATTTGGAACCATGTGAACAATATGATACAAGTTCCAATGTTGTTTTGCATGGAAAATCCAGTGATCAAAGAATGAAGGGCTTTTCTGTTGATGTTCAGAAGCATATTTACTGAATTTGTATCTCACTAGAAAGCTGATACTTGATGGAATTGGAAGTTCATTTAATTTTGAATAAAGTATATTATTTTGTTTCTCATAAAAAAATAAAGTAGTTGTCTTGTGTTAATTTTTGGAATCTGTTCAGATGCATATACCATCATCCATTCCAGGATTTCTTTGTTGCTAATTTACGTTCCATGTAAATTATAAATATTTGTTTCATTTTTCATAGCCCATTTATTGTCCTTTGGTTCAGGATGGTTATTCAGTTCATATTGCTGGGCTTATGAGGCTGGATATAGAAGAATCATCAGTAGATACTGTTTATGTTACAGCATGGGCATCTCCTTATCTTCCATTACACATGGGAAAAACCGAAAATGCATGCACAATGGTAGAGGAACATTTTGGTCGTCAATTACAGGTATTAGCACTAGTTGAGGAGTGATGGTTCTCCAATTCCTTCGTTTTCTAGTCTAATAATCATTAGTCTTATTCATTTTTAACATGTTACCATTGGAGATTTTTTCAACTCACAAATACCGATAAGCTCTCTATATATAATACTTGTGGCTTCTCAAGGTCCGACTCTCTATTAGTATAATACCAGGTTGTTTAGTGATTTTTTTTGTTTTAGACTTTTCCGAATTCCCTATTACTTTTTTCATTTTTTTTCTTCTGATGAAAAGTTTACTCAAGATTAAGAGATATGTATAGGCATCTGCCTTGCCAACTCCAATTTATCGAGCATTCCTAACTGCTTAAAATATTGGGCCTAGTTATGATGCTTCCATCCTGTAGGTATGAGACTAAAATCAAAGATATGCTTATCATTTAAAGTATAGGAAAATGCATGATATTGTTGTATGCATATGTAATTCTGATGCCAAAATGAACTGTTTCAGCCACCAATTGGAGAGACTAGAGTCAAGGAGCTTGGGAGGTGGGTGAGAAAGGAATTTCACATCAGTGGAAACAGTTGGGATTCAAGTTCGGTGGATATTGCTGCTGCAGGTCTTGGTTGGTTTGCTGTTGGACTTAAAGGAGAGGCAGTTTTGAGTGTTTGGACGTATGATGGTATTGACGTTGTTCTTCGCAATGCATTGCTTCCTAATAGATCATACGTTTTTGAAGTTGCTGGTTTTACAGTCTCTAAAATTGTCTCTAAGGCTGACCAAGCTTCAAATAAGCCACACCACCGAAGTGAGAAGAAGAGGAAACAAAGTGACCAAAAGGAATCTGTTGCTTGCTGATTCATCATATTAACAATTGAAGCTGGTAAAGGATATGTGGCAGTTCTTATCAAAACAGGTGAAAGTGTTGTAACAATTTATGGTTGATAATACTACAGGTGAGAAATGTCGAGTAAACAACATCAACCTTTTATTAGAATGACAAAGCTAGGCGTCCTATTTGAGCCACAGATGAAATGGTTGATGCTTTCTCTGACTATGAGTGGGGTGGATGTTCCAAATTGGAAATTATCTTTCTCCAGCAACTATATCAAGAACAGCTCGAAGGCATTGTTTTGTACTGCACTAACCACTAAAGTAAAATACGGCTTGCAAAGGGATGAACATGCCGTATTTCGAGTGAAAGCATATGAGAGCTAACTGTCTCATGCTCATTTGATGGGCCTATCTTAGAATTTCTTATTTATTATTCTTCTCTCTGTAAATTGTAAGTGTGAAAAGTTGAGTCTCAGTTTAGAGCTGTTTTGGTATGAAGTTAATGCTTTTTCACTGTTTTTACTTGGATGGCAAAAGGGCCAAAATATAATGACTGTTGAATGGTAAAATGAAGAAGCATCAATTGAAAAAGGCAAGCCACACAATGCTTAATTGTTGCAGACTTGCAGTCTCTGTTTGTGCAATTATTTCTAATTTTCTCAAAGATCATATAGCTATGGCAAGGGAGCCAAAAATGACTAGATCAGTCTTATTCTTACTTTGATACGCAGCCAAAAACAGAAGATATGCATATCGTTTGCTCTGCGCATACAGTTTGCGTTGGTGATCCAACTTTCTCCACGTGACAAACGTCACTCACTGTCTGTGGTGTGGTGTAGTTTGCATTTGGACCATTTTAAAATGATACGTAAAAAATGCACTGAAATTGAGTAGTCTTCCAAAGGGTGCTTATACGTGCAAGAGAGTCATTGTCTTCTTGTTTGATAGTTGAGGCAAGGATCATGGAACCCACCAAACCCATCTCTAATATTATTAGATGGCTCCCGTTTATGACTGAGTTTGATTTGGATTCTACATGCATCTGAATGCCCTATAATGCCTGGCACCATATGACCAATCTATTCTCGCTTTGCGCATTTCCTTACCGATAAGGAGGCAAATAGTATCCTTGAATAATGAAATGCTTTAGATTTAGGTCATATATGGGCTTGAACTTTCTAGCCGGATATCCAAAAAATGTAAATAAACCGACAAAACAATGATACAAGATGTGAAGAACACGTATATAATCCAACCTAGCTATAAGCAGAGAGTCTGCTACAATAATATTCACAACCTACTCTGCTTACGTTGTGATGTTTTAGTAGCCAGCCACTACATGTGCATGAGGCCTTGTTCTAATAATATATTAAATTCAGAAAGGAAACTTCTTTTCAATGTTAAGAGACAGTGAGACTAATCATTTCAGAGCAGTTGGGCATTCACCTGATATTTATGTATCACGAGTGCAAAAGTCAGTCGCTTGTGGGCCTACATACAAGCTTTTCTAATTGTCCATACATGTGAGTCGCGCAGTGTGCCTCCATGCATCTACGGTCAGAATGGTGCAAGCGCCCACTAAACGTATCAAAATCCATTATAATAATATTGGCCAGTTGGTATCCCCAATTGGGCAATCTGAAATTGTATGTAGCATCATTTGACCTTGTATTCTATGATTTATGTTTGTCGTTTGCTCATTGAGCTATTGACATTATTAGCCTCTGATTAATATATAATTGAACTACATTATGAATTAATACTTTTTCTTCATCTTATTTCTAATTCATTAAATTAATTAACTACTCGAAAACACACTAGAACATGTAATATTAAACTCATCACTTGTTGCCTCTTAACCAGCAAGGACATACCCTTCCAAAAATAGGGAAAAGAAACACGCAATATGTTCTGTCAGTTTGAATGCACGTATTGCGTGAATACACCGTCCTTCTTTGCAACAAATGCTTCTCTGGAGTATGATAAACTTTTGTATGTTCCGAGTACATTAGTTGATGTACCATTTAATATATATGGGATATGTGAAAATATTTTATTTTTATATCCTATGTGTATTGGATAATATTTTCACACGTTCCATGTTTATTGGCCAATTGAAGTACCCGAAACATATAAAAATTACTCCGAGCTAAAAGTTGTTAAAGCTCTGCTCCTATTGCTTCTCCGCTTCATAATCTTAAGATTCTTTCTCTTGCTGCCAATGCAAACAGAGAGTCCACAAGCATAGCGATTTTGAGTGGCTATTTCCACCATCTGTCCTATTTCTCACTCCTAGGCCTTGAGTGGCCCTGGCCTCCACAAATTTTGATCTCACTTCTATTATATTATATATAACATATAAAATTTGTAATAAAGAACTTATAATTTAAGTTAAAATTCCCTCTAAAACAAATTAGACATGACTAAATTATAAATATTTAGCTCTAAACATGTAACTATTGAATAATTAGGTGCTTTATATACTTGTATTTTCTACTTTGGCCCCCAACTTTACGATTCTAACTCCACCCTTGCAATCTTTCCACCCACCATTATTCTTAAAATACCCTTTGATGTTATGAGCATTTTTGCTCACCACTTTAACTCAAAACTTGACACATGTCTATTACTATAAGTATAATTAATTTTTTGTTTTTAAATTTTTTAAAGTACTTAAAACCAAAAAATAAAGTCAAATAATAATAAAATAACATTTATAATTATTTAAAAAAAATCTCACTTTATATTTCCCCCTTGGTAACACTAACGCCACGTCAATAAGTACCGAAAAGTTTTCTAACATGCGGCATGCCACCGTGGGAGTTGCAGTTTGGAACTTGGCACCAAACGAACGAGCTAATGTTTGTCCGCATTGCATTGATGATTATCGAACCATTTTCTTTTCAAAATTGTAATATTAAAGAACATAATTATTACGTGTCGCTGTCTTGTGTTTTTTTTCTTCTATTTTGTGAAAAATATAAAGATAATTGGTTATATTTGGTGCGAAATTCAATTTACAGTTAGCTCTCACCTCCTGTTTCTTTTAAGATCTGCTACTTCTTCTTCTTCTTCTTCTTCTTCTTCTTCTTCTTCAGAGCGAGAGAGACAGAGAAAGACAGAGAAAGACAGAGAGAGATTTTTTCGGAGCGGGTTAAGTAACACGGGTCGTGGGGATCCTAATGGAGGGAAAATCTGATACGGGTGGTGGTGTGAAATCGCCGCTGTTGGGGAGCGGTGGACGCAGTCGGCGACTGAGTCGAAGGAACTCATATAACTCACTCAGAAACGACTTCGTTTCCAGGCTCCCTGACAATGTTCGAGCTGGCCTCGACCCCGAGTCGCCTGAAGGCATCGACTACTCTCGAACCACAGGCTTAAACCGAGGTATCTCTCTCCCCAAAACTCTGTTTGGTAACTCAGAAAATGTAGGAAAATGTTTGTGGTTCTGTAAAAGTTTTAATGCTTGGGCAACAAGTGTTCTTTACTTTTCTTTTTTTTTCTTTTGAATACAAGATTATTATGTTTAATTTGTTTTCCTTGGTTTTCTCTGCAACCAAACAAACAGAGCACAATTAGTTCTTGAAGTGTGTTTATTTGGTTTGTTAAGAACAATTGAATTGATCCTGTTAGTGCTTTAAATTGTAGGGGAGAAGGAATATTATGAAACCCAATTTGCAACACTTCAATCCTTTGAGGAGGTTGACTCTATAGTGCAAGAAGACTGTATCGACGAGGACGATCTCGAGGAACGAGCACAACATGAAAGAGCAATGAAGATTTCCAACTATGCTAATATACTTCTCTTGGGACTTAAGGTACTTAATTTGTCACTGCAATAGTAAATTCTATTTTTCTAGTTTTTTTTTTTTTTTTTTTTTTTTTTTTTTAATTTTTGGGTTTGAATGGATGTAGTTTTGTTGGAGTGCATCAGTATGATATATATATTATATGTTAAGAAACATAACAGTTTAGCTGTGATTTCATGTTGGTATTTGCACTGATAAGATAATGATTTTGGAATGTGTAGATCTATGCTACTATAAAGAGTGGGTCCATAGCCATTGCTGCATCAACACTAGATTCTTTACTAGATCTCTTGGCTGGTGGCATACTTTGGTTTACTCACCTGGCCATGAAAAACATCAATATCTATAAATATCCTATTGGGAAATTGAGGGTTCAGCCTGTTGGCATAATCATCTTTGCTGCTATCATGGCTACACTTGGTGTGTCATTCTAACTTTAGTTTCTTGCCCTTAGTATCTGTTGCTCTCTCTCTCTCTCTCTCTCTCTCTCTCTCTCTCTCTCTCACACACACACACACACACACGTTGTTCTTATATAATCCTTTAGTTTCAACTTTGTTTGTTCAAGTAAATTTAAGGTGAAGGAGACCAAATTTCTGCCTTATTTCAGATTTTGGTCCAAATCAATTGGCAGTATCAAAGATCATGAGTAATGTCCAATCTAACACAGACCTGAAATATTTTAAGAATTTGATCATATGTTCCTCTTTCAAAAACATTTTAAGATAATCCTGAATTAATGTTAGTTTACAACCTAAACAACATAAACAAGGATCAAGTCATTGAATTCTTATAACATCTGATTGACACTTTTCTGCAACAACTGGAGCAATAGAGGTTTATGGTTTGTATGTCTTACTGTCAGAGTGTAATGCAAAGAAACATTCCCTTCATGTGCTCAATCACACTTTACTATGCAGGAAAATATATTAATTTTGAGGTGAATAATATGAGTCCTAGAAAATTTCTTCGTAGTTATAACAGTGTACATGATGTGTATACTCAAAAGTACGAACATTAGAGTCACACCGGAATGATAAAGGTATGCAATTAGGCTTGCAGGAAACTTATGCCCTTCCTTTTTCTTGTTCTTTTTCATTTCTTCTATAATTACCGGGGTTAACTTCCATATATAATTAAGCCAGACTATGTTGCATACTTAAACTTCAGACCAGCTTAACTTTTATACCCTTGCAATTCCTTACAGGGTTTCAAGTGTTGATCCAGGCTGTCGAACAACTAGTTACAGATGATCCCACTGAAAAGATGTCCTCGAGTCAATTGGTGTGGCTGTATGTAATTATGATATTTGCTACTGTGGTAAAACTTGCACTCTGGTTTTATTGCAGGAGCTCAGGAAACAAGATCGTTCGTGCCTACGCGAAGGTTTACTTAGCTTCTTTTTTTTTGTTAGTTTTCTCTGAAGGGATTTAAGGTCTTCTACTTTTCTAAGTTACCTTACTTCATTGAATGTTGATTACCAGGATCACTATTTTGATGTGGTGACGAATGTAGTAGGATTAGTTGCTGCTGTTCTTGCTAATAGGTTCTACTGGTGGCTTGATCCTGCTGGTGCTATTCTCCTTGCTGTATACACGATTGTAAATTGGTCCGGAACTGTTATGGAAAATGCAGGTATTTTTCCAGCTTTTCATCACTGCCTTTTAATCTTCCAAAAATCTTGCATGACTTATTAAGATGGGGGAGTTCTCTCTCTTTATTCTTCCTTTTTCCTTACTATTCAAGTTGCTTCTACATAACCAATGGTCATGCTAGCTTTGCAGGGTTGCTAGTTGTGTGGTCAATCCTTTTATATCAACTCGGAGACCAGTTGTGAATTGGAAAATCTTCTTGTTTTCTTGAGTGTGCATATTATTGTATCTTATTGGATGAGTTGAAAATATGTTCTTAATGATGCTTGACAGTCCGCATTTGATAAAGTTTGTACTTCAACTATTTAACATGTGATCTGAAACATGCAGTTTCCCTCGTGGGACAATCGGCCCCTCCTGAATTCCTACAAAAACTGACATATCTTGTCATAATGCACCCTGAAGTGAAGCGTATTGACACAGTTCGTGCTTACACATTTGGTGTTCTTTATTTTGTGGAGGTTAGTCATATTAAACACAATTTCGATCTTAGATTATCATGATGGAAAACTTGTCACACGTTGTTATGCATACTGCATTCTATAACAAGAAAATAGCTTGAAAACTATTATGTTATTGAACAGGTTGACATTGAACTCCCAGAGGAGATACCCTTAAAAGAAGCACATGCAATTGGAGAAACCCTCCAGATAAAGATTGAGAAACTTCCCGAAGTTGAGCGAGCATTTGTTCATCTTGACTTTGAATGCGAGCACAAACCAGAACATTCTGTACTCGTCAAGCTTCCAAACACACAGCCCTGATTTGACAGTATCTCAGTAAACGGCCTTGTGGAAAACCTTTTAACTGTCTTCTGCAAAGGGCACTTCAAAGTGAGTGAGTATATTAGTTGGGAGGATGAAAGGTTCAAAATCTGCAATAATCTATTTACTTTTCATACAAGTAATAACATAGAAGGAACTGAGACTGCGTGCCCTTTAAATTTTGGCTCTTATATATTAGGAAAGCAAATCAAGTGAATGGCTCTGTTTTTCTCTCTGTTCTTTTTCCATGACTTGGACACATTCCAAATGCCCTCTCTTGATCACTTTGAATGCATCTAATTGCCCTTGTCACATTCATATACACAAACAAATGCAAGTCAGATTTCTTCCTTCTCCAGTGGTGAATGTTATACAATGCTTCATATGTCCATGATTTGTTTTGCGGCGTCTATGTTAAAAGAAAAGGGCAAAAATCTTGTTCTGTTGCTGCCTCTTCCATATATCGAACTTCTTCAATTTTGCAGAATAAAAGTTCCTAAATGCATGCTCTGTTAAGACGTAGAGAATATATTAAAAGTGCAACAAAATTCACATCCATTAAGCTAATATAATGTGCAGAGAGGAGCCCTGTTATGACAACACAATCGTAGTGGAAGGATGGCTACTATATAGTCTACATTATACATCTTTGGCTTCTTAACCCTTCTAAAATGATACACTATTGTACGATTAAAATGAATGGCACACGGCCAAAAATCAACTCTTTTGTGGGCAGCTCACGTTGATGTAGATCGACCTTGTTATGAGTTTGGCAATAGCCGACCATTGTACATCTTATCAAGTAACTGCTTTGCATCAGGCCTCCGAAGCAGACCTTTGTTGTTCGGTACACCAGTCCCTAAACAAACCGGACATACTAGTTTCCCCCGACCTGTCGACAACAACGGGAAATTACTCATCAAATAAAATACATATCCATACCAGTATGAAGAAAAAAAATACAATAAAAAAAGAGAGGCAAGAAAAAAGTTGTGTGCCAGTTGTAATAAAACACTAGACAATGTTGGTATGGGATGAAGAAGCAATGCTCTTCATTTACAACTGTAAACTATAATTTGCAATGGCTCTTAATTTTCTACTTGACTCATTTTCTGAGAATAAGTTGTGACAGAGTGCAAATGTCGTAGAAGCCAAACGGAATTTTCTCCCTCAAGCAAACATGTTCCTGTGGTACTAACCATTTGATGAAACAGAAATATGAGTACGGATGATAACTACTTACCATAACAGTTTGGACATTCTGTAAACTCGTACACATCTTTAGCCCGTTTTCTATTGAGAGCTTTCCATTTTCCTGTACCACCACACATATCACCTAAATGAAAAGCAAATTAACATCTCATGGACGAAGGGAATACCATAGTAGCATAAAATCTAATTTTATGGAAAATGAAACCCAACTAACATACGTTTCTATTCTGTTTTTCCTAAGGCACTCTATCCTTTCTTACATACGTATATATGTATAGGAGATCGATAGCTTCAAGAATAAGAACAAAATATCATTACGCTCCAAGCAACATATCAACATCTAAAACTTCTTAACATAAAACAGCTAACACATGAAAGGAAGAAGCACATCTGTTTCTCCTCTCACAAGCCAAAGCATCAACCTCAAGTCATGAGCAAAACAATTCCGAATCTTTGACTTTAACTACATATCAATCAGACCAACTACTCTTTTTACAAAGAAAACGACCAAAGAAAATAGGAACTCGCAGTTACCAAAAAGAATATAGGAACTTGCATATGAACAAAGAAAATCAATATGATACATTCAAAAAACAAACTTGAACAGTTAAAGTTGGTTTTCTAGCTGAACCTTTGGACCAATATAGTTAATGCACAATTTATCTGCACAAATGAATTTTTGGGGCAGAAATAGAATGCCCCAGAGGATTTCAGTTTTTACCAAGATAGTAAGTATCACAATCATGCCAGTACTGAACAAAATGTCATCATCATTTCCACTTCTGGTTTATAACTACAGAAATTATACTTACAAAGCACAGCACCACTTCCCCCACAATTCCGGCAACCAGCTGGTCTCTCTTTTCCATCCAGTGCAAATGCCTTTGGAACGGAAGTAGAGATTGCAGAATTGCTTATCAAAGCAACGGTTGAACATAGGCATGTGAGACACTGTCGTCGAGAGATTGAGGCCTGAGATTCCTGTGGTCACTGAACCTTTATAACTATATCTTGTTGAAAGTAAAAAGCCATTGCTATTGAATTTTACCATACATTATAAAAAAAATATGATAAAACAAATAAGTTATTTCAGAAGTTCCAATGTATCACACCAATCTACAAAATTTGAATTCTTGGAAAACAAAAAGTTCTAAGAAAACAGAACATACACATAAAAGACGTATGATGTATCCACTAAAAAATTCTCTGTTACTGACACTGAGAATACATCAAAAGAAATGTCTCGAACAAAGTTGAGGCCCCTTTGCATCAGAGGAACTCATGCAAAAGGCTTTATCTTGTCTTGAACAAAAAACTAAAGCCATCAATTTCACATGGAGAATCATCTCTTGTGAACAAAATAGCCCATTTTTTACCATAAAGAGAAGGCAAAAGCAAGTGGTATCATTAAGAGCATGAATGAAGTTCAGCAGCACTTTGAGTTGAGAATCATCAAACAAAATTCATCCAAATGATATGTGCGAATGACATGAAAGCCATAAACAATGGCCACCACTTATCCCCTTTCTCTATCTAATGCCATATTTTCTTGCAATCAGGCATACCTTCAGAATCAAATAAATCAATACCTTTGATGGTTTAGAAGAGTTGTCTGAATCCCCCGGACTGCAGCTGTCATTCTCAAGATTGGATCTTACATGAAACCCAACTGACTTTGTGTTGACTGCCAAATTGTTTACATACAAATGATAGTTAGAACCATCGCCCTTCCACCAATCATTGATCAAAGACATGAATCCGGTTTTTGCAACAGTCATGTGCTGCATGACAGATAGAGCTAAAAGCAAAATGTTCACTGGCTACAACTGAAAGGGCACATTTGAATGTTGAAATTCATCATCTTTCTTTCTCTGATCCAAAGGTACATATTATCATCAAGCAGTTAATGGTCTGAGTAGATGTTAAGGCTTAAGATTTCATGATATTACCTTGATTCAATTCTACAAATAATATCAGTCTCTGAAATCTTTGTGCCCAAAAGAAAAGCAAACCCCATGCAAAATCTCTTCATATGGAAACTCATAGCGCGCAGAAAGCCCCCAAATTTGAATTGAGACCAATTTGGAACACTTGAGAACAAAACAAAACCATAAAGCAGACCAGAAAAGACCAATTATTCATGAAATCTGGACGAACAATAGATAAATTGGTCTCCCTTGTCTAATTTTTTTCCCCTAATGAAACTTGGGTACCCCAAAAGTAAACCAAAAATAAAAACACAGCAATATAGACAAAGCAAAACCAAGTAGTAAACAATTTGGTGAACGGAGGGCCAAAAGCAAACTAGCCCGTAAACTGCTTATCCACAAACCATGAGTTTAGTGCCGGTTGAGAGCTATACAAAATATATATGCATATATAGTGGGCAACAAGAAACCGAGACCTCATGCACACATGTGAATGAAGAATGAGATAAGGCAAAATACAGCTACTTGAAATTAAGGACTGTGCATGGAAATGACGAAAAATTGGCAGGTCTCATTAAGTTCGTTAATGGGTACTAACTTTTAGAAAGAGAGAGAGAGAGAGAGAGAGAGAGAGAGAGAGAGCTCACAGTGGCATGGTGAGGATTTTGACAGGCGTTGTGGTATGGCTGAGAGATGAGAAGAAGAAGAAGAAGATGACATCCTCTCTATCTCTCTGTCTGCCTGTCCATGTGTCCTAGCGGGGCACTCTTATTTATCATCTTCTTTGCTCTACTACACACATATACTGTATACATACGAACTCACATGTTATTTTTTCCAACCCAAAAAAAAGAAAAAGGAACTCACATATTATTTCTATTTTGGTATCTCCCTAGATATTATTTCTCTTTATCTCTAAGGTTTAACAAGATTGTTTACTATAAAATATGCACCATAAAAATTTATAAAATGAAAGTACGAATTCTAAATTATACTTTTATATCAAATGTAGGGGTGGGCAACAAATGGCTTGAACTGTACAAACTGCTAAATTAAACCAATACGAGCACTTTAGTTCGATTTTGAAACAAACCAAATCGATGGTTTAGCTCTGCTTTGGTCAGTTTGAAAATCGCTTAATTCGAACTCAATTACATGTTTTTAAATTATTTTTATACTTGTCATTTTCATTAGTTGTTACCATTTACTATCATGTTTCATGCTACACGATGATACTGATTATTTAATATAAAAAATTAAAATCCCTAACTCATTCGAATTTAACTTAATCTCGCCCTCAATTTCTTCATCTTCAATAATAAAAAGTTTTCCCAACTATATAACGGTATAAACTCTCCCTCGTTCGATATATGTAAGACAATATATAATATTTTACGATGAGAAGTTACCACTAGCAAGCGGGTCACAAAATGGGATTGGTTTGATTCAGTTACAGTACTAGTTTGAGGCAATCAAAACAGTGATTCAGCAAATCTAAATGGATTGGTTTTGATTCACTTTATCGCTAAGTACATTCGAGTCAAATGATTCGACCCAAAAAATTCGCTTAAGTACTTTTTTATTCTGAGCTTTGCTACATTTTCATATCATGGATTCGAAAACTTGTCCAATTTCTAAATAAATCTGATTAAAACTTCAAGGGAAGGAATCGGATGACGGTGATAAGAGGGCATTAGCAATGGGCATTTTTGCATTGTGCAAACGTGAGAGAGAACAAATGAGGAACAGAGCACTGCATAATTTAACTTTAAATTACTGGCGGGATCACAAAATAAAAGCCAACTATACGGCTCATAAAACATTTATCGTACAACATAATCTGTGCTGCTGCGGCTAACTCCTCTCGTTCAACATATTTTCTTACAAATCATTATCAACCCAGAGAGGGAGAAAAACAAAATAACCAAATCTAAAAATATCGACTTACAAATTCCTGCCGATAACACAGGAATCAAGATACAGTTCGCCCGTAGCACAAACAAGCAAGATACAGATTCTTTGCCCATTTTTCCTGTGCAAAAGTAGACCAAAATTTAGAATGAGGATATCAATAGTCTGATATTATTTTGTCTTAAAAAAAGGTTAAATGAGTGTCACGGTCATTCACTTTAAAGAAAAACTTCATACCTTCACATGTGTGCTAGGAAATTGAGATGTACGCAAAGTCTCTTGAGTTTCATCACCAGGTTTGCGCTTGGGGACACTCAAGATGAGGGCTGCTTGATCCCAAGTTGCAGCTGTTGATGTTATCCGAAAACCATTATCCCAACGTCTGTGGATGCCTTCACTTGGATAGAGAAAATCCAGCTCCACAACCTATGAAAAGCCAATGGCAAATGAGAGGGTGGACACCAACTCGAAAACCAGAAAAGAAAAATAACTGCAAAATCAACATGCCTTAGCTATCATGAAATGCTACTGATCACGTTTTAAATACATAAAAAGTTGGCAGATCTTGTTGCCATAATATCTGGTTGGATGCACCATAAAATGGCCTAACGCAACCCATTTGCCACTATTTCTAGTCAAATTCCACCTGGAATAACAGTAAATATATGTCTGGTTAGCTTGTCTTTAGTCATATCCTAAAATATCAGTTTTATTTAGAATGGCCCTCACTAGATCAGTTGACACCTTGAAAAGATTCAATTTTCCCTCTTCTTATTCCCCGTCCAACGTAGATTCAAATACTATGACTCAAGCTTTAAATGAAGCTTTTGAAAAGAGTTTCAAGACAACAACAAATGTCATTTGTGCCCCTCGGAGAAAGAGCAGTGGCTTCACACAAAAGTAGAAACACATTGCGGAGGGGCATATAGTGATTTGTAAAACCCACAATATCATATTATCATGCAATGAGAATAAAGTTGAGAAAGAGCATGATCATATGAGAAATTGAACTGCCAATGAAGAGAAGGCAGCGATTTCTCTGCAACCTGCTAGCATGGAAATATCAAATTAACACACTAACATTCCTGAAGAGAATAATAAGATGGGCACAGCTTACCTGATCACTGAAGCCAGCATTGCGAGACATAACAACACCCCACCGGCTCCCAGCAGTTGCCATTGAGGTCACATGAAATCCTTCTCTCCACTTCTTATTTATCCACTTGAAGGGGAAAGAATCACTTACTTTGTAAGACTGTTGCGTATACTGAGTTCCTGCAGAATTAGGGTCACAGTTCATAATCTACTGATTGAAAACGACCTGAATTGATGTATGCACAGACATTCTGTCTAGTAATATCCAAATCTTTTTTCTTCTTTTTTTTGGGGTACAAAAGTCCACTGTATCTTACTCTGTTTACAAAATGACAAGATCCACTTTATAAAGAAAAACTATGCAATCCTTATCAATATATAACAAATAACAACCTTCGGTCAAAAGACTCAAAACATTAATGTCCAACACAAACCCATCAGTCACCAATGTGGAGAACCCTAAGAGGTAAGAAAAAAGAGAATCGTGGTTATCTTGATAATAACCACAGCATGTATGTCCCACAGCCATTGGAGCTTTCTGGGAACTTTAGGAAGAGGGAACCTAGACCTCAACAACTAAGAAGAACCAACCCAAACACCATACAGCAATCCAGAAAAAGAAAAGAAAGATTACTGCATGACCAGATTAAAGTTACACCAACATAGCATTAAAAGAACACATTGCAAAGAATAGATTCATTCATTCTTTCCAAGCCAATTTTTTTCCTCAGCAATCATATATGACATGAAACTTTGGAGCATATTGCTAAAGCGTACATTACTGATATGAAAATGCAATCTGGCATGACAAAAAACAGGTCCACATAGGTCATGCAACTTTATTCATTAACACAATTAAAGTTAGTAGATTAATGCCACAACTAATCACTACAGCAGTGTACCTTTTGACATCACCACAAGGGAACTTCCATTATTAGCACCAGCAATAGAACTAATGTAATAGTTCTTCTCCCATTGTTCCATTATCCATTCCTGTGTATTCAGAACAAACAGTCTGTCAATTTTTTGAGGAGTAAACATCTTATATCAATATAGACAAGCACAGGAATCCACCTTGTGCAAGAAGAAGGGTGAAAGCTCATAAACTTGGTTTGTAAAACCGGTTCCGGCATCCATAATAAGTGCCCAGAGATTAGAACAAGATGACACACAACTTATAAGCAGACCGTCTTGAATCCCTCTCTCCACATGTTGTGCCAACCTTGCATCAGCGACATTGTAATGATACCTAGTAATAAAAGATGATCAAGCCATGAGGAAAATTACAGGCAGGGATTCTTATTCAAATCACTTTTCCCTTTGATATGCAAGGAAAGAATGAAACTACACTATATATTGACCAGAAAAAAAAAAGTACAATGTTGCAAAAAGAATTTCTACCTCTGTTTCATCGGCATCCGAGCATTGTAAACTGAAATCCATTGTGTGGCAGGTACTCCTAGCCTAACTTTCTTCCTTGGCTGGCCATCATCATCTTCCTCAATATTCAATCTACCCCGTTTCTGGCCAACCTGACTAATAATCTAAAACAGTTCGCAATAAATTAATTTATAAGCCCAATGAACAAACAAAAGAAAGCTTTATATATTACAATATCCTAAAATACCTTCTGAGCCCCATCAATTTTGATTGGCCTTACAGCAGGATTTGATCCTATCAAACTCTCAAACAATGATATTAGCTTCGAATAGTTAGGCTCTTCATCAAATTTCATGTTCACCACAACCTCAAGAAATTGCCTTAGAGGTGGGGGGCAGAAGCAGCACAGCATTTCGGGAGATGTTGCCATCTTTTTTTTGCAAACTAGGAAAGATTTGTTATCACCCTGAAACAGGACCAAGTAGAGTGCAGATAAATTTCATAATAAATCTCAATAAAGGAGGGTAAATCAGACTCTAAAATTAATCCCTCTTATATACCTGATAGCCCTGCCATGGTAACCTTCCTCGGTGGAGAAAAATGAGTGTATAAGCAAGAGATTCAAGATCATCTCTTCTACTAGCAGTTCTTCCTAAGTGAGCATGAACACTAGCATATCGAACAGTTCCTCTGGAGGTGAAACAGAAAAGATTTTAGGGCTAAAAATAGAAGAATTAGACTGAATACCATACCCCAAAAAATGAAGATATTACTTCACCTAAACATATCAGGACGTTGATCATAATCAACATGACCCCCATTAGTGTCTTTCCACTTTGTCGCTGTACAATCAGGTAATGAAGAAGACATAAGAAATGAAAGTAAATGAAATAACAGGAGAGAAGCCCTACAGATGAAAATAAATTAACTTACCTAGTCCAAGGTCAACAAGAAACAATTTCTTCTCTTGAGCCGTAGATGGCTGACCAAGTAAAAAGTTTTCTGGCTTTACATCTCCATGCACATAGCTAATGTCAACAAGTCATGATTTGAAATAAGTTAGAAATATAATTAAAAGAATTATTTTTGAAAGAAACAAAAAGCAATAGGATTGAAGAAATTTTAGTATTCATATTAATCCACAAGATTGGGACAACCAACACCAAAAAGTGAATAAAATTATCTGAGGCTGCATTGACATACCCTCTTGAGTGCATCTTCTCTAGAATTGATAAAGACTCAACAGCTATACAAGCTACCATTTCTGCAGACATCCTGTGTTCATTGGATTCAAACATAAACGAAAAATATAAGTAAAAATCTTTCAGAAAATTGAAGTCCAAGAATAGAAGAACATATGCGTGCTCTTCCACTTCAAAAACAGTTATATACCCACAGACTGAATCCAAAGCCATAACTATCCAATAACTCAAACTTTATTTCAGTGCTCTTTAGCATCTTAAGTATGAGTTTAGAAGATTTAATCCTTAAAATCGTGACTGAAAATAGGTTGCTTCAGCTGTGCCTCTATTCAGGCCCCTCAGAATAAGCAGAAAACATTTAAAACTGGAATTTTTCAGCTGAATCCTAAATGGCATATCCAGGTTTCGGATCTCGAGATAACAGCAAAACAAACAGATAATGTTTGGATGAAAAGCAAAATAATCTTAAATACTCACGCTTGCCCTGAAGTATTCCATACATCCCATAAACTAGGCCCTAGCATGTCCATAACCTGCATATATGAAAATAACAAATGTATTCAGTCCAAGGAAACAAGAAATTTCAACCCGTTACTGATACAAGAGATAGGACAGTTCATACCATGACATAATAGTCTCCTTGCTTTCCTTTATAGTGCACTTTAGGCACTCCATGACTACCACCAAGAGTGCTGTTCAAAAACAAAAAACGACCGATTTATAAACAAATTATCAAGTGTGCATGTATAGATACTGATAAATGAACCTAAGCACATCACCCAGGGAAAAAAACAATAGAAAAACTAAAATCTAATAGAAAGAAAAAGACTCACTTGTAAACTTGCCACTCATATGGAGGACCATAAGTACAGCCTTTGCTGTTTCTGTGCTCAAATTTAAGTGCTACCTGATAAATACATAAATCACAAAGAAATTCAAAAGGACAATTACTGATAAAGAAAACAAGATAATTTCTGAATGGTACAGCCTTCTTTCAACATGAGAAAATATGAACTTACCTCAATAGCACCAGGACCGCTTGTACGATCAACTCCACCCGTAACACGACGACCAACAAACACCTGGCCAAAGCCACCTTTGCCCAGCTTCCTCTCTACCTTATAGAGTGGTGACCCTCCTACTTGAACCTTAGAAAGTGGAAATTTGGAAATTTTCCAGAACATATATCACCATTAAAATAAACATACCAAAGTTGAAACAGAATCTCTTTCTTTTTATGTGAAATTTAAAAATGTTACAACAAAATTCATCATTTAAGTTACACCAACCCAAAGCATTCATTTAAAGACTACCATCATTAAGTTAATCCACTCCAGTGCATTCTTTCAGTTAAAATGACCCGCTTAGTTGAAGAACAAGATAAAAAATTGGACATATATAAACTCAAAAATGCATGCACCCAACATAGAAAACATCTATAAAATTAAAAATGACCACTTTACTGGATCCCTTAAAGGAAACTTACTGATTAGGATCTCATTCTTACAAGGAAACACAAGAAATGCTTTCAACATAATTAAATATAGCCTACTACCTGAACAATTAAAGAACAGTGAAAAAAAGTAAACACATTTCATCAGCAGCAACCCCACCCCAAGTTCCCAACTGAAATAAAATAACAATACACAATATAACGCCACCAAAAGCATCATTATAGCGAGAAACTACCCGTACCTTTTCGGGAAAAGGTGCAGTACTGCCCTCTTCTTCTTGCCCAGCAGCCTTATTAGCACTCAAGCCACCACTATCGTCAGCCATCACAGCTTTCTTATCTTCCTCGACTATTTCTTTTCCCTTTTTGCCCTCAGAATCGGAGTCCTTCTCCGATATCACAATCACACGGTCTTCCTGCTCCGGCTCCGGGTCCGGCTCCTGCTTCTCCTCTTCTTTCAATTTTCTCACTGCCAACCTTGTCCTCGGCCTCACCACGGCCTCAGCGGCTTCTCGGGCGACCGTGGCACGGGTCCTCCGCGAGGGCGGCGGTAGGTCCGACGGCTTGTGAGCTACCCTAGCGCGGCCTCGGCGGACTCCTCTGCGAAGCTCCGGCATTGCTCAAACCCATAAAATGAATTCGTACGGTGCTTCAACGATTCGATCATTATATTAATCCCGCGAAGCTTTGAGAGTCTTGGGCATGGCTGAAATTTGAATAAATCGGTCGGGGAAGAGTGGAATTAGAGGAAATCGGAGGTGAATTGGGTCGGGGTGAGGTTCGATTGGAGATAATTACGGTTTGATTGCAGAGGTTGACATTTGGGGGTTAGGGTTTGGTAGAGAGGGCAGGAGAGAGAGATTGAGGCAGAGGCGCCGAGTCCAACTGTAGGATGATGCGGGAAAACAGAGAAAACCAAATGAGAAAGGAGGGTTTCGTTTTGGGTGTGGACCGTGTGGTAGGACAAAATGGACAATCGTCAAATTGGTGAACTCACCAAATGTCTAGAAAAAGAAGAAAATAAGTAAATTATTGGCAGATTAAACCTTAATTTTCCTTTGCCAATCAAGCTATTTAATCTTAACTTCTCTACTTGAAGTCCGAAGATATTTGCATATACCAAAGTCGAGTTAACTAGAACGAATGTGCTACCAACTCTGCACTTGAATTAAAATTGTGTGTCCGTTCCTTTATGCCCGAGTTTAATCCCCTTTTTTATACATTAGAATAATTTAGAATATTACATTGTCAATAATTCAAATGATTATTAACATTTGCTTCGACCTAAAAAAAAAGTATGGAAAATTTCATGTGCTCAATGCAATTCTCGTGGCACAAATGACAGAGTATTGAATGTGTGCACGATATGCATGACATATAAGATGCGTACAACAAGAAGAAACTTGTAAATATATCAATCAAGAGGTTTTGTAAGACTTTCTCTTCCTTCCTTCCTTTCCCCCTGCTTGTTGATTTGAGGAGTTTTAGCTTTATTTTTATTTTGGGTCGAAGATTTGAGGAATTCATGGCATGCTGCTGGCGATCATCAACTGACCGTTCTCAGCTTCTTATCATATTTGATCTCTATATTACACAATTGACAATCCTCATCTCCTCATCATAATTTGAATTTACCTGATTTGTGTGTTTTTTACTTGATTTTATCTTTCCACGAACCTTCTTGGCTCTAAAACTTGTCATTTTTCTACCACAACAGCACATGAAAATACATGATACATTCTTAAGTTTTCTTGTGGCCTTATTTTAAAAATCGAATTAGCAACTAGGTGAGTCTCGGACCCTAGCTATTAGGTTAGCTTCCTTCATAGGATTCTTGGCTCCACCATTACTTACTATGACACAAATCCCGCCTCATTCACCATAGTTTTGATCTTCAAATATCATTCATGATTTACCTCTAGATTTAAACTTTGTTGATGTTTTTTGGACATGCTATATGTTTGCTCTGAAGAGTGTTGTTATAGAGCTAGCAAATTAATTGTTTTTTTTTTTTTTTTTTTTTTTTTTTTTTTTTTTTTTAAACTTTTTCAATTTTCTTACTCGCAGTCACATCTTAGTTTTGTTTAATTTTGCAAACTTTTTAATGTATGTTATCTTCTATATATATAAAGCAAAAGGCGGAGAATTGTGAAACATTCGAAATATCAGAAAATATCATTGGTTAATTCAAACATTAAGAATTGAAATTATTAATTAAATGATGATAATATAGTAAATTCACATTTTTTTGTATTAAAAAAATAAAATTAAAAACAAAATCAAATAATAGGCCATACTTTTATGAAACATAACTACCCATGTTATATTTTCTTAATTCTAAAAAGAAAATAAAAAAGAAAAAAGTGTTATAAATCCATACGTCATGGGTTTATAGGTTATGGATGCCCACAATAATAGCCACTATTAACCTATCATAAGACCCATCATTATATACTTGTAACCTACCAATTATGGTTGGTAAATGATTTAGGCCTCTGTACCCCTATAAATAGTGGATCCAAATATAAATGGAATACAAGTTGATTTGAGCAAATTATACTGCCTCTTTCTTCCTCTTATTTCTCCTTACAAATTCCATAGTTTCACAACAAAAAGAAAACCACGCATGTGCCAAGGGAATAGTATATATATAGAGTGGGAGAGCTCTCAATCAACTGTAAACTTTCAAAAATTCTTGAATAACTAATTGGTAAAGAGTAATATATCTTTCTTTTGCGATCATTAAAGCCTCTAGAGGTCTCCATATATTTGGGATGCTCCCCTTGCTGCTGTTAACTAGTTAATTTTCAATGTTATATTGTTGTTAGTTAGTGTTCGTGTTGGGCTTTATACTTGTGAGAATAGAGGGGTGGTGTTTCCTTTTTTTAAAAAAAACTCAGAAGAACGGAAAACGTTGTTTGGACTAGAATTCAGAACATGGGTGTCTAAAGAATATCCTTAAGGCTGCCAAAATGGGGTTCCACCCCAGTATGATGTAATTTGAGGGGACTCCCCATGATGTAATTTGAGCCCCCTCCCCTCATAGTAATATCCTTAAGGCTCATTTTATTCTACTCTACTTGAGTTAACAATCAAAAGTGAACTATTGAGTTTTTTTAAAAGTGGACTACCATTTTAGTGAAGGCGATCTAACCACTCTTGGGATTATTAGTGAAAGCGATTTAGTCTCACCACTATTGGGATTATTAGTGAAAAAGCGATCTAGTCTCACCACTATTGGGATTATTAGTGAAAAAGCGATTTAGTGAAAAAGCGATTTAGTCTCTCCACTCTCGGAATTATTAGTGAAAGCGATCTAGGGTCACCACTGTCGGAATTTTCAGTGAAAGCCTTAGCGAGGAATTATTAGACTCTTGGAATTATTAGTGGAATCACTATTCCCCACCGCGCATATATACCCTTCATCTGTTCCCATCTTTTCCATTGAGCTCTCAAGCTAGCCAAATTCAATCTGGCAGCCTCACTACCCTCTCCCTGAGGAAATTCAATACCAATACCCTTAATTTGCTCCGATCTTTTCCATTGAGCTCTCAAGCTAGCTAGATGATTCAAGGTCACCGCCTTCGGTTTCACCTACATCCACAGCTAGCACATGCAGAAAAAAATGGGCAATACTTGCACTGCTTCTTTTTATTATTTTTGTCAATCCCTAAAGGCCTCCTTCCATTTACTGCTCCAGAAAATAATACTCATTGTGAGCCGTCTTGTTGATCTCGATGACCCAGAAGCTCCAGCTCCAGCTGCCCAACCACAACCATCTGCAACAACAGCAGCAGCAGCTAGGAACTTGGATTGGGCAAAGATTCTTGTGGTGTATTGCTTGTCAACAGGAGTTGCCATGGCTCTCATACACACCCAAGTTCACCCTAGCAAGCTCCCTCTAAGCTTTTTCTTTCTCGGACTGGCAGTCCTACTCGCCTTTACGTGCATCATGGTAAGCAAATTTGTTCAGCACTCCAAATGTCCAAGAATAACACTTCATCTTTTCCATTTCTTTGGGGTCTTTTTCGGAGTCACCGCCTTCTTCATTTCCATTACAATCCCTTTTCCTCTCTGGTTTAAATGTACTGCATCTGTCATCTATTTGGCTTCAGGCCTTGTAGTCATATTTTGCAATCACTTCTATAATTAATATTAATGTTGAGAGAGAGAGAGAGAGAGAGAGAGAGAGAGAGAGAAGAAGAGATATATTAGACTGCACTACTGTAATAACTTCACAGTGCCCTTTATGTTTGTAAAAGTTGAGTAGTAGCTTGATCTGGATAAAATTCCACAAGGATATGTCTTCCTGTTTGTATGATTTCCTATTAATAAATATTTTTTTGTGTAATTTCTTGATTAATATTTGCCATGCAACGAATTCCACGTCATACATAGTGTTAAAAGTGAATAAAAATGGGGAAATGGAAAACTCTGGATTAAAAATTTAGGACATGGGTGTCTAAAGTATATCCTTGAGTGCAAATATAATTTCGTACAGTTTTATCCCTTGTGATTTTGGTCCTCTGCCGCACACTAATGGTTGCAATCTATTTTGACCCAGTTGAAATTGTCGAAATATGGCTTGCCCAAACCCAATGTTCGTTTCTCAGAAGGCAAAGAAAAAGCCCAAGGTCTGTGTCTCACAAAAAAAAAAAGGGAGTTTCACTAAAACACCCAAAATGGGAGCTGAAATTATAAAAAAACTCAACACCCAAAACACTTTATAAATACACCCAAAACCCATCATTACACACACTCAAAACCCATTTATAAACACACCCAAAAAATATACAATTTTTGACTTTGGGGTTGATTTTGGGTGTGTTTCTATGTTTAAATAGTATTTGGGTTTTTTTATAAATACATGTCTAGGATTGAGTTTATTTATAAATTTGTAAAAAAAAAAGCCCAGGTCCAATTCTTTTAAGAGGCTCTAAAATTCGTATAATAATTATTCAAAAAAAATGATTTAACGTCACTCCTACTGCATACTCAATCTTGAGTTCCATGCTGTGGAATGTTTTCGTCTTTTTTGTTTTTGCATAAGTCGGTAAAAGGAAACAACATTTTGTGTTTTACAAATTGCCCAAACTATTAAGGGAAAATAATGAAAATCATTTTTTTTGCATTACACACCAATGTCTATCCCAAAAATCTTTAATAGGAACTGGTAGAATTAGTTTTCAAAAAAAATTCACAAGGCACTTTTATGAATTTGTATCCAGATAATCAGTGAGTAGTAACCATATTTCGAGTAGTGTTTTGATTATTATGAGTTTGCAATCTTAGTTAGAATGTCTATGCCAGAATTTCTTCGATACTGCGTTATCATTTGTGGAGGCACACCAGATTATTTTAATTTTGATGTTAGGCCGCTCTATTATTGTAATGGTCATTTGTGACTAGTGGTTTTTTTTAACTGAATTATGAATGCAATCCTAGAATTTCTCAACAACAAAAAATTTGAATATCTTATCATTGATTGATATTATAACATGCGAACAAGTTATACTATGTAGTCGTATTTTAGTTCCTTATAAACATTTGTTCACATTGAAGAAAAAATAAATTTTAAAAAAAGTTTAGATGTTCAAAAATTGTTTTTGGTTACAAGTATTTTTTTTTAAATAATTAATTTAGCTAACCGGATTTATGTAAAACTACCCAAGTTTTATTGTTTTTGGATACAAGTTATATACGTTAAATTTCAAAGAGATAGGTTGATGGCCCACTATTAGCAACACTGATATTGTCTCTAACTTAACTACCTACAAAGCCCGGTAGGTGTGAGGTTTTATCACAAAAAGTCTCGATGATATTAGTAGTGAAACCATTCATTATATATTGTATTTTCTTTAGTTAAGTTTATGATGTGGGACTTATCCCCCAAGTTAACTCATGAATCATGAAAATATATGCAAGTGTTGTGAAATAATTGGAATAATTGAAAATGCAATTGCATGAAATCTACATTATTGCACTTTGACCGGTTACCTTCAAATGACAATTAACATAAATTCTTTTTATTATTTGAAAATTTGATACACCATATGCACCATCTGCCAGGAAAGTACGAATGTAAAGTGGACCAGGAAAGTACGAATGTAAAGTGGAGAACGAATTTAGGAAATAAAGCATTCAATCTTTGACCAAAATGTAGCTGGCGTGAAAGTAACGGCATTAAGATATCAGAATTCAAGCTTGCTGCTGTGAAAGGTTATAAGTAACCACAATCTCAGTTAGATAACAGCATTCAAGTGTGTTGCCGTGAGAATATTCACAATCATACTCTATATTTTTAGTTAAATTTTAGCTAAAAATATATATAAGTTATTTTAGGAGTTCTCTATAAAATTTAAACTCCGATCATACTCCCTAGTCTAGGAAGTCATAAATGTTATAACTCTTTTTTAATTAGTCCATCTTTATTAAAAAATAATATAAAAAATAGTTAGTACTAATTGAAAGTTTGAAATACTCATTAAATAAAACAGTATTAAATTATAGAGAGTCATTGAGTTTTTTCTCTTTCCTCAGATTTTAATTCATCTCTAAAATTTATTTAAGAATGTGGTTTAAGAAACCCATTGTTGATGCTCTAAAAAGGGTATAAGTGAAGGGCTAAGATTTACGTTGTTAGACGATGACACCGCGGGGCCTCCGAAAGCAATTTACGTTGTTAGCACTGGGGCCTCCGCACTGGGGCCTCCGAAAGCAATTTACGTTGTTAGCACTGGGGCCTCCGCACTGGGGCCTCCGAAAGCAATTTACGTGGCCTCCGAAAGCAATTTACGTTGTTAGCACTGGGGCCTCCGCACTGGGGCCTCCGAAAGCAATTTACGTTGTTAGACACCACTGGATACGTCGGCCCGAAAGCAATTTAAGTTCTTAGACACCACTGGGGCCTCCGAAAGCAATTTACGTTCCCGACTTCTACAAATTCCCAATTGACGTTATCACCCCCGCAATTCCCACTATTCACACCCGTCCCTTTTCCCCTATATATATACTGGCTACTCCTACGCCAAACTCAATCTCAGTCTCACTACTCTTTCCCTGAGGAAATTCAATATCAATACCCTTAATCTGCTCCGATCTTTTCCATTGAGCTCTCAAGCTAGCTAGATCAAGGTCACCGTCGTCGGTTTCACCTACATCCACAGCCAGCGCATGCACAAAAAATGAGCAATACTTGCACTGCTTCTTCTTTTTATTATTATTACCAGTCCCTAAAGGAACTGCTCCAGAAAATAATACTCATCGTGAGCCGTCATGATGATCTCGATGACCCAGAAGCTCCAGCTGCCCATCCACAACCATCTGCAACAACAACAGCAGCAGCTAGGAACTTGGATTGGGCGAAGATTGTTGTGGTGTATTGCTTGTCAACAGGAGTTTCCATGGCTCTCATACACACCCAAGTTCACCCCAGCAAGCTCCCTCTAAGCTTTTTCTTTCTCGGACTGGCAGTCCTACTCGCCTTTGCGTGCATCATGGTAAGCAAATTTGTTCAGCACTCCAAATGTCCAAGAAAAACACTTCATCTCTTCCATTTCTTTGGAGTCTTTTTTGGAGTCACCGCCTTCTTCATTTCCATTACAATCCCTTTTCCTCTCTGGTTTAAATGTACTGCATCTGTTATCTATGTGGCCTCAGGCCTTGTAGTCATATTTTGCAATCACTTCTATAACTAGACTGCACTACTGCAACTTCACAGTGCCTTTTATTTTTGTAAAAGTAGAGTAGTAGCTTGATCCGGATGAAATTCGACGATGATATGTCTTCCTGTTCGTATGATTTCCTATTAATAAATATTATTTTGTATAATTTCTTGATTAATGTTTGTATAATTTCTTGATTAATGTTTGTATAATTTCTTGATTAATGTTTGTCATGCAACGAATTTCTTGATTAATGCGTTAAAAGTTAATTAAAATGGGAAAATGGAAAACTCTGGATTAAAAATTTAGGACATGGGTGTCTAAAGTATATCCTTGAGTGCGAATATAATTTCGTGTAGTTTTATCCCTTGTGATTTTGGTCCTCTGCCGGCACACTAATGGTTTGCAATCTATTTTAACCCAGTTGAAATTGTCAAAATATGACTTGCCCAAACCCAATCTTCCTCTCCTTCTTAGAAGGCAAAGAAAAAGCCCAAGGTCTGTGTCCCACCCAAAAAAAAAAGCCCAGGTCCAATTCTTTTAAGAGGCTCTAAAATTCGTATAATATTGAAAAATTAAAATTTTTTTTTCAAAAGAATAATAATTTTGAGGGACACACATGAGATTGGAATATGCCTTATTTTCCGACGGAATGGATCAGAATCAGGGAGTCCAATTCCAATCAAAAAAATGATTTAACGTCACTCCTAGTGTATATTTAATTGGGTGGGGGGGTTGCGGTTTCCCCCCCATCCATCCATTGGGGAAAGAAATTTTTTTTTTTTTTTTTTTTTTTTTTTTTTTTTTTTTTTTTTGTGCCGTCAAAAGGAAACAACATTTTGTGTTTTTCAAATTTCAAATAAATGAATGTATTACAGAAAAATAAAAATACGTATTTTGAGTGTTGCCGACATTTTTTAACAGCTGCACAAAGACGCGATGATGATAGGTTGGTTTTTGTCTGTCCATCCATCTGAATTTAGTTGAACGCAGGCTCATCTAGTCAGCTTTCTTTTTTCTCGCACCAAGACAAAAACTTGTGGTTTTCATGGTAGTACCAGCAAGTTCTTAATTCTTAGTTTTTCTATAAATAAAAGTATATATATTAAATTATATAAATTATGTTCACTCATAATTTTATTTATTAATTTATAATAAATTTAAATATAAAACAAATACATATTAAATACAACCTATATATATATTATGAAAACGAATATATATTCAACAACAAAACTGAAATTGTGTATTTTTAGGTTAATATATTGGACTACGTAGGTTTATTTCCTCCCCCCTCAAATAAAACAAGGCAATTTATGTTAATTAAAATATTTATACAAAGTCAAAGTTTGAAAAAATAGTTTGAAAAAAATAATTTTAAGTGACACACATGGGATTGGAATATGCCTTATTTTCCGACGAAATGGATCAGAATTAGTGGAGTTCAATTCCAATAAAAAAAAATTAGGAATGAAAATTCACTTGTCAAATTCCAGTAATATTGACAAAATTTCAACTAAAAAGGAAAAAAGATACTAAAATAATTTGACACATGTAAAAACCACATTAGTTGTAAGAAGGAGCTCCTTCTCAATCTCAAGGAGTCCAGTTTTTTACTTATTTTGTCTTTTCTGGTTTTAAAAATATTATTTTTTATATATTTTAAAGAAATCTTTATTATTTTTAACACCTTAGCATAAGTGTGTGTATCCTATTTGACACGTCACCGATTTAACAGAAAATCTAATGATGGTTTTCTTTTAAAAATCAATGATGCTTTAAAAAAGATTTTTTTTTAAATAAAAGAAAACAAGTACAATTTTTTTTAAAATGACTTATTGTTAGACCATCTCCAACCATGTTGGGGCTAAACTCAAATTTCCACCCTCCAAAATACAACTATTCATGTATTTTCAAGACTCAAATTTTTTTTCTTCCAACCTTGCAGACTCATAATTTGAGTTTGCAACTTTATTAAATTGTTTAAGAATGATTAACCCCTAATTTTTTTTTCTTGTTAATTTTTCTTGACATTATTTTTGTTTCAATACTCGTGATTTAATTTTGTAAACATTTTAACCTAAAAAAATTAAAATTCCAAAACATAATAGAATTTCACTTAAAAATAAAACAAGTACAACACCATACGTATGCCCGGAATGTAAAATGAAAAATTATAACAAAGGGAGAAAGGAAAAAAATGATTTTTGGTGGATTATTTACCAAATGAATGACTATTTATAGAGTTTGGAATAAATTTTGGGGTTAGATCTGACTTAGATTAATTATAAATATTAATTTAACCGTTGGATTTAAATTTGACCCGTTAGATGTGAAATTTACTGTTGAGATTGCCTAAAATGAATCTGAATAATTGATTATCCAATATGTTGGAATATTTCAAAAAAAAAAAAAAAAGAAAAAAGCATAACAAAACATACCAAAAATAGCTGTTGCTTTTCAATAAACTAGAGGGAATCTTCATTCCCACTTGCCAGCAACACAGCCCACGTGATGGGCTTCTCACATCATGCAATAAAAAAATATTTATTAAAGCAGAATTGGGCCCCACAGATTTATCAGTCCAAGCAGAATTCTGGGTGGAATTCCAGTCCAATTTTGAGGCATCTCAAATTTTCACCTCCCAAAATACATGGGTTGGAGATGGTTTTTGGAGGCTAAACTCAAATTTGAGTTTCCACCCCAAGGGTTGGAGATGGTCTTAAGTATTAATATGTCCGCGTGCATTGAAGAGGTCCGGACAAAGATCCAAAAGTTGAATTACTTTGTCTTTCAGGTTAATAATTAGGAAATGAATTTCAATATAATAATAAAAAGAAAAGTAAAGGCAAACAGACAGTTTATGTTAATTAAAATATTTACACAAGTCAAGTTTGAAGGTGACAAAAGTCAAGCCATATTATTATTATATATACTAAAACCCATTACCTACTGAAGTGTAAGTGTATAAAAATAAAGTGTAAGTGTATAAAGTGTAAGTGTATAAAAAATGAGTGAAAAAATCAGTACCCTACTAATAAATAGATCTCTTTTGTTGATTGGATAGATGATTTAACGTCGCTCCTTGTGTTAGCTTCACACCTTCACTGCCTGCCTATGTTCATCACCATCCCTTTTTGCTCTCTGGTTCAAATGCACTGCCTATTCCATCTATGTAGCTGCCCGTTTCCTTATAGCACTTCGTAATCTTCACGTCAATAAATATTATTTCTACTTTTTCGAATACTGGCGGGGCTACACATAGTGCTTGAACTTTACTAACTGAACAAATCTTTGTTGGTATAAAGAGTTATTCTTACTTCCTGCAAATTTCAGACTTATACATAAACCCAAAAATATTTCATAAATAACACAAAATGTCAACCTTGATAAGCAAAAAAAGGCAGATTGTGACGCAATGGCCACCTTTGACTAAAACTTTTATACCTTTAGGTGATTATACATTAATTATTTTGTTTGTTTTTGTTTTGTTTTGTGAAATCCTCTATGAATTTACAAAACATAGCTTCTGTAAATTACCAGGAAGTTCCTAATTCACACTTCTTAGCTTCTTCCTTTTGTTTCTCTAAATTGTCTTAAAATTCCTCTCGTTCCCTTATTCCTATAAACTAGGAATTCATAGTTCTATTGACTAGAAGTTTTGGATCAATATATACCTGCACTAACGGTTGTCTCAAAATGAACCTCAGTATCTCCATCTCTATCTCTATATATACACATCTCTCTCTATCTATCTCTGAGTGCTTTTAATAAAATGACGCATGTTACTGTTTATGATCATTACTTAAAGCCTCTTCTCATTGCAATTACTACAAAGATCCTACAACTAGTCAAATTTCTTATAATTAGTCGGCTTGATCATGATGATTATGACCCTAATCTTGATGACCCCGAAGCCGCACTACAAGTAGCAGAAGCAGCAGCAGCAGCTTATTCTTATAGAGATAGGAGGAGGAACAACAAGAACAAGTTAGATTGGGCAAAGATAATTGTGGTGTTTTGCTTCACAGCTGCAATTGGACTTGCCCTTCTTCCCTTCCAACTTCACGACTCTCATGAGCTCCCTCTGAACTTCTACTTTCTTGGACTCACAGTCTTACTTGCCTTCACTTGTATCTTGGTCAGCAAATTTGTTCACTTCAACTACTGTCCTGCAGGCATATCAATCTCCTACCTCTTCCACAATTTTGGCCTCTTTTTCGGATTCACTGCCTTCCTCATATCCATCACCATCCCTTTTCCTCTTTGGTTCAAATGCACTGCCTATTCCATCTATGTAGCCGCCTGCTTCCTCATAATTCTTTGTAATCTTCACTTCAATAAATATTACAAACCTCATAATTTGAACCTCCCAAATCCCGAAAATTTTGAAAACAACGTCAATGATCCTGCAGTACTGGAATCATCGTCATCATCAAGCTAGGGACATTTTCCAAATATTAATAGTACTAGTACTTCTGATGATCAAGAATGCATCAATACTGTCTGTAACTTTTAATTATTTAGTAATAATTGTTTCTCGTTTAATTTTTGGATTTTTGCACTACCTACCAGGCAGGGACAATTTCCTCTAGAACCTAGAGGCTTTAAGCTTTATAGTTGGCCCGATAACCTTTCGTCTTGGGCTTCCGAAGACGATATCAAGCGCAGCGGTAAGGGGGCTTGCAAAGACGATAAAAAAATGTATTCATAAAAAGAAGTTGTACTTACATAATCAAATATTTATTAAATAACAAACAGTTACAATTTTCTATTATATATTATTTCAATTATGTTAAATGGAATACATACGAAGAACAATAATGTTAAATGGAATACATAGGAAGGGCAAAAGTCAGGTTAGCCCATGATTGTCGGCTACAATAATTCTATAGTTAGAACCTTATATATGGCCTTTAGGTGAGTCCATATCTCTCAATCATCGAACCAAATTAGTTAGCATGATTCAACGATTAAGAAATATGACCCCACCTAAAAGCCTTAAATAAGGCCCTCACTATAGAATGACTCTTGTGGGCTAAGGTGTGTTTGTCGACTATGTGGGTTGAGGGTGAAGCCCAACCCAACTGTTATGTGATGGAATACACGTTCAAAATGACCAATATGTACTCAAAAGTGAGTAGCATGTACTTGACTTTATTCGAAGTCATCTTGAATAAAATTGATACATATTCGATACTAAAGGTAGATTAATAATTTTTATTATTTTTTATTTACAGTTGGAGGATAAATTAATTAAAAGAAAGTATGGAGAGGAAGCTCAAGGGTAAAGCGTAAAGAACCCTACTTCAATTTATACCATATAATTTATTTTTATATAAGCGATGTTAAGGAAAATCGAACTTAAGACCTTCGGTGCAGAAGTAAATGCCGTTAAACACTTGAGAAACAAATTCCTTACACACTTGAGAGATACAAGCCTCTCGCACACTGGTTACTTTTAAGTCGCACACTTTATCACATGTGCATTGTATATTCATCATGATGCTTTTAATTTATTTTTAGACATATCCACACACCTATTGATTCATTGAATCACAAATAAAAAAGAAAATAAAGTTAAAATGAAACCCGAGACAGAGCCAAATCACGAAAAAGTCCCCCACGCAACCAAACACACCCAAAAGTCCCAACGTTCGGAACGTCACGTCAAAATTCAAATCCTCTTTACGAAAATTTCCGCTTTCCCGCCCACGCCTCGCACTCCAAAATTTGCGCTTCAAAATTTCGCGGCCCACAATATTTATAAATCCTAATCACTTACGCACTAGACAAACCCTATTGCCCTCTTTCTCTCTCCACCAAACTATTTATCTCGCTTCCATTTATATCTTCCTCGGCCATTCAATCTCTCTCTCCGCCGTACCGACAATGGCGGGCAAGCGCAAGAGCAAGTCTTCGCCCTCTGAAGCTTCTCCATCAAATTCCGCTTCAGCCAATAAGCTGAAGCGTACTGAGGAGCCGATAGCTAAAGAAGAGGTCGCAGAGAGTATGGAAAAAACTGCTTCTCCGCCGAGGAAGCTCAAGGGTAAAGCGGTCGCCGTCAAAGATGGAGAGGAGCCTGAAGCCAAGTTTCTTGGCAAACCGGTGAAAGATACAGAGGCTCGAAAGAGGTGGCCAAAACGGTACCTGGGAAAGGTGAAAGATTTTCTTACTAGTTTTTGGATTCTTGAGAGATTTTGTTATTTTTCTTGAAAATGACGAACATATTAGTTCAAATAATGTAAGTTTCTAGGAAACTGTGTAATAAGTCTTTGTAAGTTTAAACATTAGTATAAGTGTTTTTAAATTGGTTAGTAATTTTTGTTAAAAGTTCAATAAGAACAATATATTTAGGCTTAGTTCAGTAAAGACAGACAATTTGTGGTAAGTGAGTCGTGAGATGGTCGTAGTAAGAAATCGAATGCTCCAAGAAATGCCTTTTCTTAAACATTTCTGTACTCTAGAGCAACAATACGTTTGCTTGATTGATACCTATTGTTTGCCCATTTTCTAAACCCTTAGGCTCTATTTGGATGAAAGGATTCAAAATCTATGGCTCCATTAGAGTTTTGTAGAAACAAAATCTGTTACAATCATTAATAGGAAGATTACAGCTCCGAGACATTGAACAAAATCCCTGCATTTTTGGATTGAAGGTAGTCTGGATTGAAGAAATTAAAGGGGAAGGTTTAGGAGAGAGATCAAAGGTGTTTTCTTTATTTGCATTTTTGGGACTTCTTGAATTTTAATGTGTCTCACAACCCTAATTGGTATGTGTTTTTTTTTCCACTGGGACGAACTGATTATTGCCAAAAAGCTCGAACAGTGGGTTTTATATTTTTAATTAAGTGTTCGGCTGTCAGAAAATCACTTTTAGCTCTATTTGGAGCTTGGGAGTTCTAGTTGCAGATGCATGAATCATTGGGATTACTAATTTAATATTTTCGTTTTAACAGAAGTGTGATGAACAAAATTGTTATTGGACACTTTTTAGGTTATGGGGTACTCAACAAGTGCTTCAATGTGAATATGTATGATGCACTAGAGTTTGGTAAATCTATAGGTGTTACCAAAGTATTATTAGGCCTGCTGGGCTAATCCCAAGGGCATTTGGATTTTATGCTGTTATTTACTTTTAACAGTGTTCTTGGTATTGTTGTAGATGAAGCAGGTGTCTGGGCCAGACAACTCAAACCAGTAAGTTTTTTATTCTATTTCAAGTTTGTGCCTTTTTGTACATCATTATTTTCTTCATTTTTCTCAAAGATATTTCTTTTCACTTTTAAAAGCCCCTTGTCAGTATTTCATTGCTACCGATATGCTTTTCATTTTGTATCTTTGGTATTTCATATTTTGATATATTTGAAACAGAGATGAAGATGCAATTCAGGCTCGTGGCCATTACATAAAGGCAGAGGTTGATGGACGAAACATATTTGATCTATATGATGATGCTCATGTACAAGTGAGTTTGCATTATTATTATTATATTATTTTCTTGTATTTTTGCTTTTATGAAATATTGCTGCCTCTGTTTTTCATTAATAATATGGACACATTCACTTTGTCGATTGTGCTCCATATTGTTGATTGTATAATCAAAGTAACAATTAGTTATCCATTTGGTTATTGTCATCACTGTTTTATGTTTATCGGAAACATCATGTTTGGGTTCTTGTTTGAAAACAATAAGATGACTGATGACAAAGGCTCAGATTTGGTTCTTTTTGTGCACTGATATACTTGAACCTTTTTTTTGGGGGTCCTTGCCTGTGTTTTCACTAAGAAGCTCAAAGTTTTTGTCAGGATGCCATTTGTTTGATGGGTGCGATTATTGCATGGCTAGGTAGCAATACCAACCTTTTACAAATTAATTCCAACAGTGAAAATGGTATATATATGCGTGTGTGTACCATGTTGTTAGATCATATGCACCATGTTGTTAGATTTTGTACCATGTTGCATTGTTCGAGAGTGAACTAGAAACATTTTCTGGGAAATTGGGCCTTAAATGCTTTTGTATACTTGCCTATTCATGAATTGACGACTTTTTGTATTCATTTTTATGTTTAGGCAGGGGATGGAAACGAACCCTATGTTTGTAAGATCGTGGAAATGTTTGAGGCGATTGATGGGACATTATATTTTACTGCACAATGGTACTATAGATCACCAGACACTGTAAGATATTCCAAAAGCAACCTCTTCATGATTCTCTTTTCAATACTTCGAGTTTTTTATTTCTTTATGTCGAACAATAAGAAGCTATTTATTGTGTGCTAAATTATAACATTAAATTTTTTTTGGGGCTTTCTTGTAGGTCATAAAGGAGTGTGCTACAATTGATAGGAGGCGTGTATTTTTATCAGAGATTCAAGATGTCAACCCTCTCGATTGTCTTGTTGAAAAACTTAATATTGTTAGATTGTCTTTAAATGTATGGTTTAAGTTTCCACAATCCTCCATTTTTTGTTGTTATTCATATTAGTCCAATAAGAATTAATCACTCTTTATTTTCCCAGGTTGATCAAAATGAAAAGAGTAAATTAATTTCGACATGCAAGTACTTTTGTGACACAACATATTTGTTACCTTATTCAACTTTCATGAACTTGCCAGAAGGTTATCATTCTCCTTTTGTTTGATGTCGATGAATTGGTTTCTACTTCATTTGCAAGGCATATCTGTGTTCACATGTTATTTTCTGTTAAAATTTCAGAAAATATACAGACGGGAAGTGATGACTCAACAATTTCTAGTGAGGCTGATGTGGACCGAGCTTGTGAGGTTAACTCCGAAGGTGCTGATGTGGACAAAGCTTGTCAGGATAATTCCAAAGTTGCCCAACTCTGCCCTGTTAGAGAGTGTGGCAAACCAGAAGTCACATTGCTCGACCTATATTCTGGTTGTGGGGCAATGTCAACTGGGTTGTGCCTTGGTGCACAATTGTCTAATGTAAATCTGGTTACAGTAAGTCCAATTTCCTTGATTAATGTCTTGTAAAATTTTCAACATTAGTTCACCAATAATCATGGAGAACCGATAGCTGAATATAACTCAACTTGTTAGATGTTGTACACAATGAAGTCCGCATACATGTGAGAGGATGAGGTTGACAAAGTTTAAGTTGCCACATTATTAGCAAATGAGAATCTACAAAATGTATGCAAAATATTAATTCCATTCATCCATTTATAATTTCTCGTTAATATATTTAATTTCTTGTTTAAATCTTTTAGAGATGGGCTGTTGACGTAAATGAGTATGCTTGCCAAAGTCTCAAGCTTAACCACCCAGAGACAGAGGTATGTGTTTGTAGCTTACTTTTTCCCTTCTTTTGATGTGGTGCTTTGCATGATTAACTTGTCTAATTCACATACCATAACAGGTTAGAAACGAATCCGCCGAAGATTTTCTCTCATTGCTGAAGGAGTGGAGAAAACTTTGCTTTTATTTTAACTTGGTTGAGACCAAGGACTCAGAGAATGATCAGTTTGACTTTTTTGAAACGGAAGATGAAAGGAGGAAGAAGAAGATGGTGATAGTGGAAATGATGAGAATGATAGTGATGATCCTGAATTTGAAGTTGATTACGTACTAGAAGTATGTTATGGTGACCCCAACAAGATAAAGAAGAGAGGATTGTACTTTAAGGTATGGAAATAATTTGTAGTCTTATGTTATTTTGTTTTTTTGCCATAGCAGCAGTTGTTTATAAATGAGTGAAGCTTTTCAGTTATGGTTTAATCCTCAAGTTCATAGTCTCTGCTTGTCCTTTATACAAACACGAGGCGTAAAGTGTGGGTTCAATTCTCTCTCTCTCTCTCTCTCTCTCTCATAAGAAAAAACTTATTGACACTGAAACAGCACGGGTTTCATTGTATGATATGGAAAATGGAAAGATAGTCTAAAAGTACTAGTTGTTCACTGATAAAAAAGATGCTCGAAATTTTCCATCTTAAGTATGTTAGAAAGTCTTCATTAATGGATATATCTTAAATGGGAATACAAAACTGTGTTTCATAAGTTGCTACTGTGTGTACCCTTTAACAATGCAATCTCTGCTTCCGTGTGTCTTTCAGATTTATCAGAAAATTTCAGATAACCAAGCAATTAGTTTTTCACTATATAATATTATTTGCTTTCTGATGTATTACACAGATCCGTTGGAAGGGGTATGGGGATGACGAAGACACCTGGGAGCCAATTGATGGACTGGGGTATGCAACTATCTTGAATTATGCTTGTAGTATTAATATCTGCCACCTGTTTGTGAGCATGTATGTGATACCTTCTGGCATGTTTAGTTGTGTCCTAAAGCATTGCAATGCATATCTTTCTGTCAAGCAGGCATTGTAGAAAGGCTATAGGAGACTTTGTTTCTCAACGTTATGCATCAAAAGCATTGCCTTTACCCGTAAGTTTTTAATTTTCCCCTAACCTTAAATTTAGAATTTGCAGAATTTAAATATAAATTATTGTCATTGACGCTTCATTTAATATTGTTCTGGACATTCTTCATGTAGGGTGATGTTGATGTGGTGTGTGGGGGGCCCCCTTGCCAAGGAATTAGTGGTTTCAACAGATTTAGGAACACACAACAACCGTTAGAAGATGAGAAAAATAAACAATTGATTGTTTTCATGGATTTCGTACAGTACCTTAACCCAAAATTCGTTTTGATGGAAAATGTTGTTGATATTGTAAAATTTTCTGAGGGACTCCTTGGACGTTATGCCTTGGGACGTCTTGTTGGTATGAACTATCAAGCTAGGATGGGAATGATGGCAGCAGGTGCATATGGGCTTCCCCAGTTTCGTATGCGTATGTTTATGTGGGGGGCCCGTCCTACTGAGGTATATTAGTTGAAGTATTAACTTTTACTAATACTGTGCTGGTTTTATCTCATGGCTTAATGAATTGCTTGATTTTTGCAGAGGTTGCCTCAGTACCCACTTCCTACACATGATGTTGTTGTAAGGGGTGTTATTCCCACGCAATTTGAGGTATGATAAATGCTTAAGTTCTATGTTGTTTATGGTCGTTTTGTATTAAACAATGTGTAATAAATGCAGGGGAACACTGTTGCTTATGATGAAGGTGGCCCGGTTCAATTAGAAAGAAAGCTTTTGTTGGAGGATGCAATATCTGACCTTCCTGCTGTAAAGTCTTCTAATTGTTACTGTTGGGTGTGGTTTACTTTTTCTTCTACCTTTCTCAATGTATATTTATCTACCTCGTTTGCATGTAGGTTGAGAATAGTGAAAACCGGGATGAGATGCCATATGCAGGGCCTCCCCAGACAGAATTTCAGAGGTTTATCAGACTAAGCAAAGAATGTAAGATGCTGCATTGGTTTTGAACTTTTGATATGTCATTGATTTGAAACACACTTGTTGAGTCCAACTTCATGTAGCTACTTCCCTTTTGTTTTCTTGCTTTGGTAGCATGATGTGTAGCTTATTGGAGTTATGACAATATGGACCTCTGTGTTTTGTTTTCCTTCAACGAGTAGTTTGATACTTCACTGGGTTTTCTGGCCTGTTTGAAGGATGCGGGACACTTTGATATTGTAACAATGTGAAAATGGAATGAGCTAATTGCTGTTGTCTGATTCTATTGTTACTTTGATATTGAGTAATACAGAAACTGAACTCAGCCGATTACATCTGTGTGATTATATACTGTATATAGAAGTTAATTAAATCAGGAAAATAAACAACTCAATATGTCTCATTCAGTTAAATATAAGCCTTGCATGTTTCAGCCATTGCTAAAATGGTTAATGGTCACACATATGCTTGTAATGAAGTAGCAGTAGATTCTTAAAAATATATTTGGTAAGAGTTATATGTTTGTTGAGAAAACTATAATTTCTGTTTGATTGTTGCTCTTGATACAGATTTGCTGGGGTCTTCAAAGGATGAATCATTACACAAGACGCTTTACGATCACCGTCCCCTAGAGTTGAATGCAGATGATTATGCACGTGTTTGTGAAATCCCGAAGAGAAAGGTTCCTTTCTTTATAATTAAATGCATGTTGGCATGTATTCCCTTGTCATTGATAGAATCCTGCAATCTTGATGTCAGCTTATAAGTTTAATATTTTATGAACTAGGGTGCAAACTTCAGAGATCTACCCGGTGTTCGTGTGCGCACTGATAACAAGGTTGAGTGGGATCCTGATGTAGAACGAGTGTATTTGAAGTCCGGGAAACCTTTGGTAAAAACACATCTTTCTCTGCTGGTTCTTTTGTTTTCCTGCAACTTTACTATGTGAATCTCACTCATGACATTGTAATGATAGGTCCCTGATTACGCTATGAGTTTTGTGAAGGGTTCTTCATCAAAGTAAGTTTTAGTACCTTTTTTTTTGGGTTTGGGTTGCATGGTTCAATCACTCAACATAAATTTTGAAATCTTCTATTGCAACTCTGTCAAATTGTGCAGACCTTTTGCCCGTTTATGGTGGGATGAAACCGTACCAACAGTTGTTACTAGAGCTGAGCCCCATAACCAGGTATATGCATACTTACATACAAAAAGATAAATGTTGTCAGACAAAAATCAGAAAAGACAACGAGTTAAACACATTTTCCTTTACTTCTTTACAGGCAATTTTGCATCCTGTTCAAGGCAGGGTATTGTCAATTCGTGAAAATGCAAGACTTCAAGGTTTCCCAGATTACTACAAACTTTGTGGCCCTGTCAAGGAGAGGTACCCTATATTTTTATACTTCAGTTCTGTCATCTCTTGTTATATCAAAATCTACAGGTGATTTTATGTCTTCATGGTTGCATTGTTTCAGATACATTCAAGTTGGAAATGCCGTTGCCGTTCCAGTTGCACGTGCATTGGGCTATGCGCTAGGTCTTGCTTTGAAAGGTTCTGCTGGTGTTGACCCCGTGTTTCCATTGCCGGAAAAATTCCCCAATATTCAGTGCCAGATTCATTCTGCATCATCCGAAGATGATGCTTGATTATTGTTGTAATAACTCGATTTGTTAAAGATTTGATGAGGGCGGATTATTATTTGTTCCATAATGGGGAACATTATTATGTTAAATGAATTTCAAGTGTTCGTCATTATTATGCTAAAAAAAAATTGTAAAAGTACCCAAAGCATATATTGATTGTGCACCATTATAATGAAACTCAAGCTCAATGCATCAATTCCTCTGGTTCTCCTTTTGTTTGTTGTTTGTTAATTCATCAATTTTCCCTTTTGTCTTTTTTGTGTCGAAATCTATCAGTATAAGAACAAAAACAACATGAACATAGTGTTTTGCTTTACGTACATATTTAGTAATGCTACCCAACGACGGTTCAAAATCAACATGCATAAAAAAAAATCTAGGTTTTGCCCAACAAAAATTAAATGGCAATTAACACTGGACTTAAGAAGAGCTTTTTCACCCATAAATTTTACATTAAAAAGAAGAAAAAAAACTTAACATCATTCAACATTCATCATTCATTCTCCATGAAAGTACAATTTCATTCTCCATACGAGTAGAGTAACAACAACAGCTCAACTCATTTTGGATGGAGGAATTTTTGATCTGTTAATAGGAAATGGAGGCAACCGAAGCACAGCTTCCTCTGTCTCAATCGGATCAGACCTCAGTATCTACCAACAACAAAAGCAACAAAAAAGTCCAATTAATAAAAATCAAACCCAGAAAAGAATAACCTTCACGTTTGTATTGTGTGGAGAGAGAGAGAGAGAGAACTGACTGGGTCTTGAAGCACAGGTTTGGTGTCGTCTTTGGCTGGTACGAAGGGAGGCTTTGTGAGCTTGGCAGCATTATTATTGTTGCTGGGTTTCATTGAGGAGATTTCAGAGTCCGAGTCTTTCATCGTCTCCTCTTTCTCTCTCTCTCTCTTTCGAATTTCACTTGTCTCTATGCGTTTACTCTCTTCTTGCTTCTTGCCTCAACTGCGAAGGTAGAAGAATTGGAAAAAAAGAATGGGCTTTTTAGATTTTTCGGGGTCAAATAATGGGCTTTTTAGATAGAGGGCCCAAATGTGGCTTGTTTTTTATTATTTTTTATTTCCTCAAAGCAAAAAGAGAATTGCAACGAATCATCCTTCGAATTCCGAATATCAAAATTGAGTTTGAAGGGAAGATTACATTGATTAAAAAAATAAAATATTAACAATAATGCAACATACAAAAAATAAAAGAAAATTTGGTAAGGACATCCTTGACAAACATTTTCTCCTTTTGAAGTCCACTTGCCCTGTTGCTTTCGGAAATTCTCGTAGTCTAGCAAATCCTGCACCGGAGAAGCAATGGAAAACGGAATCTTAAAGAGTTTCTAGTCTTGGTCTTAGGGCCAAATAAGAAATAAAATATGAAAGAATTCTTTCTTCAAGAATATACATATAAAACAATGACAAAATTGATCCATCTATATATATATATATATATACCTCGTCGCTTAGAGAGGGTGTGATTTTCGCCAGTGCTTGCTCAAAGTGAGTTTCTTTGATTATGCATGGAGATGAACCCCAACTCGCAAGTGACGTTAGTTTCTCTTCAACAGCAGCCATAGCAGCTTCATGCATCTTGCATCAGCAGATTGATGAACAGATATGTCAGAGAATCCCAATCACAAACCTATATCCTTCCAATTCTTCTCAATAATCAAGTGTTATATAATAAAAAGCATAACATATGTATTCAAGTATAGCCCTACCAGTGCAGCAAGATCAGCTCTAGTAAATTTTTCACAAGCGCTTTGTCCAATCTCACTTAGATTGACACTGGAATCTATAGGCTTGTTCCTTGCAAGAGCTTTTAAGATGAAGCCACGCTCATCTTTATTGGGCAGGGGGACATACATATGCTTACCAAATCTTCCGGGTCGTAAGACGGCAGGGTCCATTAGATCCGGTCTGCCAAACACGTCAATTTGTAGGAAATGTATAATCATAATCATCATTAAAACTGAAGAAGAATGAACAATGAGGTTTACCTATTAGTGGCACCAATTACAATTACACCCTTCCGCTTCTCTCCACTGTCCAACTCTACAAGTAGCTGCAATTATAAGCAGTACTCAGTTGATTTTATACATGGATGAATAACATATGAGTGAGTGTGTGCATTGTAGATGGATGAACTTAGAATCGGTCAAAGCCTGCCTTTTTTCAGATTGGTTTACCTGGTTCAATAGAATCTCAACACTCTCTCCTCCTTGTTCACCTCGGTTTCTTGTCAAAGCATCCACCTGCCAATAATTCACAGAGAGAAACTTGAAAAGAGTTAATGATTTTGTAGGGCACTTCGTCCACAAAAATATCTACCATGTCCAACAGGTTAATGTATTGAGAACGGATGCAGCATAATCATGATATTATTATTATTATTTGCAAAACAAATTATGGAAATCTATAAAGGGGATAGCAGGAAGAACAACTGTGGAGAAGATAGAACCACAAACCTCATCAAAGAAAAGTATGCACGGTGTGCACGCCCTTGCACGACTAAACAATGTCCGAACTGCCTTCTCACTTTCTCCCCACTTTTTATTCAGAAGTTCGGGGCCCTAACCATTTACCAAAGGCCATGCGAAATCAAACAGATTTTGTCAAATTATGCAAAAACATACGTCGATTGAAATGTTTATTTTCCACTGGACAAAACAAAATAACACAAACCTTAATGTGAATGAAGTTAGCTCCTGCCTCATTAGCAACAGCCTTCGCGATCAATGTTTTACCGCACCCTGGAGGGCCATAGAGCAGAAAACCTGTCTCTAGCTTCATTCCAAATTCCTGAATTACGAACCATTCCAAGGCACAAATCAGCTTTCTTCCACAAACACACACACACACACACACACATGGGGGAGATATAGAGAGAGGCAGAGTAAGAGATTTTGCGAAAAACATAAAAAGTAAAGTGCAGATACTGGTTGGTTACCTCATAGATCTCAGGATACTTAATACGATTGACTATATGAAGATTAAGTTCGTGCCTCAAACATCTGCCCATTTCACATCAGGAATTGCAGAGAATTCTTGTCTTTTTAACGAATGCGGATCCTCTTGAACTGCTTTCTGCAGAAGACTGCCGCATAATAGCGCTCATCAGCTTGACAGATTTTATAAACAAGGCTGTTTTGTCAATTTGCTCATGAACTTTAGAGTCGCTGTCAATATTTGGTCAATTGAAATAGTTCAAGTCCCAAATTTTCCAAAAAATTAGTTTAGGGACAAATTGACAGTGACCCTAAAGTTCAGAGAACAAATTGACAGATTCCTCTATAAACAAAGCAGACTAACTGCACTATATACATGCACATACAATGACATTGATAAACTACGGAAATAAATCAAATATTAGGATACTTAGGCAGGAGTGAGTAAAAACATGCATATGCAAGTGAAAACATGCATTTTGAAAGGGAGCAAAAGTAAGAAAATAACTAATTCCAAATAACCTGAAAATCAGCCGTGAGCTTTTCTTTTTCTTTTTCCAAAGAAGCATCTATGTCATGGTCATTTTCATTTATAGATAAAGGCTTCATGAAGGATGCCATACGATTATGAAACAGTAAGGGTGAGGACGAATGGATCGATCTTGTCCCTGAAATGCAGACCGCACCGTTGAAGAAACACGGTGTGGTTCTGTTCACTGTTGGCCTTAATCCGGCGGAGAAACCGAACTGACCCCATCCGCGTTTGGCCAGAGAAAGAGAAAGAGAAAGAGGAAGTCTCATAACAGATGCAAGTCAAGTCAAGAGAAAGAGGCAGAATTCAAGCTACACACTCTAAACAAACAACTGTCTTTCGAATCCCAGCAATACAGTCTGTCTTCCACTTTGGTTTTGATTTTGTTCTGAGAAAGTCCGAGTCTGAGACCTCCCCTCCTCTTCGTCTCTCTCCCTTGCTCTGTTCAAGCTCACACTCTGTTTCCTAACCGCTAATTAAATTTAAGAATTGATTCCGTTTTAGGGTTATAGCCAAAGTCAGTTCTTTTATATATTTTTAACAACCACCAATAACTACTTATCACAGTGTACAAAACACCTATATGATTTACTACATTTACATTGGAACATTTGCCACATTGATACACTGTTTATTGCTTTGTCAGCGGATTGATGTCATGAATCATGAGGGTGACTTTCTCTCCCTACACTTTGATGCCTTCTTTTTTATCAGGCATCAAAATGACACGCCTTCTTTTTGTCTATATAGTGGGACCCAAAATTTGTCTATATAGTCCTTTTTCCGAAGCCAAGCCAAGCCATCTCTCTCTTCTTGCACTCTCTCTCCTCCCTGGTCTACAATATCCCACAGCTATAGGGCATGCATTGCAGAAAAATGAGCAATACTTGCACTGATTATTCTTCTTATTATTATCAGTCCCTCAAGGCATTCCTCCGGAAAATAATACTCATTATTAGCCGCAGTTTTGGTCATCACCATGATGATGTTGTTGATGACATAGAAAGTAATTCAGCTGCCCCCGAAGCCGAACCACAACCATCTGTACCAGCACCAGCAGCTAGGCCTGAGCCAACGTACCAAAACTTAGATTGGGCAAAGATTATTGTGGTGTATTGCTTGTCAACAGCCGTTGCCATGGCTCTCACACCCGTCCAAGTTCACTCCAACCAGCTCCCTTTAACCTTTCGATTTCTCGGACTCACGGTTCTGTTTTCCTTTGCTTGCATCATGGTAAGCAAATTTATTCACAACAACAACTGTCCAAGAATAACAGTTGAGCTCTTCCATTCTTTTGGGGTCTTTTTTGGAATCACGGCCTTCTTCATTTGCATTACAATCCCATTTCCTCTCTGGTTCAAATGTACTGCCTCTGTCATCTATGTGGTCTCAGGCCTTGTAATCATGTTTTGTAACTACTTCTATAATTAATTATAGGTATTATCCTTATTATTACTGGCCCCTGTGCCAATTGGTTTTTTTTTCTTTTCTTTTTTGAATTAAGAAAGATAAAATGGGTATTTGTGTCCCATTATCTGATTTTGTTTGTAATTTTATTTTTTAATATAAAAAAATATAAATTTAACATATTGTCCTCACTTAATTAATAATTTGAATCCTTAATATTTATACTAACCAAAAAAATATTACGTTATTTTGAATATTTAATGTTTGTTGCTTAAATATATAGATTCAGAGCCAACAAAAAAGTAAATTGCACTAGTGCAGCAGCTCTGCTTGATTTTGGCGTCAGCAGGCCCCATTTTAGCCCAGTTGAATTGTCAAAATGCTACTTGCCAAAAGCAAAAGGTTACTCTCTCAGAGAAGGGTCCATTTTTTTAAGAGTTGAATGACACACATGGGAAGAGGGAAGAGCAGAGCTCTCTAAGTCAAAGGGCGCCGAATGATATACCAAAAGCTATCAAAATTCTACCAATAAATGAAGAAAAATTGCCCAAATCATAATTTAGTCCCAATCAAATCACACAACTTCTCTCATTAATTGCTATGCTCCATGGACATCTTCCATGCCACACACACTGGTAGCTTATGTTTCATCTTTTTGGTGTTTCTGCTATTACTATTCTCTATGGACAGTATAACATCTTGGTTTCCTTTTTGAAGCCCTCTCCAAATACTCTTTGCCCTGCTTCCCGAAATAAGAGTTTCTAGTCTTAGGGCCAAATAAGAATCAAAATAATGTTGGCGAGTCTTTACTTAGTTAAAATTTTGGTTTCTTACTATGTTAGGATTATATTTATGATTTAGTAAATACGGAGAAAGTCAAGAATTAGCATAATTCCAATACTTATGCATTAGTAGTAAACACAGGAGAAGCATAAATTGGAATTCCAACGTTGATAAGTAACATGTCATTAGTAGTAAAAGATGTATTAAAGATGTATTGTTTGTAGTTGTGAATATATACATACTTTTTTTCTTTCCTGAAAGCAAATAGAGAATTACAACGATGATCATTTGGGATCTGATCGTTGGGATCCCTACATTCCGAATATCAAGAACATCCATAACCATATTTGCTTCTGGAAAACATGCTGGAATTGGACCTATACTTGTGTACACAGGAACCTAATATCGTTAAGCCAAACATGATTTTATTCAGGATTGACCAATATAATTAAAAAGAAATCGACCCAAACATGATCCATGAACGGGGTATTAAGTATTAACCATTCACTCAAATTTTCAATCAATCTTGAAGTATGAACCCCAAAAAACACAGAAAGAAAACATGCAATCATGCATCCGGTTCAAGACTGTAAAAGCTTGATCTTGAATAGTGAAAAAAGAAGGCAAAGATGTTACCAGATGCTTAGAGAAGTCACCAAGCAGGATCTTGAAAAACGATTCTTTCTTTACTGAACGCTTCATAAGTTTCCTTGCCATTTGAACCAAGTCTTCAGTCTTCAACGAAACCTCTTCAAAGATTAAAGCTTTTTAGGAGTGGATTTTCTGTGTAGCTAGCTTTTGTGGGTAAATTTTAGCCGGTCTGCCAAACACACAAGAACATGTAGGAAAATTCAGAGATGCAGAAATGCATAATCATCATCATGGTCATGAAAACTGAAGAAGAATATGGACAAGGAGTTTTACCTATTACTGGCACCAATGACAATTACACCCTTCCGCTGGTCTCCACCGTCCAACTCTACAAGTAACTGCAATTTTAAGCAGTAGTCAGTTGATTTTCTCCATTCATGAACAATAGATGAGTGATTGTGTGCGCGAATGATTATAGAATGGATGAACTTGAACGGTCGAAAACCTGCGTTTTCAGATTATTTTACCTGGTTCAATAGCTGCTCAACACTCTAAACAAAATCCCAGAATTCGAAACAACTGTCTATCGAATCCCAGCAATACAGTCTGTCTTCCACTTTGGTTTTGATTTTGTTCTGAGAAAGTCCGAGTCTGAGACCTCCCATCCCATCCTCTTCGTCTCTCCCCCTTGCTCTGTTCAAGCTCACACTCTGTTTCATAACCGCCAATTAAATTTAAGAATTGATTCCTTTATAGTTTTAAAAAGCCAAGCGGCTATACTATTATATATTTAAAACGTATAGCCGCGCGGCTATAATTAAATGATGAACGAGTATAGCCGGACGGCTATACTTCCTGGATACATAATAAGTGTATAGCCGCGCGGCTATACGTCTAAAATAAAAATTAATATTTAACGGGTATAGCCGCTCGGCTATATTCTGAAATAGATAATATTTAAGTAGTATCGCCGTGCGGCTATACGTGTCGAATGAAAAATATATTTAAAGAGTATAGCCAAGCCGCACGGCTATACGGCGTAAACAAATAATAATATTTAGAGATTATAGCCGATCGGCTATACGTTTTAATAATATTTTATATATTTCCTTCTCTTTCCACGGCCACCTCCAGAGGTCATCTGCTCCGAATAATCGAGCTCTCCTCTGTCAGACTGTCACTGCTCAACAGCCCCAATTCCTTTGGTAACTACTAATTGCAATCAACATAATTCCATTAGCAAATGCCATGACTTTGAGCTTAGAGCCTTCAGACCCTTGATTAATTGTATACTTGCACACCAGCACCAAGGAAAGAGATGGCCTTATTTTTGAACAAACTAGCCTCTCTGGTGCCCGGTGTCTTGAGATTTTGCTCAAGGATGAGCACAAGCTTGAACAGGTTGCTTTGGGTAGAGAGTTCCATATAAGTCTGGGAAGAGCTGTACCAATCCGAGTGCACTAGATTGACTCCCTGGTCACTATGCTTCGCCAGAAGCTTTAGATTCAGAGGAGGTATGAATTTTAGTTTTTTTATTGAACATAACGCTGATTTTCCGTAAACCATTCCCCATTTTTTGGTTTCTAACACATTTTGTTATTGTAAAATAGGTATTGGATTGATTTTAGCAAGTGGGAGGTTTTTGTTATCCATACTTTATATTCTAGTTATTTTATATTCTTGTGTATGCCTTAATATGACTTTAATTTGTCCCTTATATCACTTATAGTTGTTAATATATTTATGTGTTAGTAAACACAGAGAAAGTCAAGAATTAGAATCATTTCAACTCATGTGTTAGTAAACACCGGAGAAGCATGAATTGAAATCATGCCAAAACTGATAAATAAACACGCTATAATTCATATAATTAAAATTCTGAATTAGTAATAACAGATGTATTACTCTTAGTTGTAAATATATCCATATATTTTTTTTTCCTAAAGCAAAAAGAGAATTACAACGATGATCGTTAGGATCCCTACATTCCGAATATAAAAATTGACTTTACAAGAACATCCATAACCATATTTGCTTCCCGGAAAACATGCTGGAATTGTTGGACCTATACTTGTGTACACAAGAACTTAATATCATTAAGCAGAGAAAATAAGCACCAAGGAGGTCTTTTGCCATTTTGAAGTAGCCGAAGAAGTATTTCTGAATGGACATGAGATTTTAAAACTAGCGGGTCTAGAACAACAAAAGAACAGACCTGAGTTAAAAACAAAAGCCAAACTTTTTGGCCTTAAATCCATTAGTCCTGTTTTCGCCAAAAATCTGATAGTCTTGCAAATCCTGCACCGGAGAAGCAATGGAAAATGTAAACTTATAAAGTTGGTAGCTTTTATGCCAAAGAAGAACTAAAAAAGAAACACAAGGCGAAGGAGAATCACAGAGTGACAAAATTGATTCCTATATACCTCGTCTGTTAGAGATGGTGTGATTTTAGCCAGTGCTTTCTCAAAGTGAGTTTCTTTGATTGTGCAGGGAGATGAATCCGAACTCGCGATTGATGTCAGTTTCTCTTCAACAGCAGCCATGGTAGCTTCATGCATCTAGCATGAACAGATTGATGAATTGATATGTTAGTTTTCCTTTTCTTCTGTATGATCAGTTACTATAGAATGAAAGGGTTAACAAAAATAGCCATACCAGTGCAGCAAGATCAGCTCCAGTAAAATTTTCGCACGCGTTTCTCAGTCCAATCTCGCTCTGATCTACACTGGAATCTATAGGCTTGTTCCTTGCAAGAGCTTTTAAGATGAAACCACGCTCGTCTTTACTGGGCAGGGGAACATAAATATGCTTACCAAATCTTCCGGGTCGCAAAACAGCAGGGTCCATTACATCCGGTCTGCCAAACACACAACAACATGTAGGAAAATTCAGAGATGCAGAAATGCATAATCATCATCGTAATCATCATCATCATGGTCATGAAAACTGAAGAAGAATATGGACAAGGTGTTTTACCTATTAGTGGCACCAACGACAATTACACCCTTCCGCTGGTCTCCACCGTCTAACTCTACAAGTAACTGCAATTTTAAGCAGTAGTCAGCTGATTTTCTCCATAGATGAACAATAGATGAGTGATTGTGTGCGCGAATGTATATAGAATGGATGAATTTGAACAGTCGAAAACTTGCGTTTTCAGATTATTTTACCTGGTTCAATAGCAGCTCAACACTCTGCCCTCCTTCTTATCCTCGCTTTGTTGTCAAAGCATCCACCTGCATGCCAAGAATTCACAGAGAAAACCTTTAAACGAGCTATATATGATTTGTAGGACACTTTTTCCACGAAACAACTCGCCATGCCCAACAACAGAAAGCTTTATGTATTAAGAAGGGGTGCAGATCCAATGATGGAAATGTATAAGGTGGATAGCAGGAAGAACAACTGTGGAGAAGATAGAACCACAAACCTCATCAAAGAAAAGTATGCATGGTGTGCACGCCCTTGCACGGCTGAACAATGTTCGAACTGCCTTCTCACTTTCTTCAACCCATTTATTCAGAAGTTCAGGGCCCTAACCAGTTAACAAAGGCAATGAGAAACGAAACTGGTTCTCTCAAATTATGCAAAAACAGACGTTGAAATGTTTACGTTCCGGGGATCAAAATAAAAATAACACACACCTTAACTTGAATGAAGTTAGCTCCTGCCTCATTTGCAACGGCCTTGGCTATCAGTGTTTTACCGCATCCTGGAGGCCCATAGAGCAGAAAACCCGTCTCTAGATTCATTCCGAATTCCTGAAAGCACAAACACAGAGACAGGAGGAGATAAGAGAGGCAGAGTGAGAGATGAAAAACAAAACACTAAAAAAATAAAAAAATAAAGTGCAGATAGATACTGATTACCTTATAGATGTCAGGATACTTCATACGATTAACTATATGAAGGTTAAATTCGTGCCTTAAATTTTATGTCAGGATACTTCATACGATTACCTGATTGTGCAGGGAGATGAATCAAGAGGTTCAATCTTCATTGTAATTCGCCTCGTTCATAGAAGCAATGGACATATTAGGATATCTCTCTGCTAGTATCCTTTTCCTGGCAATATCAGAAGCTCTGTCAGCCACAGCTCTCAAATCAGCTCCAACATACCCTGATGTAGACCGAGCTATTTTAACAAGATCAAGAGGACCTTCAAGGCATAAATTGCTCGTAACCACCTTAAGAATCTCAACCCTGTCACTTTCATCTGGAACGTCGAAAGAAATCTCAAGATCAAATCGCCCGGACCTCCTCAGAGCGGGGTCAAGAGCATCCGGTCCATTGGTAGCTGCTATTACAAGAACATTGTGCGATCTCTGTTCGTCCATGCAAGTCAGCAGTTGTTCCAATTCCGTTACGTAACATGAGTCCTCTCTTTTTGAAGCAATAGAATCAATTTCGTCGATGAACACAATTGAAGGCGCCGTTTCATACGCTTCGGAAAAAAGCTTTCGTATATTCCTTTCAGATTCACCTAGTGCATGCGAAACATAGACGAGGTAATGAAGAGTGCATCATAAAGACTATTTTGAACAATTGCATTAAGCATTGAGGAGGCTTGTAAGTTGTATGCATGCAAATTTTAATGGATACAAAGATTAAAAGATGAATGCGTTCGTACGTACCATAGTAACTATTGATGAGGCTTGGGGCAGAAACGTTATGAAAGGAAAAGCCGGTTTCATTGGCAATGGCGTGAGCCAGTTGGGTCTTCCCACAGCCTGGTGCTCTAGCACCTTCTTCATTCCACCTAGGTCCTTAAATCTCGGGCCTTTCACATCCTTTTTGGCCTCGTTACACTTGGCCTCTTTGGAGTCAGAGTCAGAGTCGCTGTTGGAGTCGGAGGGAGAGGTAGAGGCAGAGACAGAGACAGAGACAGAGACAGAGATAGAGACAGAGGCGGAGGCGGAGGCGGGAGAGGAGGCAGAGCCAGAATAATCTCTGTTATGGTTAGCGAAAGGTTTTATCAAGGACTCCGAACGAATACCAAAAAGTTGTGGTGAGCACGACGCAGAATGGATGGATTTCATCCCTGAACTGCAGATTGCACCGTTCAAGAAATACGGTTTGGTTTGGTTCAGTGTTGGCCTCAAACCAGTGGAGAAACCAAACCAAAACCCATCCGCGTTTGGTAAGAGAAAGAGAAGGAGAGAGTCTCATAACAGATGCAAGTCCAGGCAATTACACTTTAAATATCAAAATCCCAGAATTTGAAACGACTTTCAATCAAATCCCAGCAATCGGTAACTTGCTCTGTTCAAGCTCATACTCTGTTTTCGAACCACCATTTAAATGTCAGGAGGCCCCTTATATAGTCTAGAGTTACAGCCAAAGTGGGTGCTTTCATACTTTTTTAATGCCTAATTGGAAAAGGAAAAATAGAAAAAAGAATAAAGAAAGTTATTTCGAAGCGTGCGTGGCAAATGGTTTCCCGCCAAATACAAGTGCTTATCCAACGGTCATATATGCTCCTCATCAGTAATAATAGAATCATCCAACAAAATCAACCTCACTCTTTTTGTTTTTTGTTTTTCCAACGGAGCAGCCTGGTATGATATACGAGTAAAATCATTTCAGACTTTCGTTCCGTTGATTCTGGAATTCCGTTGCGTTCGTGCCAATGGTTTCCCGCCAGATTCAACTGCTCATTCAACGGTCAAGTTCTGCTGCTCATCTACTCCAACTCCACTCTCTCGTCCTTAAAACCGGTCTCGATCACAACCCCAACTTCGTCTCTCACTACATATATGCTGCCTGCTCAATTTCGGTCGAATTTTCCAAACTGGTCTTTGATCATATACCCATTAAGCCTCCACTCTTTGCTTGGAATTCAATTATCAGAGCCTTTACAAACAGCTCAAATCCACTTGAATCGCTCAACTTCTTCTTTCATCTTCACAGAATTGGGCTTAAACCCGACAATTTTACGTACCCTTTTGTTTTGAAAGCATGCGGTCGATGTTCCATTATTGGAGTAGGTGGGCCTGTGCATTCTTTGATTCTCAAGGTGGGTTTTGATTCGGACCGGTATATACGGAATACCCTTTTGAGGATGTATGCTGCTTGTGGCGCAATCGGGCTTGCAAGGCGGGTGTTTGATGAAATGACTGTTAGAGATGTGGTTTCTTGGAGCTCTATGATTGCAGGATATGTAGCATGGTATGCGCCTTCTATGTTCAAATTGTTTAACCTTTTCTCTTTTTGTTGCATCACTGTACAATTTGGAGCATGTAGTTTCTGGCATTCTTATGCACCAGTTATTACTTGAAAGATGTTTTATGGCAGTACATAGAACCAAATACTAGATAAGAACCAAAAATGGATTTCTGAGATTTGCATTTGTTTTTAAGTTCTATCTGATTTTATGTTAACTAGTTAGTCATTCTTTATGCTCTACCAAAATAACCTTTCCTAAACACAGGTATATTATTACTCATATTCGTTTTTCTTCTTTTGTTTTCAGCAATTGTCCCTTCGATGCCTTTAAAGTTTTTCAAGACATGAAACTAGCGAATGAAAACCCAAATTCAGTCACTTTGGTAAGCTTGCTTTCTGCCTGTACCCGCCTACTTAATTTTAGAGCAGGAGAGTCCATTCATTGCTACATTGTTGTCAATTGCATTGGGATAGATGTTGCTTTGGGGACAGCTCTCCTTGAGATGTATTCTAAGTGTGGGCACGTTGAGAAAGCCTTCCAAGTTTTCAATTCAATGAATGAGAAGAATTTGCAGTCTTGGACAATTATGATCTCTGGTCTTGCCGATCATGGTCATGGAAAGGATGCTATCTCATTGTTTACCCGCATGGAACAAACTGGGCTGGTACCAGACAGCATGTCATTTTCTGCCATCTTGTCAGCTTGTAGCCATTTGGGCCTCGTACATAAAGGTCAACAATTTTTCAATCAGATGGTGAGAACGTATGGTATTCGGCCAACATTGGAACATTATGGATGCTTAGTAGATTTGCTTGGAAGAGCTGGTCTGATTGAAGAAGCTTATGAGATTATCAAAAATATGCCAATGGAGCCTAACTCTGTTATACTGAGGAGCTTCTTGGGTGCTTGTAGGAACCATGGCGTGGCTATTACTTTAGATGATAAACTCAGGAAACTCCTTATATCAGAGCCTAACCTGGGAGCAAACTATGTACTTGCTGCTAGTGTATCTTCTCTTTCTGGTTGTTGGAATGATGCTGCTGATCTACGAGTAGCCATGAAACAGAACGGTTTGGTAAAGGTTCCCGGGTGCAGTTGGGTGGAGGTAGGTGGTGGTGGTTCTACTGCAGCTACTATAAACAAGCCTCTAGTGTAAGTTTCGTTTCCAGGAGGCTAAAGTTAGAATGTTTGCAGAGAGGGGATGGACAGAATGGCCATGAGGAAAGAAAGGACCCTGAGGAAAGCTGGATAAGGATGACTGGTCAGGAAAGGTAATAAAGTGATAGAGCATCCAAATTTGGAATTGGAAGGTGAGAAGTGTTAACTGGTGATTATTAGGATTTGATTCTTTATTCTTGTTTCTTTGAATAGTGTTGGAGTCCCGACCAGAAAATCGAGCTTTGTTGGTGCTTATGAGAATTTCTCTGAATGTCAAGAGCAGATTGAGACGTCGCAACTAAACTTTTTCCTAGATGCCGCTGTAAATTTCAGTTAGGAGTGGATGCATTTCTGTGAGATTTTCATCTGGGGAATGAACATGAGGCTTGCAGAATGTGCAAGAACTGGTATTTAAAAATATCGGCCTTTGCTTCCTGATCTGCAAGTAGTCATAGGAGATTGCTTCTAATTCATTCAGCCTCCGGACTGCAAACTCTCTGACTTATGAACAAAGAAAAATACTTCTAGGTATAAATTGTGGAAGTTCACACTAATCGTAGAGCACAGAGTTGCTGATCTATTCATTTCATGCATGATGCATTCTGAGAAATTCTGCATTGTCAAGTTGCTTAATGCGTCCCCTTTATGCCAAGCACAAGTTTGCTTTGTGTGCATCACTAGCAGTGGTAGTCCGTACTTGAGTTGCTCAAGTTACCATTATTACTCCTTGGGGTAATTTCAACCATTTGTAGCATTGGATTACCTGCCCCTGTGTGAGAATTATGGTGGGAACCGAAAGTGTTTTTGACAGTGACATTTTTTATGAACACTCTAAATATTACCGATTATAATTTTGGCAAAATCCATTTGAGATTCTTGTGAAATCCCATCATTGCCCTCACTTTCCATGGTGAGTAGCTCAATTCATGATCACATGCTTCCACATGGGAGGGTTAAATTCCAACTTAAACTTGGTAAATTGTTCCCTCTGTTATAAAAGGCAAAATGGAACAAAAGTTTCAACAGTACAGGCCTCAATTATTTTCCCTGCTGAGCAGTATATGCTAAGTCCAGCAGAGTAACTACAAAAAAGGAGACATATATGGGCCTTTTACTTGTACGCCTTTGCATACCCCCACTCACTCCGCAAGTTTCACTCTCTGAACACTAAGCTTCTTGCTCATGGCTTCAGCTCCCAGATCAAGTTCTTGGTTTTTCTATCTCTCAGAAAATTGGCTCCCAATGGCTACTATGATACTCATTTGTGGGTTTGTAGGTTACGTGGTTTACGACGCTGTAATGGCCACAGTATCCGAGCTGCTGCAACGTTTGCTGGTAATTTCTCCTTTGCTTATAGTCATTGTAGTTCATTGGCTCTCCACAGGCAGCCAAGTTAGCATTAGCATTCCAGGGTCTGAACCTGGAGCCATCCACAGAGCTGGAGGCTCACCTTGGGGTGTGGCCCTTGTACTATTTCTGCTTTTCTTTCTCATTTCTTACCAACCTTCCTTGCATGGCCTTCTTTTCTAGCTTAGTGGATGTCTCTCTGTCTCTCTGTTCAGAGGACAAGTATGAATATGTAATGTTATGCTGCTTCTCCTTCATGTGATTTGACTTTCATTTGATGGCTATCCTTTTTCTATGGAATATGAATGAAATCATATATTGTATGTATCTATGCAAATTACCACTCTTGCTGCTTCCCTAAAAGCAGGATCTGACTTCCATGGATGCCTCCTGAGAGAACAGAAGACAAAACAAAAAACATTTGGAGATGAATACTTTCCTTGGTTTAATTTTCTGCATTTTTTTTGGGATCATTATTACTTTATTGATATCCTTGTCATTCTTACCAACAAAACAAACTCAAACCCGTTCCCAAGGAAGCAAGCAATTGACAAAACAGAAAACAAATTAGCCAATTGCTGACTAGTCGAATGGGAGCGAGGGCAACTGTGCAAATGGACCACTACCTAATTAGAAACCTAGGCTGTTAATCCTCCACCACTAATCAAGTTTCATTAAGTCAAGTGTAGGCCTCGTCCCCACTAATGAAGTATCCTCTAAACAGAGGATATGGTCCATGGCTCTTCTGATTCTGTACATTTCTACAATCAGATTTAATATCCAAATTAATACCCAAAATTGTTTTGTTTAATTTCTGTACTTCTCAATATTAAGGTAGTGGTTGGGAATGATGTATCATATTGCCGTTATTGGCATTTGAATTGAGCTTAAACAACCATATGCTCTGATGCTCTGAAGACTGATGCTAATGGCACACTGCTGCAATTTATTTATGGGCAAGTTGCACTCGGCATCCCTTTGGTTCGGGTTCGTTACATTTTGATCCTTATTTTTAAATTTTTTTTGACAAAACCCACTCTTGAAGTTACAAATTGTTACACTATAGACTCTTTAAAGGCAAAGACCAAAGTGTTGGATGCATCAAAACCCCCTAGTATAGTTTGGTTACAATTTGTGTTGACCTTATGTGGTGTCGTACCCGTCGGACCTGACCTTCCATACGGCTCCCGTGGGCGGTGGGACTGCATCCTTCAGGCCAAAAGTCACGTGCTACTGACGCCTCTGACACGTGCTCTAAGGACACTAGGTCATCTGACCTATTGTCCCTTATATATTGGGAAGAGAAGTGCTTAATTACTTGCACTCATCAATTTAAAATTCATTGTTTCAACCAAGAAAGAAAAAAAAAACTCTTTATCTTTTGGTCCAACTAATTTATTAATTCTCTCATCATCATCAGAAGTATAAAAGTAGTATGGGGGGTTCCACCACATGAGCCCCATTTGAATTTTGAGTGAGATCTTTCTGTTACAACTTACAAGAGGTCTTTTACACTTTAATTATTTTGAGAAAGTGCTTGAAACTCCTAATAACTGAAATTTTAGTAAATAAAACCCTAAACCATGCAAATTGCAATAATTAATAATAATTAATATTGGGGTTGTTTGTTTTAAGTAGAGTGTAGCTGTCTGCCAATTTCTTCCAACTGGTTTTATTCGGGGATATGGTGATGTTGGACAATCTTTAGCACCAGATAGTAGATACCAATTTCAACTACATCCCAAGAAATGGACCCAAATTGTACCTCTCATTTGCTGTCAGTCAATACCAACAGTTAGCTTTTCAAGGTCGTAAGTTTTATGATACATTTTCTCATGGACGTAACCATGGGTAATGTTATTATATTTTCCATGATTAATCACAGCCATGATTAATGGCTCAAATTTTATTACTTAATTGTAAAAGGTTTTCTCATCTTAAATGGGAGGCCACCACTAAGTTTTTTTAGTAGAAGCGATAGTTTAAACTAAAAGGGAGGAGGTTTCTCACACACATAACACAATTGATACCATATGACCTAGACCTCGTTGACGGCCAACACCAACTTAATTGTGAAATCTTCTGTATAATATCATATAAATTTCCCATGTGTTACATGAAATATAAATGACTTTATTATCTTACAAATTACAATAACATTTCCTAATGTACAGTTTGCCGCATAACCAGCATATATGAGCTATTGTATTAGTGTGCCACAATCATAGAGAAAATTAGGCCTAAACCATATTTTAAAAAATGGAACAATATAATGCTTCATAAATATGTATTTATTCGGTAAGAACAAATCTATAGGATAAATATTATATGATTGGTCAGCATTCATGAATAATGAAATGGGTCTTGATAAAAATAAAATAAAAGAGTACTTCATAAGTGGAATATCATAACACCAAGTTACATGCAATTATCTCAACGCCCCCAAAAAAAAACAAAAAAAAAGTAGCTATCTAGCTTGATTTGTATGCCAAAAAGAACAAGCAAATCCCAAGCTTTAGTACTATTACTACAAAATACCCATTTCATTGAAAATATATATTATGTATATACACCTAATAAATCACCATCATCATCTGCTTAGTAAGGGAAACCATCGTTCGTGGAAAGAAGACTGGTAAGAGATCATGATCAAGAGGAACACAAGCACAAGTCCAACACCCCACGGAGACCCTCCGGCCCTATGCAGCGAATCCTTCTCCGGAAACGGCAGAAAAAACGACAAGCCACCCGATAAGCAGTGGACGACAAGAAGAAGCAGCAGCGGAACAAGCATGAGGAAGAGTTTGACCTGAGTCATCAAATCCTCAAACATCGACTCGTAGTTGATGTACCATGTGAAGCCCAAGATGAAGACGAGGATGGAAATGAAGAAGCAAAGGTGGAGAGGGATGGAGAAGTAGTCCCAGTAAGAATAATAGTTGTAGTCCCTATCCATAGTATCAGGGTTTTTGAAATTTGAAAGCTTCTTGTGCGACTGGTTTTTTCTAGAATGAACTTGTTTGATCGTCTTTGAGAAAAAGTTGTGCTGTGAACTTGGTTTATATAGAGAATATATCTATGAATTTTTGTTTTTTTATTTTATTTTAATTTTCGTATTTTTGATTACTTACTCATGTATGCAAACTTGGTATTTTTTCTTTTTTTCTCTAAAGGGTTTGTGCAACTTTTTCTTTTTTGTCTTTCTTTACTTGCATTATAGGGATTCTTCTTTTTGCTTGCAGATCCATCGGGATAATTCCAAGTGACGGTGAGAATAGTCCATGGTTAAGATTCGTTAATTGAGCTGTCAACCAATGAGGAATTGCCACGTACGACCGACCATGGACAGGAATATGGGCAGACGAGAGGAATAATAATATTGAACAGAAAAAAAATAAAAGGGTAGGATTTATTTTGTAGTGCAGGCAAAAGTCGCAAAAAGAACAATATTATTGGGAAAGTCGTGCCTAGAATGGTGGTCCAAGTCACCTTTGCATGCTTTATGTACATTTTAAGCTGCTAAAGGAAATTAAATATTGAAAGGGGATATGCATATTTCTGGTTTTTAACCAACTGCCTGCTTCAATTTGGGTACATGAAATCATCACCACCATCTGCATGCATGTATGTATGATCTAAATTGGATATGTAGAAGAAAAAAAAATTAACTGCGGTGATTTTTTCTGAATTTATACCCGAGTTTTATTTTCGTGTTATTGCATTTTAGTATGCAAAGTGGAGTAGATGAAAATAAATATGACATAAGCATTTGTTATGGCCGTGAAAGAAAGTCTAGACTTGTCCAATGCTTAAAAACCACACACGCACAAGCAAGCTGCTTAAACCTCGTCCATATATATAATTGGGGTTTATCTGCTCAAACCTGGTTTATGGCTTGAAAAAATTTTGGGATAGGGTCCCACAGGATACCAAGAAATTTGAAATCATTTGGCACTTGGCACTTGGCAGCATCATGATTAGTGATGACCAAGATCAAAGTATAGTAGCTAACGTGTCCCATTAAGCATCAGCATGAATATGTAAATGATTAGATGATTGATTAACCCATGTAATGACTTTTTTGACACTAGATTTCTATTTTCTGTCTGACTTTTATTTAGTTCTCTCTTTTTTCTTTTTGGGGGTAAATTTTGACCTCATTTGTTGTATTATCTGTTTGGGTTCGAGTTCATTTGCCCTCATGCTAATGTGGGTTTGCAAAATGGTAGTGCTTTATGACACGCTTAATTCAACTGTAAATATTTTCAAAACTAGGATGCTAATAATATTAGTAGGCTACATAATTGGTGCCTCCCGTGGCCCACGCTTTGTGTTGGTATATGCGATTATTAATTACAAATCCCACATCGACATAGTAGGCTGCTCATGAAGGCTTTATATACGTTGCCTACGCAATTAGGTTTGTCCCCTTCGGGGGACATCCGATAAAATTGGAACGATACAGAGAAGATTAGCATGGCCCCTGCGCAAGGATGACACGCATAAATCGAGAAATGGTCCAAATTTTTTTCTATTGACTTCCTTCAATTTCGTTTGAAGCAAATTCACACTATCTTTCTCTTTGTCCTCCATCGTAAGGAAATTTCAAGCTTTTCGGGTCTTGTTTTGCCTTTCTTTGTTAAATAATCCAGTTGGTAGTGAATCTATTTCAAATTTCTTTGTTAATAACTCAGTTGGTAGTGAATCTATTTCAAATTTTCATCGTGTACATGGTAACACAATTTAAAGGAACACAAAGTAGAGAGCTTATGGGTTAAGGTAGCTATTTGGTCCGACATACAAACATTTTCTTGGCTCCTCTATTGCAAAGGTTATGTAGTGAATGAGTTGTGCCTCAAATTTGGTCAATATGGAACAAGAAGCTACAAGCAACACCAAGGAACACCTTATTAGACTAATTTAGTCTACCTTTTATTTTGTTAATTTCCAAGAAAATACAGGAAGTCATACTTCTGATAATTCATTTGAACAAAACCAAGCAAAAAGGTCCAATTTGTAATCTTAGTCCACCTTTTATTTAATTTGATTTATTTCCAAGAAAATACAACAAGTCATACTATGAACTTCCCAAATCCCATGATCAGTAATGCAACACATATAACCGGTGGTGGTGCCATCAAAAGTGTGAGTTGTTGCCTCAGCGTAACCCCTAGCAAACCTGAAAGCCCCGCTTCCACCAACCACAGGCAGCTCCCTTACCTTGTTGAAAATTGAATTTCTTCCTAGCAAACTTATGGTGCTGCCATTAAACTCACCTTGGACAAAAGCAAAGTTCTGAACCATCAACAGGCTAAGCTCCTTTTGTGCTGCAGATGCATAAAACCCTTGAGCCCTTGCCACCAATTCTGAGCTCAATTCAGGTCCTTTGGTTAGGGCATTATCAAACATTCTCACTAACCCAAAATTTGTAGGCGACTTGGTGGGTGAAGGCACCACGTCTATGGCAGAAGGGTGAGGCCCATTAAGAATGTCATGCCAATATAAGCGAATGTGGGTGCGCTTTTCTTTTTGCAGCCCAAAAAGTTTAGGGTCAATGCTTCCCACAAACCCATGATTTTCCCCAGAGACTGGGATCATGGCAAAGGAAGAGAAGAGGGAGGAAATTATGAGTTGGAAAGCTAGGATAGGAGAAATTCTAGCCATGGTTTTGGCACCTCTAATATCTTCAAGGCTTTTCTGTAAATGGTCTGCTTGCTTTGTAAATGGTCTCCAATATATATAAAAATGAAGTGAAGGGCAGTGTTTCTGTTCCACTAAGCTCTCTTTACAACTGATTTGACTTTCTTTCTTCTATTAATATGACAGTTAAGGTGTTAAGGTCTATTGTGTATTTTAAATTATCGTTGCGCAGTGAGTAATGGCAAACATTTTTAATATTCTAAAAGACTTCCATATCCAATCAAAAACAAAATAATCAAAAAGAATTTTATATTGAAAAGGGGGATTTTGAGTTGCACTGGTTAAGAGCGTTTACTCCTAGACTCAAGTAGTTTGTTTAATTCCCCTCCCCCAGTTATATATACTCAAGTAGTTTTTTTTTACCATTGAAAAATGCTTCTTGGGCCTCAAGCTTGTTAGGACTTATGGAGCCCATACCTTGCCAGAGTTGTTTTTTACCATTGGAAAATGATTCTTGGGCCTAGGCCCCCCCTTGCCGGGGCTGGGGGTGCGGTGGAAATGCCCTAATAATCTGAATCCTTCTTTTATTAATTTGGAACAAAGTACAAGTAGTCATGCTAATGAACTTCTGATAATTTATAATTACAGCAAGGCCAAGGGGCCCAAATTACCAAAACCAAGCAAACGGGTCCCAATCCTAAATTGCCAAAACCCATGATCAATAATGCAACACATAAATATTATACTCCACCGTAGCATCACCTGTGGTGAGATCAAACGTGTGTGTTCTTGCTTCAGCATAACCTTTAGCGAACCTGAAAACTCCACTTCCACCAATCACAGGCAGCTCCCTCACCTTGTTGAAAACTGAATTTCTTCCTAGCAAAGTTATGGTGCTGCCATTAAACTCACCTTGAACAAAAGCAAAGTTCTGTGCCATCAGCAGGCTAAGCTCCTTTTGTGCTGCAGATGCATAAAACCCTTGAGCCCTTGCCACCAATTCTGAGCTCAACTCAGGCCCTTGGGTCAGTGCATTATCAAACATTCTCACTAGCCCAAAATTTGTGGGTGATGACTTGGAGGGTGGTGGGACCACATCTATGGCTGTGGGATGATGCCCACCAACAATGTCATGCCAATACAAGCGAATGTGGGTGAGCTTTTCTCTCTGCAACCCTAGAAACTTAGGGTCTATGCTTCTCACAAACCCATGATTTTCCCCAGAAACCATGGTCATGGCAAAGGAAGAGAGGAGGAGGGAGGAAATTACGAATTGGAAAATTAAGGTGGGAGAGATTCTAGCCATGGTTTTGTTTTGGCACCTCTTCAAAAGTGAAGGACGATGATTCTGTTCGGCTAAATTTTTTTTGGCAAAATCATGTGGCTTTCATTTATTAATATGAAATAAGAAATGAAATTTGTATTATAATAATAATCAAGTATTTTTGGGGAAGTGAGTAATAAAATTATTGAAATTTTGCTCACCAACCCCAACAAATATGATTTTCAGTATTGACATCTCGCAATAATTATTAAACAGTTAGACAAAGAAACGAGAAATGTGGTCCTAAAACTCATTAAAAATGTAATGTGTGTTGCATATGTTAGGGTTTATTTGTATATAATTCACACCAAGTTGGCATTGTCTCATTGACTAGACTTTTCCCACACCATATGGTTTAGTAATGAAATTTTTTTGGAAGTACTGCCACCTGCTTCCGTGAGGTTGGGTTTGGGGTTGGTGACACTAACCCCTTTCATTTGATTCTGATGTGACAAAAATCATATACCCATTCAATAATGACATTGTGCCTGTACCAACGAAAGGTTTGCAGAAAAAGTTTCTTATAACGTGCAGAGCAATATGTTGCTATTCTCAATTAATAATGCAATGACACGCGAGAAGTTGGGTCACTTCTGTCCTCTAAATAGTTTCTTTTGTTTAACTTCCTAATGAGCCTTCTTGATCTTTATTATGGCAGCTAATTAGATTAGATATATAATATATGCTTAATTATGTACATGATGTACTTTCAAACTTGTCTAAGATTACTACCTGTATTTGCAAATTTCTCAAAATACCCCCCAAACTTTTAAAAACAGTCTCATGTTAACATTTCCGTCAGTTTTATAGACATTCCGTTACGTGCGTTGAGCCCCACTTCATTTAAAATATATTAAAAAGTATACTTAGAAGTTGGGGCAGATCGCTGACTAGACCTGCACCTTCAACAACCTAGCTTGGTCCAAGAACCCGTCAAATTCAGTCTTCGACTTCTCAAACGACAAGTCGTTTCTTGCCTTCGCCGATGATGACGCCTCATTCCGTCTTGTCGACAGAAAGCCCCTGCCGCGCCCCAGGTTCGGCCCCAAATGGCAATTCCAGCAGCAACGGCATTTGCCTCACCGTCGTGATGAAGAAGTCGAAGCCAAAAAGCGAGAGGCCGAGAAGGGGCAGGCTCGCCGCGACCGGCAATACAACATGAACCGGTCCAATGTCAATGTCCCTTGCCACGAAGCCACGGTTTTCAAATCATCGGTCAATATTCAACCTGAGTGGAACATGCTGGACCAAATCCCTTTCTCCACATTCTCAAAGTTGTTGTTTTCGGTTCCAAAACCAGAGGACTTGCTCCCCTACGATGGGCTCGAGTTTTACGATCGGTCCTGCGATCGAATCACGCCCAAGAACGAGTGAAGACTTGAGCGTTTCAAGAATCAGAACTTTTTCAAGGTCACCACCATCGACGACCCAGTCATTCGCCGACTTGCAAATGAGGACAAAGCTATAGTATTTGCCACTGATACCATTCTCTCGACTCTCACGTGTGCGCCCAGGTCGATTTACTCTTGGGATATCGTTGTTCAGCGAGTTGGGAACAAGTTATTCTTCTTCTGCAGCCATTTTTAATTTTTTTTTAAAAAAGGGGTATAGTCGCCCTGCTATACTTTTAAATATATTTTAAAAGAAGTGGGGCCCAACGCACGTAACAGAATGTCTATAAAATTGACGGAACGGGTAAGGTGAAACTGTTTTTAAAAGTTTGGGGTGTATTTTGAGACATTTGCAAGCATATGTGATAATCTGAGACAAGTTTGAAAGCACATGGGGCATGTACATAATTAAGCCTATAATATATTGACAAGTACAAATAGTTATTCCCTTAGCTACTTGTGCTAAAAAAATAGAAATTCAACCAATATATTGATTTATTTTATTTTAATTATCTGTATATATTCTGCTGAGATACTGGACACCAACCAAATACATTATGCGTAGCCTTAGAAAAATGTCATAGAATATAAAATTGCAATTACTTAACAAAGAAAGCAACCCCACTGAAACCTTGAGTAATCAAAGGTGGTGGCCGACATAATTAGAGCCTATCTCCTCGAAAGAGAAGAAGCCAAGAAAAAGCTAGCAAAGGAGTAAAAAGACCAAGAAGCCATCAATAATGCAGCACATAGACATTATACTCAACTATGGCATCTCCAGTATTTGGAGTGAATGAGTGAGTTCTTGCTTCAACATAACCCCTTGCAAACCTGAAAAGCCCACTGCCTCCAATGATAGGCATCTCCCTCACCTTGTTGAAAACTTGGTTCCTTCCCAGCACAGATACTGTGCTTCCATTGTATTTGCCTTCAATGAAATGAAAATTCATAGCCATCAGAAGGCCTACTTCTTGCTGTGAGGCAGATGCATAGAACCCTTGAGCCCTTCCCCACAATTTTGAGCTCAACTCAGGGCCTTGAGTCAGAGGATCATCAATCATGCTAACTGAACCAAACAGGGTTGATGAATTGGTGGGTGCTCTCACAACTCCTACAGCACTGGGATTTTTACCACTGTAAATGTCATGCCAGTAAAACCTAAAGTGGCTCAGCTTCTCTTTCTTGAGCCCCAAAAGCTTGGGGTCCAAGGATCTCACAAAACCCTGATCTTCTCCTTGGACCAAAATTATAGCAAATGAAGAAAGAAGAGAGAGAATTATGAATTGGGTAGCCAAGATAGAAGAAGGTGTTTTGGCCATGGTTGCTTGAGCCTCTTTTGAATTTGATCAATACCTCTGGTTCACAAATGCTAGTTTCTTTGTGTCCGCATATATAGTGGAATGGGCCATACAGCTTGAAACTATAGTTGACCAAGTTGGGTCTTCATCATCATAATGAGCACCAACCACAGACTGCCACATTTTCTTTGGCCTTTTTGCTTTTTGGTTAATGTGTTTTTCGTTTTGGTGAGCCTGCACATTGTATAAAATGGTTAATTAATCAACCAAATTGGGGCTTAATTAGTTTTATAAGTTACTAAACTCTGAACAACCCAACAACCTGTTATGCTGCGTGCTGTGCTTGCAGTAACTTGTGGTAAGGCTGCACCTCCTTGCGCTTTTATAGGTCCGCCTATTATGAGGGTAATTATGAGAAGGGTTTGGTAATTAAAGAAGAAAGGAAGAAGGAAACAATGAACTATTTTTTGGGGTCAATAGGAAACAATGACCTTATAGTTTTTTTTTGGTGAGTGGAATTTGAAAAATAGATCATCTAGTTGAAGTATTGAAGGGTTTGGAACTTGGATGTAAATTTCTGCCTTCTGGAATCATACAGTGTATATGGCGATGATGACAGAAAGTCGTCTTTGGGTTGGTGGACCTAACTCTTATTTTTGGCGGAGCCAAGTGTTTCTGTCTTTTATAAAAAATATTTATAAAAAACAAAAGAAAAGTTTGCTACATCAACTATTTTTCAAACCATACATACATATGCTCTCCTCCTCCACAAAAGATAGCACCATTTTGGTCAATGTGTCAAGAAGCTCTCTTTGGTATATGTACTGGCAATAAGATGCTCCTCCATAAAAGACAGCATCATCATCATATAACCAAAGCCTTCTTCGGTTACTTTTATCTATGTGAAAAATAATGCAGTTTTTTATTTTTACTATAAAAGTTTTCTGAGACAAATTTTCACAGTGGGAGGGATTCCAAGCTAACATTGAGTGGAAGGGAAGGAAGCCATCAATCATCAATGGCTTCACTTGCTGCCATTAAGCTCCATCATCATAACCACAGACTGATGGCTTGGAAACTGGTGCTGATCAGTGAAAATGGTCCTTTCAATGTAACAGAGTGAACCTCTGGGCAGCTTTTTGTTGTATAATATAATATGAGAGGAAAAAACCACTAAAACATTGCACAGAGAAGGGACAGCCCAAAATCACAAGCAAAAATGAGAGGAAACATTGTCTAATGATTTCTTCCACAAATTGGAACATATAAAGAATCACGAGACAGAATTATGACTTAGTTGCGTAGCCAAGATGGGAGGTAATCTAGTCATGATCACACGTCCTTAGGTCACCCAATTTGTGACCCATTTTGCCCTTAAAGCTGCAAGCCTGCAACTGTAGCAAAAGACAGTAGCCTTCTGTTCTGTGGTAAAAATATGAAAGGAAAAACTACTAAAATATTTCTCAGAGAAGGGGACAGCCCAAAATCACAAGCAAAATGGCACATTGTCTTATGATTTCTTCAACAATTGGAAATAGCATATTAATATTAATAATTAGAGCTTCAACGCAAATATGAAAAGTTTGTCCAGAGACCAGCGCAAATAATAAAAGTTTGTGGGCTTTATCAGCAATTATCTCTTAGTAAGCCCATTTGAGGACATATGTTTTAAAATATTGCCCAAAAGGCCACTTTCTCTTCAGCCCATTTGTAGCCTTCGTTTCTTTGAGCTAACCATTGGAAGCCCACTTTAATCCTGTCAAGGCATACTTTTGAACCCACGAAAAAGGTCCTCATGTAATAGGTATAATTATTAGCGCACCCATTTTGCTATAATTTCAAGGTTGGTTTTATGATACAAGCGATATTCGAGGAAGGGGAACACGAACACGCGACCTCGGGAGAGCAGGAGCTTGTTAAATTGTTTTCAAAATATGAATATAATACTTTTGATCAAGCAGAGCTGGCGTTCATATTGTGACATCGAACCCAAGCCTTACTGAAAATTTCACGAGGGAAAAAGTTATTCGTTTGGAGGGATGCCCTTTTGTGCTTTTTGGATGGAGGCATAAATATTTTTTTATTATGAAACATTCTCATTCCCCACACCATATTCTGTATTAAATAAAGTGCGTGGTCTGAATTGAACAGCTGACCTAATTTCCCCATGCATGCAACTTGCAAGGTGCAAGTAATGGAAAGGGCCCGGCGATGAGCAAGGTTTTGTTAGGGTTCAATCACACGAACCCTAGCTAGCGAGGCGGCTAGGCGGCTAGGCCTAGACATTTCCCAAAGCAACGGACAAGAAATCTGAGCGCCACAAACATGAAAAGAATTAAATACGAAGTTCATATTCATAGTTTGACTCTCTTAAGAAGAAGAATTTTCTGCCTCGAACCCACGGAATAATAATAATGGTCTAAAATAATCCAGAAGAACCATGTACACTGTACAGCTTTTATTTTTCTGAATTTTTAATTAAATAAATAACCGCTTTATCAAAGGAGGCAGTTTATTATAAATTATAAGCATATGCGTGTTGATATTGGAATTTGGATGGGAAAGTTTGATACCTAACAATTAAGTTATTGAAAACGTGACGTTCATTTTAATAATAATAAAATACATTCATGCCGTTTCAAGATTGTCTCAACGTCATTGGTGACTCAAATCATGAAAACCGTAGCGGGGTTAATATTATTATTTTTATGGATATGTCATTCTAACATTATTACTAATGCATGTACTTAAGTTTCCCCTAACTTGGTCTTAAAACAAAATTTTGGTTTTTTTTATTTTGTATGAGGTTTGCTCGCGTATGAATGATTGTAAATCAATTATGTAATGTTGAATTCATTGTAGTACACATGATCAATTGTCAGCCGTTTATATATGTGTTATATTTACCGTCTATTCTCATTGTAGGATTCATGCATACATCAAAATGATTGCCAATTACAATAAATGTGTGCTTAGAAGAGGTTGATGATTATTCCCTTGAGTCAATCGAACCCAAGTCAGAATATGCCTTATATCCAAGGCCGTGTTTGTTTCCTATGACCAAAAAATTTAGTGATAAACGCACAGCAGCGTGGTTTGCAAGTACGCTGCTTGAGAAATAAGCTATGATTGTTTCCAAACGTCGTTGTTCTCATTTGTGTCCCTTTCAATCTTTCACTTTTGAAAAGCACTGAGGTTCAAAGCCTCTTATTAGCAAGTTGCTTATGTTACATTATTATACCCTTAATTACAAATATGTCTTTGTCAGTTTTCTTAGGGCAATAAGCAAATGAGAGGGTACGCGGCACGCACATGTTTATTTAATTATTTCTGAAAGAAGAAGAAAAAAGGGTCATGGTAAAAGAGGGAGAAGCTGGGTCAGCTACGCGTGTCATAAGAAAACTTGTGTCACAAGCCGCCCTTGGAGCTTATACCATGTTTGGACCCTACAATTTTGTGTCTGTCGTCCCCTTGAAACCAAATAAACCATTAATTACCAGCCTTCTCTTCACAATTGAAATCCACAAACCCCAAAAAAAAAAAAAAAAAAAAAAAAAAAAAAAAAAAAAAAAGGAGGTGTTAGGGGTTATCCTTATTGTTTGACTGCAGAAAGAAGTCTAGCTCCACCAACTTCATAAAAGGATAAGAAAGAAAAAATCATAATTATTTTGGACAAAAATATATGGACATGAGCCATTATCATAATTAATTCAATGGTAGTGGCATAGCACACGCAAGGTGCATATAATTTTAGGAGGGAATAGGGATCCCCCAAATCTTTGTTGAAGAAATGACACAAGTGATGACACACCCTCTTAATCTTTTTTAAAGAAAGAATATTTTGGGGGATTTTAGTGACAAATTAATTTGTCATTGACTTATTATATTCCATTAGTATTTTTCCCTTTATACAAACGGTAGTCTAACTATTCTAAATTAATGTAACTAAAAAAGCGAGTTCACTGTTTTGGCCAACTAGCTTAAACTTTACTCGTATTTTTATAAATTTGAAGCGCATAAAGTAACTCATGTTTCCTGCAGGCTATACATGCCAACGTAGTCAATAGGTCATGAAGAAATTTCGTAGTTTCGTGCAAGAAGAAGAAAGATGACCAAACATGTGAACTCAAACAAAAGTGGTACGTACGAAATTACAAGACCAGAATTCCCATGATCTATTCTATATTTTATTTGTGGATAGCCAAAGTGCCCAAACATTAACACCCTCTCACTTGCAATGACAACAATGCCCTTGGTATAATATATATATTATATACAGTGTCTGTTGTAATTTATGTGGGAAAAATGATTTCCTTTCCTGGCATTAGTCTTCTTCAGGCAGTCTGAAAATTAGAGTTAAATATAAGGCAGTCATATGTTAAAGCCAGAAAACTTTAAATTGCAGGCATCTTTCACCTGACCACTGTTTTAATGGACTGTTTTTCTTGCTCAGTTGGGTCTCTCCTCATTGACAAGATAAAGAAAACATAAAAAAAATAGAGTGAACCTGTTTTTAAATTACGATTAAAATAGTGGCAACTTTGTCATTTCAAAAGTGGATTGAAATGAAAAACCAAAGTTGTGCTCCTATCATTCTAGAAAGCAGCAGCCTTTGCTCATGTCATTCTTGGAGCCTTTAATTAATTAGGGTCATTGGTCAACCATTGTTAATCTCATCTTATTCTTCAAGCCACCAAACAAGTACTTCAAAATTCATAACCCCCTTCGAAGCCTCTAGGCCCCTTGGAATTCCAAACCCAATCCCCCCCTCTTGAAACTTTAAAACCACACTCCCCAATTGCCGCCCTTCTCCATCACTCCCTCCCTCCCTTTCCCTTAAGCCTTAAACAACAACACAAGCAAACCCTGCCTCTCTCTCTCTCTCTCTCTCTCTCTCTCTCTCTCTCAAAAGCAATATTAGTGCAAGAATTTTTAGAGTTTGTGAGAAAATCATTGTTGGAATTTGATGGGCAGCTTAGTTGGGCATGTTATACCAGGATTGGGGTTTCTTCTCATTGGCTTATGGCACCTATTTAATCACATCAAGCTCCATCTTCACCAACCCAACTCCTACAGAGCTCCACCATGGTTTCCCACCTCCAAATTCAAGTACTTGGAGCTCATCGTAATCATGGGAGGATCCTTTGCCTCCGTTTCCATGGAACTCTTCATAAGCCCACATAAACACCAACCTCTTGATGATGATGGAACCATCCCCTCCTACCATCTTCACAACTTTGAACACTCTTCAATTTCCATGAATTTCTTGGTCTATGCAGCTTTTGCAATCATTCTTGACAAAGTAGGCTCAAAAGCCCAATATGGTTTGACCCAACTTCTTGGAGCCATAGCCTTTGGGCAGCAGCTTCTTCTCTTTCATCTTCACTCTGCTGATCACATGGGCCCTGAAGGCCAATACCACATGCTTCTACAGCTTGTGATTCTTGTTTCTTTGGCCACAACCCTCTTGGGAATTGGTCTCCCTAAGAGTTTCTTGGTCAGCTTTGTGAGGTCACTAAGCATATTTTTCCAAGGTCTTTGGCTTATGGTCATGGGTTTCATGCTTTGGACACCTGAGTTGATTCCAAAAGGTTGTTTCATGAACTCAGAGGAGGGTCACTTTGTGGTTAGGTGCCAGGGAGAGGAGGCACTTCACAGAGCCAAGTCCTTAGTGAACCTTCAATTTAGCTGGTTCTTGGTGGGAGTATCAATTTTTGGGGTGTCCTTCTATTTGGCACTGGTTAAATTTTATGGAGAAAAGGTTGATTATTTTTCACTGGCAAGGCAAATAGAAGAAGATGAAGATGACCCAGCTGATGATGTTGAATCCCAAAAGATGAGTAAGCTTGGAGACTCAAAGAGTTTTATAAATCATATGGAAAAAACTGCCTTTGTGCCCAAAGATATGGAAAGGTAGAAGGAAAAAGTAGGAAGGTAGACACATGGATGTGTGATTTGGTATGCTTGTGCAAATTAATTAGGTTGGTGGGATATAATAGATTAAGCCAACCATAATTAAAACAGGGATTTGTGTGGGAGGGAAAAGTATATATATGCATATATGATATATGTGTGTGGCGAAATTCTTTGGTTTTAGCTTTAGCCAGAGAAGAAGATTTATTCTATCTTCCAAATTATATATTAATTAAATTGTAAAAAATCTTCATTTGATTTTATTATCTCTTTGAATGAATTATTTATCATGTTATTGATTTGGACATCATTTTCAGGATCCCATTTGAATTAATTCAAATGATTGCTCTCTTTTTCTTTTTTTCCCCAAAGCAAATGTTGTTTTATGATCATAAAGATTTATATATCACCTTGCGTTGAACTCAACCAATGTGATTTATATCTAATTAAGCAACATCAGCTTTGATAATAAGTTAATAACCTTCACATTCTGGAAATTTATATAATTGTAATTTTATACACGGTTTGTGTTGTGTTGTGTGTTTTGAGTTTGACAAGCTCCTCCAGCCATGGGAGTTGGATAAAATAGATTTGCTGTTGGCCCCTCTCCTCTCTCATAAGTTCATAACCATACGGTGTGCGCAATCAATCCATTCAGTCCTAAAGTCTACCCATTTCTATAATAAATTAATACCAGATAGAGAAAATTTGCACCCATGGGGAAAACATTGCATTTTCTTGTCACCATGGGCATGGAGGATATATGCATTGCATTTCTTCCATTTTATTATTTGTTAATGTGTCTGGAATATAGCGCTTCAACGCTAACACCCTACGTCGGCAGCAATCATACTTTATTTTATGATCTGAATCGTTTATTTAAATATGATGATTATTTAATTAGTATGAGAATGGCCACGCACTACATGTGCATAGATGATGGTATTTAACACGGATCATGAAATGAAAATGTCCCTACGATTTGAACGGAGCACTTTCTGCATGACCATGGATCAAAAGTATTTGTTCTGCCAACGAACGAGGTTGGGCATTGCTACAATCAATTAAGCATGATATATAAATCTGATTAATTTCCCATTAAAAAATCTGATTTATTAATTAATAAATATATTCTGGCCTTGTGGAATTGTCCATGTAACTTATTGTTTCTTGAAAGCAACATACTTGTAGTTGGAAAACCATGATTATAAATTTCTTAAGCCACACCTGTCAAATATAAGTGATCATTAATAATGCCTAAAGGTCGCCCTTGTGATTGTTGTTTAACTTACTAACCCGTTAACGCTTGAACGCTCTATGTATTTTAAGCACCTTAATAACAGTTTGAGAAGAAATGGTTGGTTGACGGTACATGACATTGGGTTCCAACAAAAATTATGCTTGTTAGTTTTCTTCATATATAAAACTAGTATAAGCTTGGTTGTAAGTTGTATGTGCATGGAATGGAAGCTGAAGCCTTGCTGTCACATCCCATTTTCTGATCATGCTTTCGCTTTTAATTTATGCTTCCTTAAATATTCAGATTGAGCCAATTGTGTTGTCATAGTTTCCATTATTATGATTGTGGTGGGAAACAAAATATGAAACCTCCTTAACATTCAATTCAATGATGTGGTGGCGTGGCTGGTTTTGTATCTATATGCTATGCATGGCCCATGGGTGATGCGTTTTTGAATGAAATTAATAACTTGGAAGGCACGTTAGATAATAGCTCTAAGCCCTCCCTCCCTCTTGAGTATAGGCACATCGCTTTCTTACTTTCAACACAAGAAAATAAATAAAAGGCTCATGTATGCATGATGACTACAATTGGACTATTTTCAGCTCCTTCCTGGAAGATGCGAAATGCTATTCACCCTTTGGAACTTTTTCCTTTTCGGGAAGAAGACAAACCTGTACTTATATATATATATATGCGTGTGTGTGTGTGTGTAGCTATAATATAAGCTCTTAAATTTCTCTCCATTTATGGATCACATTAATTTCTACTGTTTTTTTCCTTCATGATTACTTACTATAGTTTACGTACTTCTATTATATGTATCTTAACTACCACTACTTTTATTAAGAAGATTACAAGGGACTTGAAGATGATGAGAGAGAAACTTTGCCATGAAGAAAATGGTATATGAGTGAACAATTTACTCATTAAAGACTTGGGGACTTTGAATTGGAACCACAATTATAGCATTGGGGTTTAGGCCCCCCTTTAACTGAAGCAAATTGATTTCTGTAAAGTGTCAAAAGTAATGAAATAATTGAGGAATTGTGTCATGGCCTTTTTGTTTTGTTTTTTGGTGTGAAATGTGAAATTTCTTTGTAACTGGTTGTTTGTCTGGTCCTGCAGATGATCAACAATGACTTTGCATACCAAGTCCACGGTGGAGACGTATTCTTTTTTGTTGATAAATAAAATGTCAAATGTCAATTCAAGAGTGTTGAGAATAAATATGATATTAGTTAAAACTGTTGCCTCTAAAATTGTATACTTGTCTTACATATTCAAAATCAGTCGAGTCAAATTTAGCACCTCGACTGGATACACAAGACGGAAAAGGGAAAGGAAACAGATCAATTGGTAAAACAAATGTGAGGAAATATGCTTCTAAAGGTAAGGAAGCTCTATCCTATCAGAAATTAGATTACAGTAAGAACACTTTAATATGACCTCTGCAGACTAACAAAAACTAAATTCTAGTTTGGTTACCTGTTTCACTAAATCCTAAATTAGTTTTCTCCAACCGAGGCCAACAAATGCCGCTAGTATGGATGATTCTCCTACTTTCCCATCTTTGCTGGATTACCTCCCTGCTGTTGAGTTGCAGTAGACATGGATGTGGGTGAGAACGGATCATAAAGCTGCTGTCCTCCAGGCCTAGGCGCTGGCTTACCAGAGGCAAATGCAAGATTGTTGCTGAACTGTTGATTTGGAGCCTGTGGCATCTCAGGACGAGTCAAGTGAGCAGGATAATTTTGCTGAATTTGAATATGATTTCCCGGCCTTGGGGGCAGAGGAATGGGAAAATTGGGCATTTGGTGGGCTGGATTGAAGTTCCTTGGTCTCATTGGCAGGTGTGGCGTCCTAGGTGCAACAGGACTGGTGTCTAGATATGTTGCATGTCTGGGAGGAACTGAGATGGCAGTTGAATTTCTGGCAAAGGGAACAGCAGATATATGAGCTGGTGGAGGTTGACCCATGTGCTCGCCAACCTGTGGCCTCGATAACACCTCACTTCCCAGCTGAGGAGTCATATTTTGCACAGGCAACTGGAAAGACGGTGCCTGAGGTGATGGATGAGGAATCATTGGTCTAGCAGGGGAAGCACTGTGTGCTGCAAAGTGACTGTTTGGCTGGGGAACTGGTTGGAAGGATGGATTCTGTGGCCGGTGAGGCTGAAAAGTGAAATCGCCAGGGCTTGGAGCTGTCATCATTGGTGGTTTTTGGGGGGTGAAATTCGGTACACTTCCAGTAACAGAAATTGGCACTCTTGGTTGCATAGATGGGGCTAGAGATGTAACTGGTCCTGTTGAATGAGCTGGAACAGGACCTGATAAAGGGCTCATAAATGGTTTAGGTTGTGCAACTGCAGGCATTGGAAGCATAGAAGCTGCTAATGTAGAAGGAATTCCCACTTGAGGCCGTGGAATAGAAGTAAAACTTGGTGCTGCATGGTTTACAGGAGCACTTGATAACAGAGTGGAAGGCCCAGGTGGGAAGGCAACAGAAGAAACCATATTGGCCGTTGATATATTTGAAGGTGGTGGCATAGACGCAACACCTGGTTGTGGTGCAGGTACTCCGCTTGACCATCCAGTAGAGTTCCCAGAAGGTCCATGTGGATGATTAGACACATGTTGAGGAAATGAAGGCGCAAATGGACTGATATTAGAGGGTTGGCCTGTTGGTGGGGGTTGGTTTCCCATGAATGTGAGTGGAGCTGAAATATTAGTTTGAACTGACGAAGGCTGGGGAGACATCAAAGAAAGATTTCTTGGCGAGCCAACATAACCAGGGTGGGTCTGAGCCATATACAAATGCTGCAAAACTTGTGTTGGTGGGTTTTGTCTAGGGGAAACAAGAGCTGGTGGAGGCCCAAATAATGAAGGCAAGTGTGTAGAGTTGAAGGGTGATGTTGATTGATAGGAAGGATTGTTGAAAATTGGTCTTGAAGAATCTAGTGGAAGGTAACCAGGTATATTCATTGGAGTGGAAGAGGGGCCAGTAGAGAAAAATGGACCAGGGTACTGAAACTGCCCATTTGGTGGAGTCTGTGTAGGTCCTGCCACTGGTTGCACAATTCCCTGGTTTAACATAGTAGGAACCATGTTGGGGGTGGTAGCGTCCGGGCCTTGACTAGGAGGAGCATGAGGATTATCACCAGAAACTGATGCCAGATTTCCCTAAATGGAAGTAATGCTAGTAAGAAAACAACAACTGTAAAGTTGATAGTAAAATAACATGAAAGAAAATGGGTAATAAGAAATTATGGTGTATATAAAGCTTCTTAAAATATTTTAAAATGATAATGTAACTCACGGATACAGAAGTCACTAGCAGTTCAAGTACAGCAACTGCTGAATCTACTTTCTCAAATGTGTCCGCTGATATATGAACGTACAACTTTTCATATCCACTCTGGACTTCACTCCCATCAGATGGTTTTATTTCAACCTGGAATAAGTTAAAGAATAAAAAGGGGGAAAGTCAATACAGCTATGTATGTGCATTATGTTACATCTTGAAGTAACCAGTACATAACCGATGTTTTCTGTGCAAATTAATATGTTTAAGAAAATATGAAATTGGGTAAAATGGTGATGACAACTCTGACATTTATCTTGACATGAATTCCTTAATGTTCTATATTTACTGAATAATTTACCTTCTCTCCTGTCCCTGCTTTGGTACCATAGACTTGAATCTGGGCTCCAGTTTCCTTATTTGCATTGATCGATAAAAAAAAACATGGAGAAAACACATGGCACAAAGACCATCAGCACATGCACATGGCAATCATAAGTGTTTGGTATAAACCCCATAAGCATTACCACAAACTTCTTACCTTTTCTAATTGCTTCTGATTATCACTTCCAGGACCATATATTAGGCCAACAAAATTGTATCGAGGATATTCTTTCACCTGAAAAGCATTTAACCACATCTAAACATCAGAACTAATACTTGCTGACTCAGAAAAACATGAAATTTAGAACATATATGCTGACTCGAGCTCTCTACTACATGGTCTCTCGGTGCAAAAAGTTCTATAAACAAGCAAATAACTCTGTAATTATTTATGAGAATTTACGATTGACATTCTCCAGATTCCAAACTAACACCAATATCCAAGATCACAAAAATAAAATAAATAAAACGAAGGAACTAAATATGCTTAACTGATTAAATCTAAACCATTCCACCAGATTAATAGATACTCTGTCCATAAGTTGCAATAAATATATATGCCTTACTCTGTCTTTCTTTTGGTCACTCAAGAATCAAGATGTTCCTGTAGTGCAATCATCCTCAATTCATTACCAGTTATTGTGGTCAAGTGAAGCTCTTCCTTTCAATTAGAGAGAGCATACCTAGTCTGACTTCTGATGAAGAAGAAGGGAAAAGGTGGTGAAGGGTCTAGAAGTAGAGAGGGCCACTATTCTGTAGCCCAGCCATTACACCCCCCCAAAAAAAAAAAAAAAAAAATTTTAGTTTTTTGTTTGTTTGACTCAACAACAAAGCTCATCTTAGCCAGTGCAGTCATATATTGACCCTTTTTTTAACCATATAACTTAAACTAGGATTCACATATCAATTTAAGTCACAGGCAATCGTGTTTTCTCAAACAGCCTTAAAAATTTATTTCCAAATCTTTGTAGTAACACACTACTAAGAAGAACCCCCATGGCCCTCGACAACAGCAAACCCCAGACCCCGTGGAACAAAAGTGCAGCCCCTTTTTGGGCCAAGGCACCTAACCGCTTCTTCAACATAAAATAAAAATAGGAGACTTCCCCAAAATATAGGAAGATTACTCTGTGACCTATTGTTTACCCCTCAAACCCCAAATTATAGCCAACCTGTCAGATTTCAAGTTCCATACTTTTATCATTGTAGAAGTCTTTCTTTACAAGAACATGCAAGATCACACTACAGCTTATGAGTCCAGATTAAAATTACATATACATGGCTCGTTTTTGGTAACTTCTTTTTTTAATCAGTACAACTAAGATTGAGAACATTCACACACCTTGACAAAAATACCATATACTCTCTCAGCAGTTTGGATACAGCTTGACGAAACAGTTAATTAGAAAAGTGTTGCATATACTGCAGAACAAGAACATAAACTTACAGGAATAGGAACTGTGGCCTCTTTCAACAAAGGTTTATAATCAGGTGGGGCCTTGTAACTTGGATTCAACTTTAATATTTCACCTGAATATCATCAAGAAGACAATAAGCATGCAATGCACAACATAACACACAGGAAGGTATAATCTAAGAAAGCTGTCAAACACACCTATGACTTCTCGCTTTTCAAGTTCCAACTGTTCTACGTCCTACATCGATGAACATTACTATCAGTGCTTAAGAATTGAAACATCATTCAATGTAGAAACATAGAGTTCCCAACAAATCAATGACAGAAAATGATAGGCAACTGTAAGGGAAGGTGAAATCAAATTCTACCTCTCTGTCAATTTGATGCCTAAAGGAGTTGTGGTCTGGATCTTGAGGTGCTGATGGTAAGTCCTCATCATTCTCAGCCTCTGACATTCCAGATTTCAGCTGTTGTGTAATTTGATCCACCCGAGTCTGCTCAAAATTTGTACCACCAAACAGGCAGTAATATCACTTAGTGGCACCTGGAATGGGAGGTTTCCATGTGAACCATTCACACAGAAGACACGGACCAGCATTTTATTACCCAATGGAAAAGGGAAACCATGAATTGCCACTAGAAGAGCAATATTTAATCCTCCCACAACTGGGGCAACAAGAGCCTCCAAACCATAAATTTGAAAGTCTTAAATATATTAGGATGGGAAGAGGCAATTAGAGAAGTTTGACATTGTACAAACATAAAAAAGGTAAAGTAGGAAAAGGGTACATAAATCAGGGACATATTTTGATCATAGCACTATGAAAATAATATAGCATCGCAAGAAAGATGACAAGAACAGCACTTGCAAACAATCCAAACAATACCTGATAAGCTAAGGCTCTTCCCTTTCTCACGGAAGCATCTTGGGCCAGATCAGGGCCCCATTTTGTTTTCCTCTGAATCTGTTTCTTACTTTCTCCACTAACTGCATCACTGGCTCCTAGGTTTTTACTTCCACGGAAGATGGGTACAAGTGAGCCCGACAGCTTGTTTTTCGGTATAACAAATCCAGACTTAGCAGCAAACATAGAGACCTTTTGAGTACCAATTGATGGTGCAGATGAAATAGTTGCCCCAGACATCTCAACACTGTGAGGTTCAACTGAAGATGCAGCGTCAACCTTTGCAGTCATCCTGTTCTCCATTCCCATGGAAAGACCAAACAGTTCAAATGGGAAGAAGACTGGGGCAGTTATATTATGAATGGAACTGGAAGTGATGATTATTTTACAATCTTAATATCCCCTACTACCAAAAAGAATCAAAGAAAGAGAACATCCCTCAAGTAAAAGTTCCAAAATCACGGAATTGAAGGGAACTGCAAAGGTCTGAGATTAATTCAAAGAACTTCTTTAACTCCAAAAATGGAAAAACAAAAAAAAGAAGGGCCATTTAATAAACCCCAATAATTCCATTTTCTTTTCCATTCCTTTCCTCAGCTTTCTCAACACTCAAATAAAATGTTCTTCAAGAAGAGAAAACCCTATCTGCCTTAACATATACATGTACAATTACACACACAGATAACAGAGGGAGAGAGAGTACCTGAATAAGGTTTAAGGAGAGGTTACTTTCTCAGATGAAGGAGTGCATAGGAGAGAGAAGATCAGAACGCTGCGTTTTAGAGGCTGGACTCAACCCCAATTGCTCTTTCTGCTCTACTGTCAAGTGATAAGTCTCTTTTAGTAATGGAAATGAAGGCACGGCAACTTCTCTTTCATGGAGTGTTTTTACAGCGTACACTATCCAACGCGAGAGTCGACTCAGCCGAGACTCGATACGTACCTATTGGGTGGGATCCAGATGGGCCTGGCCTCAGTCCAACCAAGTGAATGAATCAAGCCATTCGACTTTAGGCCGAAGCCCAGCTCATCCAGCCCACCATCACTTAATTATTTTTCTTTTATTTTTTTTTCTTGGAAAAAGAAAAAGGCAAGAGGAAGAAAATAATTATTTTTTATTTAAATACAAGCGATAGTTAGAACTATATGAGAGGGGGATTTTTCACACACAAACACACAACTAAGATGTCATGGGATTTCAAACCTGAGACCTCTGGTCTGCAAGTAAATGTCATTTTCCATTGGGCTAGACCCTGTTAGCAGGAAGAAAATAATCTTAAATCATTGGTTTCGTTACTTATGATGTGACCATTTATATTTAGGGGCCTAAATTATAAAGAAACTCTAGGGAAAAATTCAAGTTTTGAAAAGCCAAAAAATTACGACACTGCCACCGAAGTATATCACTGAAAATCATATTGCAAGGATAGTAATGATATTTCTCACATCATTTAAATTTTAAAAACAGGACAACTGGCCCTTTTTTAGTTTTTTTTCTTTTCAATTTATAGGTTCTAGTGTTATATATAATGCTAAAAATGGGATTTGTTATAAATATTTATTTTTATTTATGTATTGAATTATGAGCTATTATTTGTATACGTGGCAGCTTTCTAGCTCACAAGACAAAAGTGGTGAAAGGAGCCATGAGCTTAATAAGTTAATAACCAAATCAAGTTTTTACATAAAGTAAAGCGTCGTTTTCACCACTAAGCATTTTATTACTGCGCTTAGTGATCTTATACTGTCTTCAATCATTCACCGCAGTACAATCGATAGGTCTAGAATAATTTACGTAAGCGGATGATTGTGAGAGCACAGACCTTTCCATTTTTTATTTATTTAAACAGACCTTTCGATTTCATCGCACTACAAGGTCAACAAAAACTTGGGATAACAGACCCTCAGCTCCACTTGGGAATGTAAACAAGTCAAAGAGTTAAAAATTTTGTAGACAAAATATTTTTGTTTAACCTGTTGTGTGTGATTGACGACTGCTCTGTCCTCTGTGTATTGCATGCAGCTCAATAACACAAGTACTCTGAAACACTCAGGCCCAAAAAACATGAGAAACCCTAAATTTTCAAGATGCAGTAGAGAAGTGGTAGATAGGAAGTACGCACACTCAGCAGCAAAACTTTCTTTTGGGGTTTTGGCTAATGAAAAGCATCTCATTCTAAACTTTAATTCTTCTAATTATATGGTGGGGAAAAGAAAATTATGTTTAACCGTTCAAATATTTTGAAAACAATATTTTTGTTTCAACAGAGATACTGGAAGAATAGCTTCTTCAATCATTATTATAGTGGTGATAGAAGGAAAGGAAATTCTGCAGCAACAACAAATCTTGTTACATATCTCTCAAGGTTAATATCAAGAAAGCTCACCTATATATAACATTTAAAAAACAACAAAAATGCCACCTATTAACCCTGTCACACAATACATACATACATGATACAGGGGCAAGCAACTAAATATCGTAAGCAGGAACTTCCCAAACAATAAATCAACAATTTAATACAGCTCCTTTCATATGCAAATTCAATCTGGGCCAGCACATTGCTGAACACTATCAAGTGAAAGGATAGAAGTTTGAAAAGAGCAAACTTCCTAGAAGAATGTAGGCCGCAGAGTATGCCCAAACTATATATCCCCATCTCTTACCAGTACCATGAGATTTCATTATATACGAGGCAAACCAATACAGCGGAGGGCTGAAAGATAAGAAACGAGTTGCAACCTGTCAAATATGAAGCATCAGAAGTAGTGATACATAGTGAAGATAGAACTGTTATTGGTTACGAGGTAGCATCTTTACACCAATTTTTTAGAAGAAAACTTTCTATGTCATTTATTTTCACAGAATTATATTGATCCAATAAAGGAGAATACTGATAACCATAATTTAAGGTGATGTTTAACATTTCTCACATATTGCTAACTTAATATTGTTTAGCAAATTAAGGAATTTAGGAGGAAATAAAGTCAAACCTGCACATGCATGACAAAAAATGCTGTGGCTGCCATAAATCCCAAATGTAGAATACATGGAAGTACAGCAGCGGACAAATATCCTTGCTTTGCTGATAGTTTATATTCTTCTGGGAGTAGAGATGTACCATCTTTGATCACTTGCTTCCTTGCTTTGAGATTGCGATTTTCTGTTACATTTGCAAATGATTGATTATGCAGTCTTGAAATGCAACATAAATGGAAGAAAAACAATATTCCCATAGTAATGATTAGGTCATGCATAATATAACAAGATGTGCCTACACATATTGATTTGGATCATAGTACAGGTGCAAGATACTAAAGTGGAGATATGAAGGATCAAAACATCACAAAAGATAACCTAAATGAATGAATCCCTTGGGCGCATTTCAACAATAAGCTAATAGTTTACTACCTACAAATTATTATATCATCAGAATGGGCTATAAATATACCAAACTTAGGTAATTAATAACTAATGTCAATGACAGAAATACTATGTCAAGTTGTCAACAAGTGAATCACAGACCAGTGCCGTTTAGAAGTAATACCCTGACTGTTGGAAGAGTTTTCTGCTAAAGAAAAGAACACAGCAGCAGAATCTTTATGTTCAGGAGGAGCACAGAAACCCAAAGAGAAGAAAATTTCAGGCTTTAACTTTGCGTAATGGACAATTGAGCAAAGTGTCAGAGACAATATTGGCGATGCCAGCAGAAAGTTTGGTAACTGTTTAACTTGGAAGTATCTCAAGAAACCGACTCCCCTGCCATCAAGGTAAAGCATCAATATAAGTATAAATTTGTAAAAATAACTCTTTCCACTTCCAAATTTTTTATAGCTAAACAAGAGAAATAATGAGTAATAGCCTGATGAATAAGCATTGGTGGTTAAAGATCAAAATACCAGTAATGACTTTGAATATAATTGTACAGCAAAGGTACTCTTGCTTTGCACCAGGGACTCATATTATTTGGAAGATGTCCAAGACAGATATTGTTGTATCCATAGGCTTGAAATGCAACAAAAGGAACAAAAACACATATACAACGCAGAGCTCCACCAACAACAACCTGCAATGCCAACTAGCATAGAAATGAAATTTACTAAGTGATCATCTTCTTCATAAAAACAAACAAAAAATTTTCTTTGCGCTAAATAATTGACATGCTCCTACAAAATATTCTAATGGCATACATAAATAGCTGATAATCAGGAGATTGAAGCTTAATCTCGTGGAACTAGGTAGACAAAATAACTGACTGATAATCAGGACATTGAAGCTTAGTCTTTAGTATGTATCAGTTTTAAATGATAGAGGAAAGATAAATTTGGAACCTACAAAAGCACGCTTTCTCAAGAAAACGGCATCATAAGCCTGATGCATAGTCTGAAAACAGAAATAACCAGCATTGACTATTCCATTGGACCTTGAAAATCCCGAGAGGGCAAACCAAAGAACAGCAATAACATCTTTTCCAGATATTAGATGGTACAATCCTCCAACTGAAAATAAGGCGTACAAAGTCTCGGAATATCTGCAGTAGAAAGCACATAAAAGACCTCAGTTTAATTCAATTTCATAGGTATCGATTCAGATGAATTAAGAAAAAGAAAAGAAAATTACATTGATGAATAAAATATGGAAGCTGGGTTGAAGCAAAACAAAATTGAAGCTCTTAATGCTGCTTCATGATCCTTCAAAATAACAACTGAAAGCCTGTTAAAGTGACAGCAAAAGAACAGCAATCAAAAGTTTAAAACCAAAAAAAAATTGTCAATATAAATTATTAAGCACAGAACAATAAAGCAACGGCTGAGCAGTTGTAGATACTTGTAGTCAAAGGAAAATCTCCTTGGCACCAAGTGGGTGGTAAGTAAAAAGGGTTAAGTTAGGGACAGTGCTGTCCTACACAAAGTAAAACTTAAAATGGTGCGGCACCACATAGCATATCATATGCAAGTACACCCCTATGAACCTCCTAATTCATAGCCACACCTGGTCGCGATTAAAGATTATATTCCTCCACTCTGGATTCTGATATATCTCTTCTTTCTTTCTTTTCAATTATCAATAAAATCTAATGCCAGAGAATAAGGCTCTCATAGAAGGAAAGGTATTTACTTTCATTTGTAAAATGGTGCAAGTAAAGCTAATTATTGTAGGGGAAAAAAACATATTTGAAGCTACCACATAATTTTAATCCCAATAAAGATTTACTGAGTCAAATTGAATTTAGAAAAATCCAACCAAATCACCTGTATAAATAAACCGCCACAATTACAAAGGCAATGTTATTGATCACAAAGCCGGA